GGTTTTTTTTTTACTCTGACCAAGCTCCTGATTACGTTCTAAAGTTAAGATAAGTAAATTTGTTTTAATGGAGAAGATAGATTAGTAACCATAAATATTGGAGTTATCTAGCGAATTTATTTTCCAACACATTTTCATAAATTTTATAGCATATTATGATACATACGTCATTGATTTGTTTGCTGTTCCCAGGAAGTTTTTTAATTTAAAAATGTAGTTAATCATACTGCAGTATAGATAAGTAAAAAATTAAGAATATTTTAATTTAAATGTTAAAATCGAGATCGAAATTGAAATGAGTAAAACAAAAAGCACATTTATGCATCTATGTAAATATTAGGTAGGTATAAGCGTTTTCGTAGCGATCAAATTGTACTTAGAACAGTGAAGAATTCGTTGTCGGGTGTAGAAAGCAATATTTAATTGTAGTCGAAAACAAAATAAAGTATTTTATCGGTATTTGAATTTGAATTATATATTTTTTTATTTTATATAATTATTTTTGGTTTCTTTGGTCTATTTTTATTATATTCAGTTATTTAATGTTGTTATTATGTATTTTATGTTTAAGTTTTTAAGTTTCCAAATCGATCATTTATTTTATAATCGATTTTAGGAGCTAATATTACATTGTCATCACGTTCTTTGTGTATAACTTCAAGTCTTTAGCTCATCGGGAGCGAGAAGCTATCGGGAATAATTTAATATATTAGTATACAAAATATTCGAAGACTAACGTTAGAATAAAACAAAATTTCAAAATAAAGATAAGAAATTTTATTGTTTTTTTTTTTACATAAGTCATCAATTTTAATAAAAATAAGGGACAACCGAAGTACATATTATCTACAGGATAAGTTGGTTAACTTTATAGTATCCCATTTATTATATTCTGCCCAATAATCACATAGGTACACACACTTCCGACGTATGCTACACTACATCTTTGAATATGTTCTACCTTTTTTTTAATGTTGGGAAATGAATTTAGGCATACCACCTGTATGCATACAGGTAATAAAAGCCAGTAATACCCACTAAAACCCAACAGAACATCACTCGTCTTAAAGGGGCGTCGCAGGATCGCTTACGCACTAAGCCACGACGCCTCGACTATAGGTCTGTCGAAGCAGACCACAAAAACCATGCGTTTGCTATCACGGTCCACTCTGCTATCAGAGAAGTAACAGGAGCAACCCACAAAGTACACTGCCCACCGAGGTGAGCCGCCACCTAGTGCGTTTCTTGGCATCGCGCCCGGCTTGGTTGCCGGATGACAAAGTGAACGCACGTTGGGAAAGAATCTGCTCTACCTAATTGAATCAGCATCTAACCTAACAAGTAAGCGGAGTGGCGCGCATATCCAGTATTTATAAAATGATTCATGAAATACGCAAAACTATGACAGTAAAGTTAAATATATTCAATATACAGTAAGATTCTTATGCTATCAGCTGAAAGTTGAAATCTCAATGCTAAGATTAAACAATGTGTATTTGTGTGTTAAATAAGATAAAATGATATTTATCATAATGAGTTCATAGACAGGTCTACAATATGATCATATAAGTAAATGCGGCAACGGTAGTGCCACAGGTAAATATTAAAGTATTGTAATATTTTAATATAGTACTTAATGTAATTTAATCTATCAGTTAGCAATCTGCATCCATATAATGCAAGAGATATCATTATGCACTAGTGTATGCGCAAATATAAGTTCACCTGTAATACTTTTGCGGTCACAGTGCCATGAGATGACTATCAAATAAGATCAAAAAGGACCAGGCGCCAGCATAACGGTGGTGTAACTGTACACCTACAGCTTCTTATTTCTCTTTGCTATTACTGAAACTTCTTGACAGACAAAAGCTAAACGGGCTAATAAGCCCGACGCCGGATTCAAACCCAAGACATCACCATCTGTAGCTATTTATGCCAGCGAGGATTATCGCCAGTTAGCATGTATAATGTTCTCGATGAAATTCAAACCTCAGAAAACAATTAATCCTATTATTATCACTAAAATTACAGCATTTGTGGTCCACGTGACGCACACTCAATTATATTTTTTTTAAAATTAAGTATACTTACTTAATGACAAGGTATTTGCTATAGGTGAAGTCACTGGAAACAGTATACCTACATATATGCCTTTATTTAAACTTTCAAATGCGTAAGCATATATTTAAAGTAGGTACGTGTATTATGCAGCAGGCGGCTTAGCGATTAATCTTAGAACAAATCTCTTCGGTATCTTAATGAATTGGTTCACAATGTTATCTCGAACAGTAAATGTTAGTAAAACAGTTGCTTTAAACTAGTAGCTACCTCGACCTTATAACAATATATTATATATGTACGAGTACATGCACACATCCTTTTACTAAAATGACTGCAAACATCCAGCTATTGTTGCAAGAAGAAAATGTTTAACATTTAATTACCATAATGAAGCACAGTACTAGAGTCTAGAATGTTAGTTTATGAGGATAATAACATGTACCTATAATACTTTCTTAGATTTACGCGAATATTTGACATTTTAAATAAAACTATCTTTTCGGATTTTGTCGCGGATTTATTTGTATTTTTGTTTCCCGACGTTTCGAATGCTTTACATTATTGGAATTGGAGTCTAATAATTCTTTAGCTTTCTTAGATGTATTAGTCATACGTAACCCAGATAACACCTTGAGTCATACTGTGTATCGAAAGAAGACCCATACTGATAGGTACTTGAATGGTGAATCTCACCACCCCCCTTCACAGTTAGCTACCGTGGGAAAATCTTTGTTTCAGAGGGCACGCGGGATCTGTGACGAGCAACACCTGGCCGGAGAACTGCAACATGTCAAGCAAGTTCTGCGAGACAACAAGCTGCAAGTGCCGCGCCTACGTCACAGGGACCGAGTGAAACCAGCCACAGTCGAGCGCGTCCCTGCAGTCCTACCTTACATGAGAGGCGTCACTGACAAGATTGGCTACATTCTAAAGCGAGCTTCAATTAAAACTTACTTCAAGCCGCCAAAGAAAATTAGTCAGTTTCTACCACCTGTCAAGTGCCACATCCCTCTACAAGATGCAGGAGTTTACAAGCTTGATTGTGATTGTGGGCTCTCTTACATCGGACAAACAAAGAGATCCATTAGAACCCGGGTCAAAGAACACATAGCTGATGTGAAGCACCGTCGCAATACAACATCTGCTGTCTGCAAACACAGTCAGGACCGCCCAAGCCATTATATTCGCTTCGATAGGCCTCAAATCCTGGCGAAAGAAAACCGATATCGCCCTAGAATGATTCGAGAAGCCATAGAAATTAAAAAAAATCCTAATTTCAATAGGGAAGATGGCTGGGTACTACCATCGTCATGGGATCCTGTTATTAATATAATAAAATCTAATAAATCTAAACATAACAGACAGGTAGATGTAGTAAGTTCTTACTGTGTAGATCAAAATGATAGCATTTCTGATTAATAATATTTTTTTCACTTTTTCATTTGTAAATGTATGTAGTAATGTGTTGCTTAATAATTTGTTCTTAAATAATAGCAAATTTAAATTAAAATTATTATTTTTTAATTAATCTTAACTTTTTCAAATTACACATAGATCAATTGTGGCTTAAATAATTAATACTATATTTTATATTTTTCTTATGGTTATAAATATAATAATGGCAACACTAAATATAGATTGCTAATTAATATTTTAAAATTGTAATAATTATAAAAATAATAGCAAAAATTAAATAAATAATTTTCCATATTCAACTATAATTAAAATTATAAAAATATTTAAAGTTAAAATATTGTAATGTAATTGGTGCAATTTTCATTTTGTTAATTGTGGGTAGGCTGTCTGTAACAACTATATCTTTAAGACATGTAACACCTCAGTCTCTCCCGTGACCATGGATGCTGTAAAGCATTCGAAACGTCGGGAAACAAAAATACAAATAAATCCGCGACAAAATCCGAAAAGATAGTTTTATTTAAAACATGTACCTACTATTTACAAGAGGACGAATTAAAATAATTTGTTTTTACTAATTATTGTGTGGGTTTTTATAAAAATTGGAATATGATTATTCCTACTTACCCCGGCTGACCTCACCTTTGGGCCGCGGCGGAAAAGGGAAAATAATAAATATATGTATGTACCTATAAAAACCCTATGACTGTGCACATAAAACTAGGGATTCAAAAAGTACTCACCTACACAGCATATGACACAATATTATATGCTAAGGAAAAAATAATAATTGCATAAGAATTAAGATATTTTTGCAGCCTCTACATGTTAAAATTATAAAGATAGTGTTTATATTTAATGCAATTTTTATCTTGTTTTCATTAATTAATGAAAAAAATTGCACTATATTTAGGTGTTAACGTTAGTGAAATAACTTTTATGTCTTAAATAAAACTATCTTTTCGGATTATTTCGCGGAGTTATTTTGATTTTTGGTTCCCGACGTTTCGAATGGTTTACAGCTATCATGGCCACGGGAGAGACTGAGGTGTTACATGTCTTGAAGGTATAGTTGTTACAGACAGCCTAACCACAAAAAACAAGTTAAAAAATATTGTAAGGTAATTAATTGGTGCAATTTTCATTTTGTTATTTGTGTGTAGGCTGTCTGTAACAACTATACCTTCGAGACATCTAACACCTCAGTCTCTCCCGTGACCATGATTACTGTAAAGCATTCGAAAGGTCGGGAACCAAAAATCCAAATAAATCCGCGAAAAAATCCGAAAAGATAGTTTTATTTAAAATGTCAAATATTCGCGTAAATCTAAGAAAACTTTTATATCATTATCACACTAACCTTAATACCTACAACTCGATAACATTATATGCATATTGCATACCTAATTTTAGTGCATTTTTACCATTTTTTAATTCAATCTATTTCGGTTTTAGCATCATATAAGATTTAAGTTTTATTTGAAAATGTTTATCAATAACCACAAAAAATATTTTTTCAGAAAGAGTACAGTGCTAGAATGTCCATCACTCGATAATGGCGACACTTACACTCAGTCGGAGTTCCTCTCTCGGCTGGCTCATGAGTGCCGCTACGACAGACTGTTGCTCCCTACCTATCAGACGGGCGAGGTTGTCTACGTGCACGCTAGCGCCTACGTTTACTTTATACAACCAGCAGAAGCACACGATTTGGTAATTATTATGCTTATAAAAATCTATTTCCAGTTAAAAAAATATTTAGTATTGACCAAAAAAGTGAATCTTTACCTTTGATATTACCATCTAAAGCATAGAACAGTGAAAATAATTATATTTAACACCTCCAAGTAAATTTCTAAGAAATTATTTAAATTTCTAAGAAATCTATTGTTAACTGTAACACCAGCGTGTCCACGGTCGTGGAGAAATTAAACTACTAGCATTGTCCGCGGCTCCACCCGCGTTCAGATGACCAAAAGCCAAATTCTTAGGTTTTACATATTAGTATACTCTTACATTGCAGTTTTTGTATTTTTTCTCAGAAATGAGATATTTTCCCGCGATAAAAAGTATCCTATATGTTGACCCGGATAACTAGCTATCGCCATACCAAATTTCATCAAAATCCCTCCAGTGGTTTTTCTGTGATGCAGTAACAGACAAACAGACCGACAAAAATTCTAAAAACTATAGATTTGGCCTCTGTATCGATAATAATGTTTATTACAATAACTTAGTTACGATTTAATTATTATACGTTAAATATAGGTATAGGTAACAATTTTTAAAATATCCTTACAGAATTTCAAATTGCATTTCCTTCTTCAACTACGTTGGACGGACGCGCGACTCGCGTACACATTATATTCACCTGAACGTACGAAAATAATCGGAGAGAGTGATCTCCGACAACGAATATGGGTTCCACATTTATATATGTCCAATGAACAGTCGTCAAGTCTTATGGGGACAGATAGCAAAGACGTTCTCATATCGATAGCTCCCGATGGTGAAGTTTTATTTAGTCGAAGAATGCAAGCGGTACTATACTGCTGGATGAATCTACAGAAGTTTCCTTTCGACGATCAGAAATGTTCTATGAATTTAGAAAGTTGTAAGTGTTCAGTTTGTAAAATTATTTATTAAATAGTATAAATACCTGTAAAGTAAAGATCTAAAAACTGATGATTTTAACTCACATGACATTTTCCAAACATTCACCAAATATTTTGTTAATTTTTTTATCACAAAGCTGTAACCCCATTATAACTTTATTGTACGTATAGATATAGATGTACAGATTAGTTTTATAAACACTAATTTTAAGGAAAGAAGATTTTAAGGTATATTTGTTTTTAAATTACATAATGATACTTTGTTTACATTATTTTACTTTGAGGCAACAAGAATAAAAAGATTAGATTAGGAGATATAATCGCTATAATTAGGTTAGACTGATAAAATAATTAGATCAATTAAAATTTAATAAATTTCAGGGAAATATAATGCATCAATTTTACGTTTGATGTGGGAGAAGGACAACCCAGTGCGGCTTTCCAGCGAACTGCACTTGACCGAATATTCTCTACTGGACTATTGGACAAACGAGTCCGTTGTTAGAGGGGATATAGTCAATATGCGACTGGGAGGAGGTAGATGTAATGTCGCTTTGTGTGTTGCGAGCGGTGCGCGATTACGAATATCTATGAAAATTATTTTTTTTAAATAAACAATGTTAGTTATTAAATTAACAATTATAAATTTTGCGGTTGCTGAATCAAATAAATTATAAATTTATTCGTAATGGCTTACCCTCTTTTGTGGCGTATTTTAGTATGTACATTCGACTTATTACCTATACCTGTTATATTTCAGCTGGCAACTACAGCGCTTTAAAGTTTACCTTTAAATTGGGTCGTGAAGTCGGTTACTACCTGATGGACTATTTTATTCCTTCTATGATGATTGTCGCTATGTCATGGGTTACATTCTGGTTACAAGCAGATGCATCGGCTCCTAGAATTACATTAGGTAAATATTATGGAATTAAAAAAACATATCACAATTAAAATACTTATAAAATATTATGTTCTTCATAAATTGTAGGGATAAACCCTGTTCGAGTATTCTAAGTAGTTGCACAGATTATTCAGTTATTACTACGTAAGTAGTACATATTAAGGACTTAATACATAAGTGGAGTGAACACTTAAACATTTTATCGTGGCTTTTAAAGTAATATTCATAAACAGTAGGTACACTTATTACAAATTATTTTTAACCGACGTCCAAAAAGGAGGAGGTTCTCAATTCGTCGGAATGTTTTTTTTTGTGATACCTATTGGTTTCGAACGCACGAGATAAAATACCCGCATAAATGTACCTACAAATTGTTGTTACCGAAAGAATTTAGTGCAAAGAATATTGATTAGTCGCCAAAAGTCACATGGTTACATTTGAAGACAAAATTGAATTTAATACCGAAATCAAACATTCTAACAATACACTTATATTTCTTGACCAATTCGCAAATATTTAATACGTCATAGCGATTAATTTATAAAACATATTAAAATAAATTAGGTAAATTGAGATAAATACTCTATAATATAAAAAAAATAATAATTCAATGACTTTTAGTTGTAAAATTCATGTACAAGCCTCGTGAGTAATAAATACAGTTACATACGTAGTATATAATACTAGCGACTCGCCCTCGCTCCGCTTCCGGTTCGTCCCTGGACAATAGAAAATCTATCCCACGGGAACCGTACATTTTTCATTTTTCATAAAAAATAACCTATGTGCTATACAGACTGTAATCTATCTCCGTGCCAAATTTTATCCAAATCCGTTCAGCCGTTCTGGTGTGAAAGAGTAACAAACATCCATCCATCCATCCTCACAAACTTTCACATTTATAATAGTAGTAATGTAGATATTAAGTGTAATTTTTATACATAATATTTCAGGAACAAGTACAATGTTGTCGTTTATTACACTCGCATCCTCGCAAGCGAAGACTCTGCCTAAGGTTTCATATATTAAAGCAAGTGAGATTTGGTTCTTGGGCTGTATTGGCTTCATTTTCTCAGCTTTGGTAGAGTTTGCATTTGTCAACACAATTTGGCGCAGAAAGTGAGTAAAAAATTAAGTAAATTAAACTATCAACACTTTCCTGTAGTTAATAAAAAATAAAGGTTAAAAAAGCTTAAAAAAACGTTTATTTTATGTTTCTTTTTGCGTTACTAAAAAAATTTTACGTTTATAATGTCTAACACTAATGATTTACTAAATATACTTTCTTAATTTCAGGAAAGTGGTTAGTTTGAAGAAGGTGAACAGCAAATATATTTTAAAGAGTACATTGACCCCGCGGCTAGCGCGCAAGGAGTTGCAAAAGGAATTGCAGTCGTCACCACAGCTTACTAAATCGCGGTCCTGCTCTTCATTACAACAAGAGACCAGCAGCGACCCCGCGGGACCAGGATACAACAACTACCTTACTGTCCATGTACGTATTACTGCCTTTTACAGTATACAGTACACAATATAACAGAAACAAACCTAAAAATATTTATACTCACAGCATCAATAAGATTATATATTGAAATAACAGAATGGAAAGACAAAACTAAATTTTCGTATTAATGAACAAACGTGAACTGCATCAAATGATAACTATAATAGGCTGGTATATTTGTAAACGTTCTACCTAAAAATTGTATTTTTATCATTAGTTATGAACACCAAATACTTTCTTTTCTCTTTCTTTCTTTATGCTAACACAACGGAAAAGAGGTAATACTACAACTTTTAATTTTATTCCTTACTATTTACTATCGACTTACACTCGCTTCGCCCTGGTGCGTCCCTAAATACCTAACATATTATACTACTGCTACTAGCGACTCACCGTCGCTCTGCTCTTGTTCGTCCCTAAGAACGTTTTAACGGTTAGTATAGATTTCTCAAAATGAAATATTTTCCCGCAGTAAAAAGTATCCTATATGTTGACCCGGATAACCAGCTATCACCATACCATATTTCATCAAAATCTGTCTAGTGGTTTTCTTGTGATGTCACAGACAGAAAGATGAAAATTCTGAAAACTATAGATTCTACCTCTGTATATGTAATAATGACTATTTCAATAAGAGTTTTCCAAAACATTTTTTAATTTTAACAGATTCGACTCATTCAGAATTTTATTATATGTATAGAAGATAAGTAGGTAGGTATTAAGTGTACAATGTAAATTTCATCTTAATCTGTTTTTCGCGTAAAAGAGTAACAACCATACACACATATGAAATTTCGCATGTTTAATAGTAGTTCGATTAAAATATATGTATAAAAAATCGAAGCTAAATTTAATTTATAATGAACAGAGTTTCCCGTCTGCCTTGAACTTGCCCACGATCACCACGCAGAGCTACGACGAGCTCATGCCCGGCGGCCGGCAGTCGCGCAACAACGGCAGCGAGGGCTCGGACGAGCCTCCCAAGCACCACACCTGGACTCAAATGACCCCACAGGAAATAGCCACCTGGATCGACAAACGATCCCGTGTTCTCTTCCCACTTCTCTTCGTCTTCTTCAACGTCCTATATTGGACTTTCGTCTATTGTCTATGATTCTATTATTTACTATGGAGGATAGTAAATGATGAATTATAGCAATTATCAGATTACTTATATATAATTCAATGGTGTTCTAATGACATGCCTGCGTAGTCAGCATTAAGCTTAATTTTATTTGTTCAATGTAACAACAAACGAGCTTATCTTTTTTAGTGCTTTAAATATTGCTATTGCGGTAATGTTACAAAAAAGGATATTATTTAATTTTTGCAAGACAAGGCTCAATGATGGCGGTGTTTGATAACTTATACCAACTGAAAGACGAATACAATTTCAAATTAACCATATTTAACATTTAGAACAATATGAAAAACAAATTATACGAAAATTACTAAGCAATATAAAAAAATTAAGTGCTTATTATTAACGAAATGATTATATTCATAATTCAACAACTTTTTCACAATGATGCACTTCGTGCAGGGACCAAAGTATCAGCCAATCATGTTCCTATATAAATATTTATTTTAAATTAAACGTATTCATATATTTTTTATATAAATGTTTAATTTAAAATTATTAAATACTTATTTTAAGTTAAAATTTCGTCCATAGATAATTTTAGTTAGAAGGCAAAAAGTAGAAAAAAATTATTCACATAAATATGTAACTCCTTAAATAAATTTTGTATTGAGTATTTTAAATAAAACTATCTTTTCGGATTTGTCGCGGATTTATTTGCATTTTTGTTTCCAAAATGCCAAAATCCGAAAAGATAGTTTTATTTAAAATGTCAAATATTTGCGTAAATCTAAGAAAGTATTATTTGTATTGAGTATTTAAATCAAGGATAAATAAAAATTTTTGCTTTGTAGATCTGCTTGGAGATTATGTCGTAGAAATTGTCTAAACTTTTAGAATGTACTTTTAACAATATTTCTACTTTTATAATTTAAGTAATGAATAATTTTTAAACAGAAATCATGGTCCTTATCTGATTTCGTAGAATACGGACCCTGAGAAAGTTATACCTAAATATCGAGTGTGAAATAGTCATCTTTCTTAGTATAGGTATTTATTTACTTAGGTACAATTAAGTAATTGTTAATTATACTAAAATAAGAGATTATTTGAAAGTAAGTTTGACGAAACAATTTTATCATTTGTAATTTATATTTATTAGATTTATTAGATAAAAATAGTTATTCTCAATTAATGTTACGTTATATTTATGTTAAAATATAAAAACGAATATCAAGGTTAAAAGGTTTTTTATTTAAAAAACACAAACCACTAAACAATCTATTATATATATATATATAATATATATATATATATATATATATATAATAAAAATTCTCTATTCATCAAAGATCTTATCATGGAGGGTAATATTCTGTAATAAACAATAATTGATATACATAATTTGTGTATACAGAACGATAAAAGAATCGACATATACGCTCTACGTCCTTAGCGCAAACTCTAAAGGAAGCTTCCCACAGAGCTGCGTTTCCCAGATACGCACGCCCATATTACAAATTCATTGCACCTATTAAACCTATTTAATTAAAATGAAAATATTTATTGAAAATAGATACATTCGTCCTGCTAATTTCTATTTTGAACTTTTTAATTATTTACTCAACAGTAAATAAAGATTGCGCATCCGTAATATTAGGCACTGTTAGAAGCTAGTTTAAGCGTGCAATACAATCACTAACAAACAAGTAGCAATTTTTTATAATTTAAAAATTCGACACACTTTATAAATTTCCTAATAAACTATTATATAACGCATTTGTTCCTATCACAATCTAGAAAATCTAATTACATTTTTTTTGACTTTAACATTTTGAAAATGAAGTATTATTTTCAAAACTTGAAAGTAGACCTTGATTATTCTTTCTTTTTGTAGAGCAAAGTCAGGCCAGTGCTCTCGCAGAGTTACAAAGTTTTTTTGCTAATTTCTGTCGTAGAAATGCAAAATACAGTAGTGAGCCTATAGTTAGAAAGGTAGTGGTTCAGGGCGCGGCGCGGTGGTGCGCGCGGAGCGGGGCTGTTATCACGAGGCTGTCATCGCTGGAGTAACGCTTAAGTGTAGTAGCGCTTGCATGACTGAAAAGCAAAAATACAACTCTATTATTTGATTTTTAGTAAATAATAAGTAAAATATAAAATATACAATATCCACATTTAATTCGGTATTAAGGCCCGATAGATACCATACCCGGAATTACTACAAACTGGCGGTAAACTTAAGGTTCGATTATACAAAAAAATAATGATAATATAAATTTGAATCAATCTTAAAGGAGACACAAGAGAAACAACTTTTGAGTCTTCTAATGCTACGTAAAAAAACGAATCATGCAACCATTTCACATTCAATTTTGCTTATTAAATTCTTTTGGAAGTATTCTTCAAAAAACTTAATAATAATAATAAATATTTAACCTGTATCTAGTCCGTGGTCGCGGCGTGGGCGCAAGCTGCGGCAAGCGCTGGTCCAGCGCCAGCGCGCCGCCAGAACCCGAGCTGGAGCCGCGCCCCGACCCGCTCGAGCTCTCCGACCACGCCAGCTCTGACATACTGAATGCAAAATAACATAGTAAATTCAAATTATACGCCTTCATTTCACATATATCACTAACAGCATAGAGAATGTGGAATATAACTAAGGCTACGTTTTGTCTTACCCGGGCTGAGATAAAAATATTTAGGTATAGTCCGTACAGATTCCTTGGGTACAAAATTCGAATTCACAAAATATCTCGATAAAATTATGCATATATTCGATATCGCATTTATATAGATACGCCTTCGAAATTTTACAAGCAATGTTTCAAAAAATATATGCATTACCTAGTAGAGATAGGCGGTAAGCGATACGGGGAGTAGTAATCAGTACCCTCCGTGTACGTGGAAGCGTGAATCTCCTGCTGATAGAGCTCATAAAGTTGTACTAAGTCTGGTTGAACTCCAATACCGCATTCTGAAAATACGAGCAATTGTAATTTGTAAGTGTATTATGAACACATGATTGTTCATATGCAGTGTTAATTAACACGTGTAAACTTCAGTGGCCTTAACTGTGTCGTTAATTTTCAGTATTCGGCACCAACACAAAACATTTTAAAATTTTAGTTATTTATACAGTACGGTAAGTAATAAAAAGACGTCTCGTAATTTGGTCAGATTGATAAAGATTCAACTCACCAAAATTTGTTTTTTATTCAATAGTTTTCCCTTTATAATTAACCTCCAAAACATTACATGCATTGATACCCTTATATGTTTCCAATTCACCTGTAATTTTCCCCTCAATAACTTTTGTGAAAATACTTCAGGTCAGAAATAAGAGATATTTTAAAGGTTCCGTTGAAAAACTAAGAGAAATTTAAATGTACGAATATATAAGGCAGCAAATCGTATTACAATCTACCTTCAAGCGCTCGTCGCTGCCTGGTGATGATCTCGTCCGTGAGCCGCCGCTGCGCGTCGCGGCGCTGGATGGCGAGGTCGCGGCGCCGCAGCTCGTGCGCGCGCGCGGCGCGCTCGCCCTGCAGCGCCAGCTTGTCCGCCTCCAGCTCGTGCACGCGGCACACCAGCGCCAGCACCTCGCGCTCCGGCCCGCTCGCTATGTGCGCCGGTAGCTCCTAGCGTGTAAGCGACCTACTGATTACCTACGGGCTACTATTGCAAATGTGAAAGTTTACAAGTGTTTATGTGTATGAGTGTTTGCATATACCTGTAGTAAGTATAGACAATGAATTTCAGGAGGAGTGAACGGAAAAGTCCAATTCAGTCAAAGATTTTAGAGATAAACGGATATAGATAAAACTTGACTGGTAGATTATAAATATACCTACTTTTTTTAACGCTAGGAAGTAGGAAATGCGTTTACAAATATCTTCTTCATAGCGGTTATAACATAAATAATATAATAACGTAATAAACATCTTTATAGCGGTTAGAACGAAAGTACTACCCTCTAAAACCCAAGGAACCTGACCTGTGCGAACAAATGGAATATTTATTATTCCTGTAATATCAAAAAAGTATCGTTCGACTATAAAGTAAGCCCTAAACACGATGAACCTTTGAATATGACAAGACGCAGACAACGCTATGGACAGAATTCCACTATGAAGAGCTGACCTGTTCCAGCTGCGCGCCTCGCAAGCGCACCTGCTCGAGCTGCCGCTCGACGCGCAGGCGCTCGCCGCGCGCCGCCTCCTGCTCGCGCTCCACGGCCGCCAGCTCCGCCCACGCCTGCTCCACCGCCACCTCCGCCTCCGCGCGCTCGCCGCCGCCGCCGCCGCCGCTGCCGCCGCTCGCCGTCGACGCCGTGCCCCCTCTGTGATGGTCATTTAATCTCTTTGTATTCAGCCTTTTTTAAGCTCCCACTGCTGGGCACTGACCTCCCTTCAATACGAGGGGGACCACCGACCAGGCCATAGTCCACCACGCTGGCCGAGTGCGAGTTGGCAACTTCACATGTCTTTTGAAAACTTGCTAGGTTCTCTCAGACATGCAAGTTTCCTCGCGATGTTTTCCTTCACCGCTAAGACAAGTGGGTGGTATGTTGGATATGATCGCACATAAAAATATCAGAGGTGCGAGACCCGGGATTTGAACCCGGTTCGTCGCTTTCCCGAGCGAGCGCGTTTCTACAGGATTACCACTGCCTCTTTAATTTAATTTAATCACTTATTTCAGGCAATATTTAACTTTATTAATTTTATTAATTTCGAATAATACTTTAAAATATTATGATTATATATTTTTCATTATCCACAATTGTACAGGTCAGTATAAAATATGTTTTAAAATACAAGATGCCGCTAAAGTTTAATTACATTAAAGATTTTAAAAAATAATATAAATAAAACGTTTTTTTTTTAAATACTAACACCAATATAATAAACTAAATGAAAGTAAAACCACAGAAAACGTTTAGTGTTAGCATGAATTTTTAGAATATAAATACCTGTAGCTTTGTTGGGTACTAAGCCTAGAGCCGGTGAAACTAATCGGTTTATATAATCGATTGAAACGAGCTTCCCAATGCGATATAACCGCATGTTGCCTCTCCGCGTCTAACGCGAGCCCCAACAAATGGCTGTCTAACTCCATCAACCGTCTCCGTAATCTCATCTGCTGTTTAAACGTAGAGACTATGGCTTCACGAAGAGATTTTAAGTGAGCGGATTTTTCTTCCGAATCTTCTTTAGAAATTGCTTCATCAAGTTTCTGTTGCTCTTCCCGACTCCTGGCAAAGTAAGGTGAGACAGAATTAGATATGTAATTTGTTGGAAATAGCTAGCAGTACTTTAATATCCATACTTCCATACTAATATTATAAATGTGAAAGTGTGTTTGTTTGTTTGTTTATTTGTCCTTCTTTCACGTAAAAACGGAGAGACCGATTGGCGTGATTTTTTTTTGTGGAGATACTTGGAGGGCTGGAGAGTGACATAGGCTACTTTTTACCGCGGGAGATTATCTAATTCCCACGGGAAAACACGTTATAATACAATCCAAAAAATATTTATGATCAGAAGTACTTGTAACTGGGTTTTAATGCTCTTCAATAAAATTAAATAAATAGGTGTTATAGCATTTTTCAAAATACATCCTATAAGGGGGTAAAACAGGGAGTGAATGTTTGTATGAAACTACCCTCTTGGAGATTTTTTGTAGTTTTAGCTCGAGCGAAGCGGCGGGATCTGCTAGTTTACTGTGTATATGGGCACGTTGGGCACCATCTAGTTCCATGGTAAGCTACGAGGCTTGTGTTATGGATACCAGATAGCTGATACTCTACACATATATAACTTTAAATACATACATATTATAAATATAAACACCCATGACTGGAGTACAAACATTCGTGCTCATCACACAAATGAATGCCCCCAGCGGAACTCGAACCCGCGACCGCTGTCCCAGCAAATAGGGTCAAAACAAACTAAGCCAAACGCGTCGCCAAATATACATGTAGATATATGAAATTTTATTAGATGATGAACTTACTGTGATCGATCATCTTTCATTTTTGTTTTAAGTCGGGCTATTTCCTCCCTGAGTTCATGTATGACGGTGCGGTACTGTGACAAATGCATCGGAGTTTCAATGAGTTCACGTTCAACCTTTAAAAAAATGTAAATAATATCACTAATGTAAGTAAAGATTTTAAATTTTTTAACGTTCTCATAGAAGCTAATGTTTAATTGTCATTTAGTTACACTAATACGAGTATTATTTAAAATGCGAAAGTTTACGTGTGAGTTTGTTGTCATGGTAATGTTACATATACATAACATTACCGTGGTGCTGTCCTTGTTACTTCTTCACGCTATTGCGGCTCAACAGGTTTAAGTGAAAAATTCGGAAACATAAAAATGGTGGAGAATCATTCTTCGAAGTATGTATTTAGTGCCAATCACACTGAATAAATAAATATTTAGTTTTATCAACAAATTGCTTACGTTAGTAATTTCAATTTTAACATAGTAGGATAGTCCTGCGTTTTCCTGCAGATCCGAACGTCTAGTTCAATTATATATTACTATATCTTAAAAATTATAGCCTATGTGTTACTCTAATATATAAGCTATATATTACTATAGTTTCAACAAAGAAAGAGTAACAAGTACCTATCCATCCTCACAAACTTTCGCGTTTATAATGTTAGTAAGAAGTCAATTTCTTGTCTTTTTACGTGGTTTACCTTGTTAGTAATAGCGGAGGCGCGCTGCGCGTAGTGAAGTGTCGAGCGCGTGGTGTCGCGGTGCGCGGCCGCGGGCGACACGTGCGCCACCATGGCGGTGCGACAGCGCCCGCCCAACACCTCTCGCAGGAGACGTGTTAACTTCGAATCGCGATAGTTTACATATCTGAAAGTTAGTATAATATGTATATGTAACTTATGCATAATTACTTTTATGAAAATAAAAAGTAATGTTGTAATTTTACCTTGCACCTCCGGAAAGCGCCATAATACAATTTCCCAGTGCGAGTAGTGAGCGGTTGATGTGTGCTCCCTCAAGACGACGTGCGCGCAAGCCTGCACGCTCCGAACCCGCAAGATCGATGAGGAACAACCGACCACGTTGAATGCCTTTCGATACTGATTTACTGACTGACACACTAATAAAAACAATAATAATTATATTATACTAATTGATGATGTTCTTCTAGCCGATTCCGGCCACGGCGACCAATCTTAATGGGATTAGCCAACTGCGCAGGAGATATTATAGTGCTCAAGTGTACGCGCAGACACAAGTACACTCTCTATTCCTATCACTCTCATACTCCGGTGGGACGACAACTCGACACGACCGGTGAGAGTTAAGGCGCAGGACCGACGGCTTTACGTGCTCTCCGAGGCACGGGGGTGAAACACCACCAACTTCCCAACTCCGGGCTGTTACTGAGACTTACTATACAGGAAGACTCAATAACTAAACTTGGCCCGACCCGGGACTCGAACCCAGGACCTCCGGGTGTGCAGTCGTACATGCTAGCCACTACACCACCGAGGCAGTTATTATACTAATTACTAACCGATCGTCAACGTACAATTTCTATAAACAAACATGTCCCAATCTGACTAACCTCACTCTTTATAACATTGTACTCTTTTATTCAATGAGCTCTATTAAATATTCAATGAAACCCATCTATTAAATAATATAACATTTTATAATGTTGACTGCGAGCAAAAACTTTTTATGTTCTACAAGGGAAACAAAAATAAACCTATCCCACGGGAACCGTACATTTTTCCGAGATAAAAAGTAACCTATGTGTTATTACAGACTATTATCTATCTCTGTGCCAAATTTCTTCCAGATCCGTTTAACCGTTCTGGCGTGAAAGAGTAACAAACATCCATACATCCATACTCACAATCGTTCACATTTCCCACGGGAACCGTACATTTTAGATTTTTCCATATATCCATACAAAATTTAATACAAATCAGTCTAACAGTTTTGGAGATTAGCCCGTACGAACACATAGAGAATTTTTTTTTATATCTGGGTTTGTTCTATTTCTCTTCTTACATCCCCCTGACTAGATTTTTAGCATTTTTTATCTATGTACAGACATTCAACCTCTACAGTTTTATTATATGTATAAATAATGTTAAATTCTCAATATGAAAAAAGTTCCAAGGCAAGGCATGTCTACGAAATAAACAGTTAAAATAGATTTACTACGAATATAAATTTATTTTATTGACTTACAAACAATTCATTAAAGATTATATTTTTAGACTATTAATACAAACCTTAACAAAGCGTGTCCTCTTGACGAATGTTGATTCGCATGAGTTGATTCAGCAGTCCGGGAACGATCACCCCTTGCGAGAAGCTCGGCTACATGCGTAGCGTCGAGAGCACGCACCTGATTGATACGTTATATTATGCTCAAAAATAACTATTCCCAGAAGATAGCAAAATATGGTTTATTAAAATTATTTCTCTTCACTCGTAGTAGAGTTCGTGCTTTTTATATGAAAACTAGCCACTTACTCTAGCTACGCTCGGGTTCGTCCCTGGCTGTCTAACAATAATGAACTTAGAACTAACAGTAACCGATGTGCTACTCGAGGTCATATTATTCTATGTCTTCATTAAAATGGCGAAGGTTTTGTTGGGTTTTAGTGGGTAGTACTGACTTTTCTAGCCGGTGAGTCCCACATAACCACCTATATTTACGTAAGTATGTGGTATGCGTAATGCATTTCCCCATATTAAAAAAAGTCATTGTATCTGTGTACTAAATTTTATCCCAATCCGCAAATTCAACTGAAGGAGAAACAAACACACAGACAGACAAACTTATGCATTTATAATAGTTGTCGGGATTAGCAAACATATTAGGTATGTTTATCATACACATTTGCTATTGCCAATATGGCCTAATCACTATACGTACCATGTCATGAATGTAATCTAACAACAAACACCTACGTCACGCTATTCTTCGCATCACGCTACATACCTACCTACTTACTGTATTGACTCATATCTATAAAAGTCTAATAAATTATGTTAGATTTGAATGCTCAACCATCATTACTCTTTGAGAGAGAATCAAATTATTATTTTTAAATGGAGGTTTTCGCACTTACAAGTTAAACAATCTGGGACAACAAAAAGGGGAAAACAATCTGTAATATTTTTACTCTCCCTTAATAAGTTATGTGATTATTAATGAAATTCTTTATTATGCTAGTTTTACCCTCAAATTTAATTCTCACTGATTGAACACTCACTCACGGGACTGAGTATCAAATTTCTAAGATACTTGAAGTATAGACACATGGTAGATATAATTGTGAAATTCGGAATTCCGTATATCGGACTCATAACATAATCTATCTAGCCCAAGAAAATCCAGTTTGGCCTAAATACTTTAGCAGTGTGGAACGTTGGAGCAAGCTCATGGCTATTGTGGTCTGCTTCAGCAGATCTGCCGTCGGGGTGTCGTGGTTGAGTGCGTAAGCGATCCTATGACGCCCCATTAAGACGGGGGAGGTTTTGTTTGGTTTTAGTAGGTAGTACTGGCTTTTCTAGCCGGTGAGTCCCACATAACCACCTGTATGTTTACAGGTGGTATGCGTATATGCATTTCCCAACTTTAAAAAAAAGGTATTGGGGGTTCTGGATTTGAAATAACTTAGCTACGCTACGATTCGCTTCCGCCTTAGGTAGGTTAGCCTTCTCGACCTACGTTATCCAAGTCGGGCCTGTTTCATAATAATACCACCCACTAATCCAGAGCCGCGTCCCATATACTAAACTGCAGCCGAATATTACCTCAAAAACACCTGAAATCGGGCTTGTTCGGTAACATACATACGGATGTACATATGTATGTAGGTACTTGATACAAGCTTATAAGTAAACGAATTAAATTCTCTAAGTCATTTTTATTTCATGAGAAAATTATAAAATTAGTTATTCAAATCACAAGAAAATAACACATTTGGCTCTACATGGGATCTTACAACTTTTTACGACGATTCTTACAGAATACGAGGCTTAGCAAACTATCTCAATGTTAATGTGTTTTAATGGGATATTTTTTTCACTTAACTATATGAATGTCTAACAAGATTCAGAGACAAGGCTATAACAGACAAACAAAAGAGTTTTTCATCACGTACGGAACTTTAAAGAGACTAAAGTTTTGAATAAATAAGCGTATGGTATGGTATGGTATAATAATAATCTGTCTTATGCAAAGATGAAAGAATATTATATATTTACAGATAGTAGTCGATTATTACAATTATTAAAATCGAGGTCTTACCTCGCTCAGTCCCGCTACTACAGGGGGACCAGTCCCTCCTTCGTCGCGCAATTCAAGGGCACCTGCGCCGGGATTTAGTAAATCGCGTATGTTTTCATTGTAGATCTCGATGTAAGACATTTTGACCTGCGAATAATTTATTAAAATAAATGCAAATGAAAATTTCTTTGTCATTTATGCAAAGTGAGAAAAATATTAAAAAAAAAAAACAATATATAAATACAAGGCTAGCCTAACTTATAAAATAAAAGTGAAGTCCTTTCAAATTCCGATGGGACGATAATTCGACAAGATTGGGAAAAAATTAGACGAAAGGCGGCTTTACGTGCTCTCAGAATCACAGTGGTGAAACACCGCCAAGTTCTCAACTCCAGGTTGTTGTTACTGGGATCTTCTTAACACATAGACTCAATGACTGAACTTGGTTGAACCGGGGCTCGAACATGCTACTGCAGTCGTATAATACGCTAGCCACTACACCACCGAGGCAGTTAAAAATAAAAATAGTGCATGAATAATAAAAATATACTTACACTTTTAATATCGTACACGTTTGAAATTTACATTTGAAATCATGTACCTACTACATAAACACTAACTTATGTTTTATGGACTTAAAATTATATTAATATAACTTAACAATACGTATCAAACGAAAGCTTGCGGTGTTTATTATTTACTCTGACCTAACTAAATATGCTATTTGACATTTAAGGTCACAGTTCAGATAACCATAGCTTTGTGACGCCATTAAAAATTAAGAACAAACCCTTTATAGAGTTAAATGTCGGATATAATCGAGAATCGGTAGTACTAAGCTTATTTATATGTATGTTTATAAAATGTTAAAAAAGTATTCTAATACACATAATTTACGGTGGTAGAAACACTAAATGCATTTTTTATTATATAAATATTTAATCTTATTAAATTTTAAGACGATCAAATTCTACAAAATATTTCACTAATTTAACTAATGGATGTTTGAAGTATGATAAAAACCATAATTATGTATGTAATTAAGCCATACGCTTTGACGAACTTTTTTCGTATGTCTATTTAATCGCGCATATTATATTTAAACAATTGCACCAATTTAATCGAGAAATTTTAATTGAACAGTAACCAAATAAAAATCTAGCCAAGTGTATTTTCTAGCATTAGAGTAGATCCAAATCTGATAGCTTGAGGTACCAGTTTTACACTGAAGCACGCGTTCAAAGCTGTAGGCTGTGTTAGTATATGCAGTGCCGGATTTAACATTGGCACCGCCCCTGGGCATAGAATTTTTTTTTTGAATAAAATGTAGAAAGTTTAATTTTTTTAATAATGTATTATTTTTTTGAAAAAATCAAAGATATAATTTATAAATGATATCAATTTTTTCCAAAAATGGACCTACTAATTGTTAATCTTTTTTTTATTTTTTGTGAAATAAAATAAGTATTTTCGATAACGAGAAGAAAATTTTTTTCCACCTTCGAAATTTGCCACCCCTTAAAATTTGCCGCCCGGGGCACTAGCCCCGAGTGCTCCTAGTATAAATCCAGCGCTGAGTATATGTACATAATATAAAATAACGCTATGTTACGTTATACATGTACGTACATATACGTACCTAACGTATTATGAATTATCAATGTAAAGATACCCTTTATGAAAAATCCATTAGCCAGTGGACTTGGTAAACAATCGTTCAGTGTTCAAGGAAGCCTTTCTACCTGAAATCGATGTTTGCCTTGGACACATTAAAAACACCGAATCAATATATGAAGGCGGCTCGGAAACGTGTAAAAATGTATTGACTAATGACCTTTGACTAATGATCAGTCTACCCTGGTCTTTTGCAATAGTAAAAGGTAGCTATTAACTTACAATTTTCCTGCTTCAAATATTAAATAAGTTATCGGAAAAACAGTTGCATACCTATAGGCTATAAATAATTCGATAATCGCTTCTATATCATAAATTATGCCTTTATTGAATAACTACTGACTACTCTCGACTCCGGCTTCGCCTGAATACTTTATATTTCGAAAATTATCAATTTTATCCAATTGTATCAAGGTTTTCTTTTTCATGTTAACCAATAAAATTACTTTATTCAGTGGTCAACACTTTGAAAATATTTAACTGTTATATTTCCAACTTCCATATTATATAGATAAAATATATTTTGATTATAGTTTTAATAAGGATGATAAACTAAAAAAGTTTTATCATAAACACAGCTAAATACACTTTTGTCTAAAATTTTATTGTTAGACTCATTTTGGGTCAATTTATTGAATTCTATCGTTAAATCGTGATGTCACGGAAATCGTAATCATGTAACATTGTAACATTAATATGTTGCATTTTTGATTTTGTAAATATTATAATATATATAATATTCTTTACTTGTAATATAGGTAGGTTATATATATGACAGAAGTACATACAATTATTACATACGTACGTTATGAATTAAAAATTAAAGAAATCCCCTAACCAAATTAATTGTCATTTAACGATTACACTTGTACGCGTGTAGCACATGATGATATGCTCCTGACCGATTCCAGCCACGGCGGCCTATCTCATTGAGACTAGCCAACTGCGCAGGAGATATTATAGTGCACAAGTGTACGCGCAGACACAAGTGCACTCTCTATTCCTGTCACTCTCATATTCCGGTGGGACGACTGCTCGACACGACCAGTGAGAGTTAAGGCGCAGGACCGACGGCTTTACTTGCTCTCCGAGGAACGGAGGTGAAACACCGCCAACTTCCCAACTTAATAACTAAATTTGGTCCGACCCGAGACTCGAACCCAGGACCTCCGAGTGTGCAGCCGTACATGCTAGCCACTACACCACAGAGGCACATAATCGAGTAATCATACGCCAAAATGCCTTACATCATTTTGGAAAAGAGCTGATACTCTTACACTACTGGACCGATATTAACCAAACATAGCTACGATGCCACAGTCAGATACACACACATACAGACATCCACGTCAAACTTATAACACCCCTTTTTTGCGTCAGGGGTTAAAAAATAAGTATAAGTAACACAACAAAATATAATATAGTTTGAAATGTGATAATGATGAATATCATAAAATAGTTTGGATATAGAGAATGATGCATAGTGCAGTTGGTTATTTAATAATGCGGTACAATTTACAATTGCTGCGGAAAGCGGCAGGCGAGGCTTTATCAGATGGAAATTATACCGCCCGGTCCCTACTCCACGACCACGTTGCCTGCGCCGCTATTCCATTATTCAATAAAGACTAATCTATTACAGCTAGGAAAACTTATGTAAATGTGCCTTGGTGTAATATAACAAAAAGGATGTTTAAATTACACATTGTATTAACTTATATAATACCCTTGCTGATGAACAATACCCCATCTCCCCTCCCCGTTTTGAGTTCAATTAATGAATGTCTCCTAGGACAAGGTGTTATGTCATTTAATTTGTTTTTAGACAATTTTATTTCGAATCCCAGTAAATAGGTACTGTAGTGTACAGATAATACACCCATTTTTAGATATACAAGACCTCCTTTTGTAAGAACAGTTTATAGTTTATAACTCCACTATAGTTCCGCCCTTAACAGTTATAGTTTCATAATATGCGATTCGAAAAAAGAGAGAGATGGCTCCAAGACATTGCTACGAGTAATAAATTATTCCACTAAATTCATATGTAGAGAATGTTCTAAAACAATATGTAGCCATACAATGTTTTATCATTTAATTATTATAGCGTTATCTAATCAGAACCACTTGTTTCAAGTGAATCTATAGAGATACGCCCAATTGAAATTTTTTTCGTTTAAGCCATCGCGGATAAAATAAAAGCAGACTATACAAAATATTACCTACCACACAAATGCCGCATGTGCTAAGTAGCTTCTATATATGTGTAGGTTTGTAGTTTATACGTTTGTGCTCAAGTATGTACTTTTGCAAAGCTATAAAAAATACACCCGTGTTGTAGGCTAGTTTATAGATATATATTACTCTCATCATCAAATGTCCTTAGATTCAAAATTTACTTTTCCATCTGAGTGATTATAACTTCGAAACAACTAACTCTGATGGGTACATCAGAGTTTGATTTTTGTACATTATTATTAGCTTTTTAGTAACACAATACGATATCTCGCCAGATTTTGTAACGATACTGTATTACATTTAGGTAAGATAAATGTCGGTTGAATTAGCATTAGAATTAATGACCATTCCAGATACAAATAAAAAAGAAACAGTTTTATAGTATATTTAAATTTGCTCGTTTATGGATTCGCAATTAGTCTTTATATTATTTACTAGTGACTCACCCTCACTCCGCTCGGATTCGTCCCTACTTACGTTTTAAGGTTTAGTATGAATTTCTCAAAAATAAGATATTTTCCCGCAGTAAAAAGTATCCTATATGTTAACCCGTATAACCAGCTATCATCATACCAAATTTCATTAAATTCCCTCCAGCGGTTTTTCCGTGATGCGTTAACAGACAGACAGACAAACGGACAGACAGTCAGACAAAAATTCTAAAAACTATAGATTCGGCCTCCGTATCGATAATAATGTCTATTTCAATAAGAATTTTCAAAAAAATGTTAATGTACAGATTCGACTTAGTTAGAATTTTATTATACGAGTATGTATGGCTTTTTATAATTAACGATTTAAATTATGTACAGAGTACATTCTTTACATTTATCAACCTTCGTTATGAAACAACATGAATATGTTCTACTATATTATTTTATTATCTTCAGCAACACCTACGTGACAGGCTTCAAACCTTGACTAGATTGATGTAACTTGATGATATATTATATAGCTATAATATAATGACGCAGGTATAATCTTTAGTTAACATTGCCCATATTTACTAACCATTATAAATCGGACCAGATCATATTATACAGCTAAAAGATACTTACAAGATTAGGAACTAGGCTATTACAGTCGATATTGTCATGTCGTTCCGTAATTACGGACATATAGAGTCATTAAATTGAAACAAACATTGAACCTACTTAAGTTTCAACCTGAAACCTTATCGAATGTTTTATATATACTAGCAAAACCCGCGGCTTAACATAGACCGACTAGGGAAGAAAAATAGTGAATGATGTGAAACTGAGGTTTAATCGTTATAGAAGTAAAAAAAACATGGAAATTGTTATTGGAACTATTTACAGCAATTGATTTATATATATATATATATATATATATATATATATATATATATATATATATAATTGATTTATATATATATATATATATATATATATATATAAATCAATTGCCGTTTGTTAGTCTCGCTAAAACTCGAAAACAGCTGGACCGATTTGAATAATTCTTTTTTTGTTTTGTTGGGGGTTTGTTAAGGGTGGTTTAAGTATAAAAAAATAGTGAAACCTCAAAAAACAGCTGAAAAATTGAAAAGTTCAGAACAGTTTATTTTGTACCTATGTATATACGTAATATGCTATATATACATAGGTACCTGGTGTATTTATTCCATACTAACCGTTAAAAGCTTAAAACGTACCTAGAGATGAACTCGACCGAAGCGAGGGTGTCGCTAGTAGGATATAAAATCAGCGCTTATATAACTTTATTATAAATAAAAAGAGCACCTAGGCACTAGACCCACACTCTACCACTAGAAGCCTCATTAATTATTTAAAAAAATACTTTAATAAAAAATTTCTTAAATACATATTATTTTTTAGAATTCATCAAAATAAGTTAGACACGTTTGACCAAAAAAGTAAGATTTTAGAGCTTAAACTATTTGAAGAATATATTTTTACTTTTGTCTCCTTTATACAAACATTGACAAAAGGAAACAGAGAATAATTTAAGTACGACATTTTAATAATACAGCTAATAAAATTTCCTTACTCATGAAATTTTTAACGTACTTTTTCCACTTTTAAAATTTTGAGGCTTTAGCGCTGTCGGCTTCAACTTTAGGCTAAAAATACATGGAATAAACTATAATACGTATTATACGTATATATATATATATATATATATATATATATATATATATATATACGTATATATATATATATATATATATATATATATATTAAAATTTTTGTTAACCTTAAAATATTATTTCGATAACAAATCATAGCCTAAAGTTTGTAGGAGCAATATAGAGTAAGCACTTTTTAAGCAAATAAACCTTGTGCTAAATATGTTAATTAAGTGAAGCACGCTGTAAAAATTCTTTCAAACGAAATCTTTTTAAGTATATTTCTTACTTTTGTATTTGATACTTGAAAGGTGCCAAGTACGCTACGGTTCGTGTTGAACATTAATGAAGCTCGTGTGAGGAAAATGGCCATGAATATTTAACAAACCCTCCTGACTCTATTCAGCCTTCATGACGTCATAAGATGTGGCTCTTATCGATATATTTTCACTTCTTTAAATGAGATTAGTCTCATGAGTTAATTGATACTTTAATTGTTTTTATAACTTAGGTCTGAGCTTGATTTTGACAAAATTTATTTATGTTGAAGTTAAAATGTAAAAATTGTTATAATTTAAATATACTACGACGACTTAGGAGGGAAGACTTAGTCCTTCATTCCAGTATAAAATTTTATCTTTTAAATTACGCCAATTTCTGCTCTATAAACCCAAATATATAAATATTTAATGTAAAGAATTGTTTACATACTTATATATAAGACAACATTGTGATAAGCACGGTTCCTGCACGGCGTGTCGATCACATAAAGAGCGCTGCATATACCTAGACACTGGCCTTGCCACAACACGGGGTAGCCACCCTCGCCGGCCGAAACCACAACGTCTGATTGCTACAACGTTGTTTCAAGTTCAATGTTTCTATTAACAAAATTATTGATTATGACCTCTTAACAATTATTTGGTATAGTTTTATACTAATCATACCTGAACCTTGTAATATCAAAATCGTTGATTAGTTCGGTTTATTCAGCTTTTATCTAACAAAGGCATCTTCATAACATCTAAATAAGCTATGTGCATTGTGCACTAGATTTTATATTATGTAATAACCTCCCGATATTTATTTCCTATTAGGTAATGTATACCAAAATTTCCAAACGTTTATTATTACAAATATATATTACTATATCATTATTTTTATAAATGCTTATATATGTTTAAAATAAATATATAATACGTAATATGTATATTTTATTTGATGATAGTGATAGTATTTGTTAAATTTATACATATAATAAAATCCTAACTGAGCCGAATCTGTACATAAAATATTTTTTAAAAATCTGATTGATTATTATTATTGACACAGAGGCCGAATCTATAGTTTTTAGAATTATTGTCTGTCTGCCTGTCTGTTTGTTTGTTTGTCTGTGACCGCATCACGAGAAAACCACTGAACAGATTTTAATGAAATTTGGTATGATGATAGCTGGTTATCCGGGTTAACATATAAGATACTTTTTACTGTGGGAAAATATTTCATCTCTGAGATTTCTTTAATCTATACTAAACGTTAAACATAACTAGACACCAACCCGAGCGGAACAAGGGTGAGTCGCTAGTTACATATGTATGTATTAAACCACGCAACGTAAAAAAAAGACTGCTTCTTCCGGCCAGTCAGCCGTCGACATGATATATTATAAAAGTATTGTTGTTTTTGTCGCTATATTCTGTTAATATTTATGACTATTATAGTTTTGAGTTCTGCTCTACTTTTATCCGAATCACTTATCCGCCAGCACCCATCCGATACAAAACGGTTTGGCCATTCTAAGAAATTATTATCTACTTTTAAATAGGCTATTTAAAGCTGCTATTTATACGTCAGTACACGTCAATACGGGGTTGGTATTTTCAATTAATCCTTATTATTTTCAATTATTTTTTGCTTCCCGATGTTTTAAATGCTTTACACTGTTACAGTTTACAGCAATCATAATCACAGGAGAGATTAAGTTTTTAGACTTCTCAAAGGTCAAATTACACAATGATTTTAAAAATACAAAGATGTATCATTTGCGTTAAAATTCAGGGATTGTAGAGACGAAGTGCTTTAAACTTTTGTTCCTCATGACTGAAAGAACGGGCATTATGATTTTATCATATGAAGGATGATAAAATCATAATGCCCGTTCTTTATAACATATGCATATAATATTACGATCGTAGATAGCGCCCAAAAAACTATTCCCACGCGGATTTAAAACTCGTACAGTAATTGACTTATACACTTTAAAATAAATATGTATAATAGGTATGTACAATGTACATATATAGATAATGTTTATGTTTTATGTTTATTTAATATTTATTTTTTATATGTGTATTATTGTACACATTATGTACATATTATATGCGTATGTATGTAAAGAATTAAATTTAATACTAATGAGGTGATATTAAAATAGCATAAACTCTACTTTACAATTTACGCAAGCAAGTACGCGCGCTTGTTATATTTAAAGAAGTAAATAGTATACATCACGAATTGTAAATATATAAGTTATTTATATACTACATTAGCTATCGTGACGTAGTGTGAGACGTGACGTTTTCTTGTAATATAGATGGAAAGTCTCGAATAGGTCAGCAGCGTATTATACGCCATCATTTAGTCAGATAAAATTTCAAAACTAATAAATCTCTCATGAAAATCTCTTACGAATAAATACAAAACCAGATGTAACTGACATTTCAAACATTGGAATCTGTTATGAGAGATTACTCATCTGTTCATTTTTCCAATCATAGACGTACGTAAACAAACAGTATATAAATGCTAGTTTTCTATGGATGCGTATTGGTATTGCGTAACGTATTATTAATACATACACTATAATATTTCATAGTGTGAAAGTTGAAAATTTATTAAGTCGAAAGCTAATGAAGCTCTATAGACAGCATCGAAGCTTTCATCGTAATTCAATAAGAATGGCACCCCGTAGGACGGCCTCGTCTTATATATTTATAGGGAAAACATGCGAAAAACATGCAGATTTAAAAAAAAGTAAAGATATGATACAAATATATTCTTTATATATAGATATGTAATACTATAATGTAATTTACGACCACTTTAATGGAGATATCCACAAAGATTTTGCTCACAAGCAACACAACTTGTTTTCCAGTTATAGGTAAGTAGAGCATATTACTATGCTATTATATATTCTCGGTTTAAATTTTTCTTGGTTTACGAATTCTATTAGTATATCTAGTCAAACTAGGTCATCAAAAATCATACTAGAACTTTACTGCGTATTATAGTAGTCTATAGGTATATTCGTCAAACATTAACCATGGTCTTATATTGATTGACATGCCTTTGATCGTTTTTGAAAATAACAATTTGTAAATATATAGTAATTGATTCATTGTAAGAACAAAATGAAACAGTAGATATTTAAAATTATGTACAAAACTAAAATACTATTTGAATCTCAAGGGAATTTGGCACCATATAGCTAGCAATTTAGAGAAGGTTACGTTTTGCTATAAATATGAAACTATTTCATTATCACAAGTGATATAAACCTGGGAGTTTATTTTATACTGATATGAAGAAACATTAAAATGTGTAAATTAAAATGGACACGCAAAATTTTTTGTATGTTGTATTCAGCCCTTTTTGCTGCTGGGCACGGGCCTCACTTCAGTACGAGGGGAATCAGGCCATAGCCCACCACGATGGCCAAGTGCGGGTTGGCGGAATTTACATGTCTTTTAAAAACTTGCTAGGTTCTCTCAGATGTGCAGGTTTCATCACGATGTTTTCCTTCACCGCTAAGACAATTGGTAATCATGTTGGAAATGATTCGCATATGAAAATATCAGAGGAGCGAGACCCTGGATTTGAACCCGCTTACTGGGCTACCACTGCCTTGTAATTTTTTACCTAGTAATAACTGTTATATAAATGCTTACAGATTTATTGTAATTTTTCATAGAACTAATTAAATTATCAAAAAAAAATCACCTCATAAGAATCAGGTGCGTCGCTTTCAGCGATGGAAGTGAAGAGATGGCTGAGAGCTCTGGACATAAGACCCGTCATTGTGTGCGTTTTGCCGGCGCCAGTAGCCCCGTAGGCAAACACAGCCCCCGCTATACCGTTCAGCGTGTCACCAACAAGCGGTGCACATATAGCTTGATACACATCTTCCTACAGAAAACATTAGTAAAAGTCAAAAATGTTTATTTAGGATATTATATATAGTTTATTAAGATATATCATTATGAAACTAGCTCAAAGTGCAGACTCTACTACAATATTGAAAAAAAAATCTTTGCTTATTGTAATAAGAATTTAATTAGAGATAACTTACATTTTAAAATTAAATGAAAACACCAAAAAACTTATAATCAACAAAAATGCATAATCTTAATAACCTGTTGGAAGACTAATAAACTTGTAAAAAGTAACAATTTCAAGGGATTATAGTAACAAAAAAACTCTATAATCTCTATAAATTCCCATATTGGAACCCTTTACTTGTAAAAAAAATAATAATATCAGTTTGTGATAAGATGAAATATGAATATTTACACGTATAGTGATATAATTCACACAGGTATTATTGTATGATGTGCAGGTATCGTTTACTTAAGTCATATAAAACATACTTGAGTGCTCTCCTCTGAAAAGACGCGGTCGTAAACGTAATGTTTATCGTTGAGCCGGCGCTGGCGTAACACGTCACGGCGAGAATCCGCCTCCTCCTCGAGGACTAGCATCTGTTGTTGTAGCAATACGTATCTTAGTAAGTAATTTTATATAATATGTAATATGCATAGTCATGTATATTCTTCTAAACGTAGAATTTTAGCTTTCTACTATATACCGAAAGTTCAAACTAATGAATACAAATATATATATATATATATATATATATATATATATATATATATATATATATATATATATATATATAGATATAGATATATATAGTACCTAAATAAGTAATTGAGAAAAAAATCAAATAATTTTATTTGAAGGTTCTTCCTATATATGCCCGCCCCCTATACAGTAGGTATAATTATAAAAAAAAATTAAATGCAAATATCGTAAAGTTTATATTTATAAAAAAATACTTCCTTAAAAATAAGGAAGTATTATTTTACATGAAACTATCTTTTCGGGTTTTATTTATTTTTGTTCTCGACGTATCGAATGCTTTCCAGCAATCATGGTCATGGGAGAGACATAGTCACACTTATTTTAATATAATAAGATAGGTACAGATATTATGTAGGAAACGGTCACCTTATCGCTAACCACGTGGACGATCCGGGGACCTTCATCTGCGCGTAGCGGTCGTACTCTTACCGCGACCTACGAGTATAAAATATATTTATATCGAATAGTTAATGTTATTACTAATAACTTAAAATTACATATAATATTATTTATAACATTATCATTAACGACTCTGAATCAATTTCTTAACATTTTTATGGTTGGTACCATACAGTAAGTTAAATTAAAAAAAATAAAAACTGTAATAATATATTGAAAGTTCATTAGCAATTATTTATTACATAATATGTATAGACATAATAAGTAACATTTAATGTAACCCTATAAAAAATATGCTTTTCAACATTCGTAGCAGATTTTTTTTTTTTAAGTAGGTACCTACCATTTTAAATAAAACTATCTTTTCGGTTTTTTTCGCGAATTTATTTTGATTTTTGGTTCCCGACGTTTCGAATGCTTTACAGCAATCATGGTCTCTAAGAAAGTATTATAGGTACCATTTGTCAAACTTTCAGGAATATCAATATATATCAGCTTCTATCTATTCATAAAACTAATAGGCTACACATTATATATGTACATAGCAGTATGTATGTACATATATCTATCTAAGATAGCAAGCAGTCAAATACTTAGTACATAATATCAACGTAGGTACACTAAGACTTAAGAGAAATAATAATTAATTTAACCCGTTTTTTTCTTTCCCATTTTATTGAACTAATATATTTAAGGTGTCATGCCCAACATTTCAAACAGACCAAAAAATATCCATTACAAATCTCTTTCACAGACAGTATCGAACCTGCGGCCACCGGCGCGACGTAAGCTATACAGATAAATAAAATTGAAGTATCTGTTTGTAATGTCAAAATAACAGGATTTTTCTAAATGCGCATGAAGGTATAATATGTTAAATTTTTTGTCTGTCTGTCTATCTGTTTATTCCGGGTAATCTCCGCAACGGCTAAACCGATCTTGACGGGACTTTCACTGGCAGATAGCTGATGTTATACGGAGTAACTTAGGCTACTTTTATTTTGGAAAAAGAATCAGAGTTCCGCACAAAAAAATAAAAACCATGAAATTGAGATAGTAATTTGCATACATAGAAATGCACCCGAGCGAAGCGAGGGTAAGTCGCTGAATTTCAGTCAGTCATGTTAAGATTTGTTTTCATTTTCTTAATATAAAATTAAAATACAAATTTTAGTTTGTTTGTAGTAATAAATAATACCTACGAACCATTAATTTTTCTTCACTAACAGTGCGCCCATTGCCGTGAAACTTATCTGTATAAACGCTTTGAGTCATATCTATAACTTAAAAAGTGTCTATCAATAAATAAATACACTTCTCAACTTTTCAAAACCGTTCTTTCTCTTGTCGATAAAATCCAGTGCGTTATATTAACAATTACTAAAGACACACATATTTTTTGCGTAGTTTCCGTTTTTTTTAAAAGTAAATACATATATATTGCGTTAGCGCGTGGTACTCGTTCCAGTGTAACCACATGGACTGATCGCTGGTCAAAATACAGCCTTCGCTTTGAACGGTCGCCAGGGTAACAGCTAATCATCACAAATGAAATTTTTATGTTTCTTTAAGACTCAATTATGTGCTCAAGAAATTACTTAATTAAATTCGTCAAAAGGCATATATTTATTTTTATATGGTAATGGATTTAAAATATAATTATAATTACGCATCTATATCCTCATTGATCGTTTCTGTCACGACCTGATATCATATTTTTGCATAGGTGCAGGTTGCATTGTAGAACATCTTTACATCAAAATAGCACGCCTAACCCATGACTTAGAATAATTCTCCAATTAATGTTAATTTCATGACAAGGATAATTAATGGATAGTTGCAGAATCATAGCGAGAATGAACACTTTCCAGAAAGAAACCGTCGTCACTGGAATACTTTTTAAAGTTCTATTACTAGAACGCTCTTTATAGGTACCTATGCTTAGAAAGTTTGTAGTTATTAATAAAAAAAAATATCGGTTCACAATTAGCAATGGTATCACGTGTAATAAATAACAATATTATTATATCGTTCCGCTCTTTTGTAGTCCCACGAGTTCGGTCTTCCCTCAATGCAAATAGATTCATATATAAATAGCCCACAGTTCATCCCTCTGGACAAATACAGATTGATGGACCGAACACACGTCTTCTGAAAATTAGTCATGTTCTTCAATATGCAGGTTTCCTCATGTACCTATTTTTTCTTTATGTAGGAACGTAGGTATTTGTTGATACTTATAGAATTTAAAAAAAAAACACCGTGTATTTTTACATTTACATAACCCTTTTTAATAATTCCCATTACCTGACATGTATTCATAACTATTAATAAAAGATTTTTAACCTCGTATAATAAAAATTAAAAAAAAAATTAGAAAAACAGAACATCGATTGCATATTACTACTCAATCTCAATGTTCCTTCGTACCTTGTTCACATCTTTTTACCCGACTGCGACGAAGCCCAAAGGAGGGTTATGTTTGACCTGTATGTACGTATAATGTATGTATTAGTGTACCACCAGAATATATTCCCTCATAATTACTAAGCGGCTTAACCGATTTTGATGATTCAATGATTCATACGTCGTCTTGATAACGTCTTAGGTAAGTGTCATAGGGTATAAGATTACATTAAAAATGGTGGATCTAAGGCGCCAATTTGTGTGTCTGATAAGGTATCTATAGTAAATGAAAAGTACCAGTGATCAGTTATTTTTACTTTTTAGTGGTTTTTTTTTTGAAGTTAAAAAAAATCTTTAGTTCATTTAAAAATATTACTTACATACTAGCGGCTTACCGTCGCTTCGTTCGGGTTCGTCGCTAGGTACGTTTTAAATAGATATAAATAGTTATTAGCCGGCGTTAGCCATATAAATTAAAAAAAAAATTCCTTAATTTTTCATTTTTTCTCTTTATTAAAACCTTCCGTGGACACATACGAAAAATTGTTTTTGCCGAATTGGCCCAGCCATTCTTGAGTTATGCAGTTACCAACATTCATTTTTATGTATATAGATAGAGAAGAATATAGATAGATGTATGTAATATTTTTACATTTTTATTACGAACACTGACATTTCGGGTGGTATTTGAAAAGAGCGCACAATTTCGAAATATGCGCTTTTTTTTGAGGGTACTTTAGAGACCCTGATTTTATATCTTGAGTTTTGTATATTAATGCAGGCAGGTATAACACTAAAACATATTAAGGTAAAGGTTTAAGTAAAACAGTAAAATATTGTATTAAAATATATTTACTTTTAAATATAGACATTGCATGAAATTTCTTAAAATTCTTTTACTAAATCAAATAAATATTTTAAACTGTACCAGGTGCTAATAATTTAACTCCTCTATCAAATAACCTAAAAAGATATTGTGATGGTTTTTGATTATATGTATACACATTTTCACTCTGATACTTATGATATAAATATTTCAATGTTAATCGACCAGAGACATCAGCACTTAATCCTGAAGGTAAATTTTCCACCTCTGCTAAAATCTGTGCCTTATGAGAAAGGCTATTTGCTAACACATTGGTTATATCATCCTCATTTGCAACATTACAATGAACAAACAAACATGAATTGTTATAGCTTCTTATTAAATCAATCACATTTTTACATATATCATTAACTTCTTTTAAGGTAAATTGCATATCAAACAAATGAGAAATTCCTTCAAAAATTACATTAACAACAGCATGCTTTTCATGTAGTTTGACAAGCTTTTCCTTTATTTTAAACCATATATCCAATGACAAAGTGCATTTATTTTCTAACATGGTATTTACCAAATCTCCACCTACATCATAGTAGTCTACTAAACCTGATTCTAAAGATTTCTGTAAATTATAGTTCATTTTGAGACCTACATTATGATAATGTGAAAAACTGTTGTGTATTAATACTACCAGTACAGCACTTTTATTTTTTATACAATTCCCTAGAACACAACTAGAAATAAATGAGCTATCACATCCATTAATTTCTTTTATTATTATAACTTTGCTAGAATCACTTATTTTATCCAGTTCAAAAGTTGTTATAATATCTGAAGTCATGCTGTAAAAAAAAATATTGATTAGTAACTAATATTACCAAAATTTTATATAACATATGCAACATGTCTTGTAATTGAAGTTTATTTTCCACTAATAAGAAAAGTACGATAAGCAACAGCTATACACAATACACATTGCTCTGCTTAGTACAGAAAACGATCGTACTTCGTCAGAGCAAGCCGGCTCACCGCCAGCTAAACTAATTTAATTTTAAGCCGCTGTTAAATGTTTAGGTTACGTAACACTAGCTACCTAATAAATAATTTCTTTGTGACAGTGCGTGATAATAATTTTATAATTTTAATATCTTTTACCTATTCTGTAAAAGATATTTGACCATAAGTAAGTACCTTCAAATTTTATTTATATCACTTAATACTTTGCGTTAAACATAAAAGATTATTAGAAGAAATGAGTAACTAAAATTAGAAGTAGGTAATTGAAATTTGCAAAATATTTAAGAATAAACTATCCAAGTTCGTAAAGACCTTGAAAGTTGAGACCAAACCAGAGAGTTAGAGACATTGACATTAGAGTGAAGAGTTAGAGTAGACAATAGACTAGAGTTGTCACTTGTCAATTGTTAGGTAGTTTTATTTATCACCCATGTTAGGTAGTACCATATGTACCTGATATGAATAATAAACCACATAAAGCCATTATAGAAACAATAATAATAATAAACCAAGACATTTTTGACATCTTTCAAGTGTTTCAGAACGTAATGTAGTTAGGTTAGATATCTGTCACTTGAAAATGAGTGAATGGCAGTTGACAAATGACAATTGACAGCGTCACAGCTGCGGGCTGGGGTCTGGGGGCTGGGGCAGGAAATAGTTTATCATATTTCATTTTCATAATATATATTATACTTTTTGGCGTATTCTATGCTAATGCTTATTATAATGCCTTATAAATAACTGCAACAATTACGGAGATGTTACATAACTTACACAATATAATTTATTCTTGAATTAGTTCAACATTATGAAATTTTGCTTATACATTATTGAGGAAGTAGGCTATTAAAATTTTTCAGCATGGGAAAAGCAAAAGAAGCCAGAGTTTCACAATGGTATTTTGGAGGCCTGGCCTCTGCTGGTGCTGCTTGTATAACTCATCCTCTGGATCTATTGAAAGTACAAATGCAGACACAAAAAGGAAAAAATATTTCAATGTTTCAATTAACCGGAATAGTTTTAAAAAATCAAGGTAAAAATTAAAAGAATATATGTCCTAATTAAATAACAGACTCAAAGACCCTATAAATTGAAATCGCTTTAAAAATTTAAAAAATACGTTTTTTAGCATATTTAATGAAAAAAATATTGGCTTCAATATAAAACACAATTTTTATTTTAAAGGAGTTATGGGTCTTTATAATGGCATATCAGCATCACTGTTACGTCAACTGACATATTCTACAGCAAGGTTTGGCATCTATGAGGTAGCAAAGCAACAACTTACTCCTAAAGATGTAAGTTCTATTCTATATTTTATTAAATAGAGTTTCAATTGTATTTATTACATGTTATTTTTTATTAATCTTAATATATTTCTTAATTCTTATTTTTCTTTTAAAAATAACATTATTTTTAAGGGCACTGCAATTCCATTTTACATGTCTGCCTTCCTAGCAGGCCTCGGAGGTTTTGCTGGAGGCTTTGTTGGAAATCCAGCTGACTTAGTAAATGTTCGAATGCAGAATGATGTAAAACTGCCACCCGAGCAACGAAGAAAGTATGTGTTTTTTTCCAATATATTTATTTTAGTGCTTTCTTAGATTTACACAAATATTTGACATTTAAAATAAAACTATCTTTTTGGATTTTTTTACAGATTTATTTTAATTTTTGGTTATTGGCATTACAAATAAACGCTTTATAACAATCATGGTCACGGGAGACATTTTTTTTACATATCATTGTAAAAATATATTTTTAATTAAAAAAATAGGTGTTACATATAAATGTACATCTTTGTAACATAGTCTCGATAAAGTGACAATATTCAATTGAATTCAATTAGAAAATAGATTAAATTTATACTAAAACAAAAAAAAAAGATCATTACCAAAACTATTACTGTTTACTTTGTTTGTAGCTACAAGAATGCCATACACGGGCTTTACCGTGTTGCTGCTACAGAAGGTGTTCTGCGTCTCTGGGCTGGGGCATCTATGACCTGCAGCCGAGCGGCTCTAATGACTATTGGCCAACTTTCCTTTTATGATCAAATCAAGGGAATACTTCTTGCTGTACCATATTTTGGGGACAATGTAATAACACACGTAACTTCAAGTTTGCTAGCTGTAAGTATATTATTTATTTCATTAGAATTGTAGTTATGCAATTTGATTCAATTTATTTTTAACAAAATGTTGTCCTTAGGGTGCTGTTGCTACAACATTGACTCAACCAGTAGATGTACTAAAGACTAGAGCAATGAATGCAAAGCCAGGTGAAGTTAAAAGTATTTTGAAATTAGTTAAAAACACTGCCATGGAAGGCCCATTAGCATTTTTCAAAGGCTATGTCCCAGCATTTGTAAGACTTGCCCCACACACTATCCTAACATTTGTATTCTTAGAACAATTGAGAATGAATTTTGGATATATAAAAGGAAATTAATGGATAAATACATTCACACACTAACACTTTTATGTATCTTCATTGATTTTGAGGGCCTTGGTATCATGTGTTCCGTTTATATTATATTTTATAGGTGATTTTTTTGAAGCTTGAATTAGTCTCAAATGTTTTTATATCATTTTATTTTTACAGTAGGGTTAAAGTTGCAGAAAAAACTAATAATGTTATTTTTGGGATATTTTTTTTATTGCTTTTAAAGGACCTGAGCTTTTATAGATTGTACTGTAGACTAGTTCTTAAATAGAGCTGCATTTTTAGGATAACAATTACCTAACAGATCTGTCCTGCACTATTTTTTAGATACATTTATTACGTTTTTAAGTCTTTTTTTTTAAATTTTATACTTTTTTTTTCTATGATAGTAGGTTAACAAGTTACCATCAAAAATATTATTTTGAATTAAGTTTTTTTTTATACTATTTGGCTATAAGTCAAAATTTCTCAAAGAGAATTTTACAATAAGTGTTATTATTAAATACAACTACCATTGTTTAGAGCCTAAGTAGGACCAATTTTAAAAATGGGTAAACAAATCTTAGTTTATATTTTAATTTATATTTCTAAATATGTGTGACTATTTGATTGACTCTCATATTATGTATTATATATGCATTTTTATTATCTAAAATATTTTTATATTGTTTTATTGCTGATTTAACATGTGTAATTGCTAAAGCTTTTATTGTTATAGTACAATTATAAAATTTATATATAGCTAACTAATAATTAATATTTAATACCATTAAATTATCTGTTACTTTGTGTACACTATAGCTTGCATAATAGTTGTTTTTATATAATAAACTGTATACAGTAACTGCTTACACGCACGTAACCGAACAGCAGAAGCTGCAAAAACTTTTTATGCACACCTCATTTGTAGACCATATTTTACTTTTCTCCATGAATAATACCAAGCATGATGACATATTTTCTCATCTGGTGCCAAAATTTTGAAGGGCGATTGTATGTAAGCCAACTTTTCATACTTTGTACAATTTAGAATGTTTGATATTTATATTTTGTGATAACATCCATACTTTCTGAAGCAATTTAACATTCCTAGATAACCGGTGCAGTTAAAATGTTATATGTATATATACAAAGTTATTGTTAAAGTAATGATGGCACGGTAGTATATCTTGTGTATTAGGGTGTTCTAGTGATTGTGTATTCACTTTAAACTATAGTTTAATCAGATGATCTTAAAAGTACGAGAAATGTACCTAATGTATAATGTACATACATAGACAGACATACCAGTCCGGCTAGAATAAGATAAACAAATAATTAAGAATAGTAACTCAATCTTCCAAACTTGTACCAGTAACTTGATATATTTTACTTTTTTTATTGATATTCAATACTAATGGAACTAGTGATCCTAGTCTATCTGCCTAATATTGTTACATATAGTAATACAAATAAAAATATTATATTAAATATTGACATGAAACATAGATGTCCTTGTTATTAGTGGTTGTGCATTAAATGTTGAATATAACAATGCTGTTTTATTGAAATACCTTTTATATGTTTATTTTACCCCTTTTTAACATTCCGCTACTGGGCGTGGGCCTCCTTTCAATATGATGATGATGTTCTCCTAGCCGATTCCGGCCACGGCGGCCAATCTCATTGAGACTAGCCAACTGCGCAGGAGACATTATAGTGCACAAGTGTACGCGCAGACACAACGTGCACTCTCTATTCCTATCACTCTCATACTCCGGTGGGACGACTACTCGACACGACCGGTGAGAGTTAAGGCGCAGGACCGACGGCTTTACGTGCTCTCCGAGGCACGGGGGAAACACCGCCAACTTCCCAACTTCGGGCTGTTACTGAGACTTACTATACAGGAAGACTCAATAACTAAACTTGGCCCGACCCGGGACTCGAACCCAGGACCTCCGGGTGTGCAGCCGTACATGCTAGCCACTACACCACCGAGGCAGTCAGAGCCACTAGCCACCACACCAAGCCTTTCAATATAAGGGGGATCAGATCGTAGAGATCATAGAGAAATTTCACATGTCTTTCGAAAACTTGCTAGGTTCTCAAACATACATCTGGTAAGTTGAGTGGAGTTATACACAAGAGTGATGCGAGATTCGAACCCGTTCCACTTAGCTCAACAAGTGCGTTACCATTAGGATAATAAAGTCTTATGAGTGTCTATGCTTCCCAAATACATAAATTTAAATGAAAACATCATCATCAATATTATTAAACAAAACTAGCATTTGAACTATCTCATTGTATTAATGCACCTATACTCGACCTTTTTTTTACAGGGGCCACAAACACGTTTCAGTCATGGTATCGAGGGCCGCAAGCAAAAATTATTTAGGTCTTAATTAAAACGTAATACCACGTTAACGATGTAGTTACAGTTTTAACAAAAATGTTTATATGTTTTAATGCGATTTTTGATACTGTGAACATTTTTTTCAAAACTTTATCAAGGTCTGGCTTAAGTCGCTCTCGCTTCATGCTATCCTTATAACATAATCCAGATGAGAATCTGTAAGTTTCTTTAAACGTTTTTTGTGTATTTCATTTTTGAAAAAGACGATTCGCACACATACGTAATACCAAAGAATGTTAGTAGGATTTGGGCACATCTTTGGATGCTTTTATATTTTAGGGGAACAATACTCCAAAATTTCACATATTATTCTCTGTTTTCCCTTTTTTCTTTAAACAGTACTTCTAGATTGGTATCGTTTTCAAAATCGATGAACTCATCAAACAACTCTGAGTAATTACAATTTAAAACGGAAGCTAACTCTGAAATGTAACTTCAGATGGGCCAATAACAAAGGCCCGGCAGCCGCAGATTGAGTATAGCTGTATTAATGTGATGAAATTGCACTGACACATCACTCAACAGGATATTATATTCTTCCTGTTTACAGCCAGCTTGTTTGGCAAATTATTTTGCAGTCAATGAATATTTAACAAAGTCGACAATATTTATCTGGTTGTGTGAAATAAAATATTAAGTAAATGCAACATCCTTTATTTTTAAATAGGTAATTTACAATCACAGTGATAACAACAATCTACTTATTGGCGGTGATTAGATTTCCCTAGCAACTGTTTTCAGAACTAACGACAGTAGGTCGTTTACCATGATACTATAAACCCAAAAATTCTAAAAACTTAATTCTCTAAAAAAAATCTTTTGAAACACTGCCTTTTAGCCCTCAAAACCAGAGTAATTCTTAATTATTTGTTAAAAAATTAAATTATTAGTCGTTTGAAATCAATAATTTTATAAACATTATGATCTATACTTTTAGAAACAATCTAAATATTGATTTTATTGGTCAAAGATATGTCAGTAGGGAAATCTCTTCACTGCCAATAAATCTTTGGACGTTTAATTTTTAATGGCACAATAGAATTAGGAATTTTAATACCAAAGATACAAGCAGATTCTCGTTTACAAATGCTTTAGTAATTATACATAAATTATATTATGTATATAATAAATAACAATGTACATAATTAATTACATATATTTTATGACAAAATTCTTTGGCATATTGTACGGAGAAATAATAATAAAAAAATATTTATACTTACTCATTTATGAGTATTAAAAGATCACGTTTACATCATTACTAAATATATTTCTTTTCTAAAATATATAACTACCCTACAAATTAAATAATTTTGTAATATAAGTACATAATATTTGAAAAAAAGCATATTAGTACTTTTCAATTCCTTCATATATCTAAGGCATAAATAGTATATGGCCACATAAAAATTAGTCCACGACACCTATTAAATAGAATGAATAGTAGTAAAAATAGTAGCTAAATCCAATTACCGGGATTCAATATGTTTAATATTAGTACCGCTTGCCCACTAAATCACACAGGAAAACAAAATAAATTTTATATTAAAATAATAAATATTTTTATATCCGTCATATGAGTCAATTTCAAAGTGTCTCTATAGTGTTGTTTTTTCCTGTTTAATAATAATGTACTGTTAACACAAATATTTACGCCACGCAATAATAATCGAAAATCTAAGGCTGGATTCACACGGCGTTGTTCTGCACGTTTTTTTAGTATTCCATTTTATACGTACATTCAGCCGGGTGTTTTCATACGTTGTCATAGTGAGTCGGCAGTGATGGATCCACGCTTGGTCGTTCTTTAATATTGGTTTTGAAGGCGAGAAAGGCCAAAGAGACAGAGCTAAACTATGCGCCACTGCAAACCGAATATATTAAAATTCATTAGATTTGCTTGTCAAGTCCGGTGAGTATTCGGTTAAACGTATAAAAGGTGTACGATTTTTTGCAGTACAAAAGACATGTGAACGGTTCTATGTACGATGTATGTGCCACTATACATTCGTTAAGACGTATACTGCATAAAAACGTGCAGGACAATGCCGTGTGAACCCAGCGTAAGGGCGTGTGCATACGACGACTTTTAACGCGCTGTAGACGGGCGTGCGTTTCTCACGAGTTTATATCGATGCGAACTCATAGACCCTAACACACTATATTACTAGCGCTCATATTTTATGCTAGTGACTCAACCTTGCTTCGCTCGGGTTCGTTCCTAGGTACCTTTTAATTTTTTTGAACGGAACCCTAATTCTTTTTCCAAAATAAAAGTACCCTATGTTACTTCTTATAATATCAGCTATCTTCCAGAGAGAGTCCTGTCAAAATCAGTCCAGCCGTTTCAGATATTATCCGGAAGAAACTGACATATAGACAAAAATAAAATAAAAATGTGTTTCTTATAAGTACCGTACATACCGTATACTTTCATGTGCATTTAGTAAAACGCCGTTATTTTGTCATTAGAAACGAACACTTCAATTTTATTTATCTGTATAGATAACTTATGACACTAAGTGAGCTTGACTTTCTGTCTTCTTCCTATTACCGCGTTGCGCCCAGGGCTCAGAACCGTTTTAAAAATAACGGTTTCATCGTTTTTAACCGGTTAATGAAAACGAACAGTTTATTAAACCAAAATAATAATGGTAAACGGTTGTTACGACGGAATATACATATGAACTCAGTTATCAAGACTTATTTATACAGATAAATAAAATTGAAGTGTCTGTTTGTAATATCAAAATAACAGCTTTTTACTAAATGCATATGGAATTATATACGGTATTTATAAGAAAAACACAATTTTTATCATTTTTGTCTGTCTGTCTGTTTGTTCCGGCTAATCTCCGAAACGGCTGGGCCGATTTTGACGGGACTTTCACTGGCAGGTAGTTGATGTCATAAGGAGTAACTTAGGCTACTTTGATTCCAGTAAAAGAATTAGGGTTCTGATCAAAAAAAATAAAATGTACATAGGGAGGAACCCGAGCGAAGCAAGGGTGAGTCGCTAGTTTGAAATAAGATTCACTCCAATACACATTATGTTAACGCTATAACAATTTTACCTTATTACAGTACGGAAGTATGTAGTAGTATTTACCTCTACCAGATCATGGATATAAAGAATATTAAAATATTGAATAATCAGTATTATTAGTGACACTCACAACGTCAAAATTTCAACACAAAAATATTACACTAACACCTACAAACTCTCTCTCTAAACTCTACATATAGATGTAAATAATAAAATACTGCACTTTAATTATTTTACAAACAATGGAATATAAATGCTCAGTATACGTATATATCTATATTTAGACATGTATGGAAAACGGTAACTGCTTTATAAAGTGTAATAATGATGAAAACAAGTAAATCACACGTATTCTAGCTGTGAGCGGTTTGAAATTAGACTTTTCAAGCATCCATCAATTCTAAGCGCTGTTTGCAATTTGCGAACAAACAACTACTTAGGTATTAATATTTATTTTTTTATTTTTTATAAACAAAAAATTATTACCTAAGTAGTTGTTTGAACGCAAATTGCTACTTAGGTATTAATATTGAGAGCTAAATAGGTATTTGTATCTTATTTTAGAGCGACAGAGTTATAATATAAGTAATATACTTACATGTATTACAGTGCAGGTAAAAATGCGATTAGAAATGGCAACATTCATTCCTTTACTGCCAGCAAAGTTCCAATTTCGAAAAAATATGTTTGCCAGTTTTACGTATTATTTAGTAACATTTTTCCATTTGGTAACAATTAAATGTAAAATATTATTTATTTTTGCAATATCTGATATCAGCGAGTGTGAAAAAACTGAGTACAAAAGTGTATACGACTAGATGCAAATATAACCCCATAGTAACGTCACACTCGCGTGAGTAATGTCGGATATAAAAGGGATGAAGACGTTTATATATATATTTATTATAACGCTATTGTTGCCTGCGCATTGTGACCCGCCGCCGCCGGAGCGCCGCCTAGCGCGCGCGGCGGGCGGCGGGGCGCAGCACGGCGCTGCGGCCGCCCGCCTCCACCAGGATGGTGGCGGCGCCCTGCATCCAGGGCTCGCCGTCCACTTGCATCGCGCAACAACCCTCCAGATCGATCTGATGGAAACATACATTACTTATTTACTATCAACTAACCCATACTTCACTCCGGTTCGTTAGAAGTGCTATTTGTGTTCACAAAAATATACTATACAGTTAGCGTAGCAAGCTTTAAATTTCATCATAACCCGTCCAGCCATTTTAGCGTGAAAGAGTAGCATATAACTACAAACGCTTGCATTTATAATAGGTACGTAGGTAGTACTATGATCATCAAACATGTGCGTACTTACTAAGAAATATTATATAGTGGTTTTTAATTAGTGGCTGATTCAGAGTAAACGGCAGCGACTCTATTTACTTCATCTTCAGTAAGTAAATAATTTGTTGTTATTATACTAAACTAAACAATAATTATGTATAACTATCGAAATTCGAAGTTTGTATGTATTGTTATTTCAGGTTGTTGCCGGTAGAGAAATTTGCTCTCAATTTCAAATTTAATTGTTGAAACACTAAGAAAATATTGATACAGACACTGTTTATTTTGATCGGTCAAGTACATTCAAATACTAAATCAAACTTTAATAGTAGTGGCAATTTCTGACTTTAGCAGTTGTCTAAAAAATGGAAGAAGAATTAAAAGCTTATGAAATCGTAATAAAAAGCTTATTATAACTTATAAGCTAGCAGTGAGTACTCACGCGCACGCGCGACGCCTGCGCGAAGCGGTAGGGCTGCGCGAGGCCGCACTGCAGCCGCGCTATGTGGAACGACGACGATATACCCACCACCTCGAGGGCAGACATCATTTGTTTACTCATTTGAAAACATACTTCACATATTATAATGATGATGAACATTATTGTGTTCGGCTCTTTTTATCGTTCCACTACTGGACACGAGCCTCCCTTCATATGAAGGGATAGGCAGAGGTAGCCCGGTAGTGACGCGCTCGCTTGGGAAACAGAGTGAAGCGAATTCAAATCCCGTGTCTTGCACCTCTGATATTTTCATACAAACTTAACTTCCTTATAATATTAGTGTAGACTAGTGACCAGCATACTTTGATGATCTTGGCACTTATAATAATACGGAAGCTCTCGGAAGGGACGATTTTTTCCAACTTAATTCACAAATAATGTAATAACATATTTTTTGCAAATACTTCGGAAATAATATCCTTTAATCTTCCTAAACAATCCCGCTTTATATTCGGGGAAACCTTATGAAAATCTGTTCAGTGGTTTCCGAGATAAGCCAGAACAAATACAAACTCAGCGCGGCGAGAGACTATTACTTATAAACTTTATGAAATGATTTTAATATTTTACCTCAAACCCATCAAATAGTAATTTAAAATATACATATCTGTTAGAAATTCAAAACCGCCATCGCCTGAAAAACTATGACTTGACTGACTTATGACACTAAATGAGAACACACAATTCAAAAGACAACCACTGCATAACGAATGGAGATCATGCTTATAGTACGAATAATTATATTTATTTAAATTACTAAAGGGAAGTAATTATCTATACGTATAATAAAATTGTAACTATGTCGAATCTGTACATTAAATATTTTTTGGAAAATCTTATTGAAATAGACATTATTATCGATAGAGTCCGAATCTATAATTTTTAGAATTTTTGTCTGTCTGTCTGTCTGTTACCGCATCATTTGGTAATTGAAATTTGGTATGATTATAGCTGGTTATCCGGGTCAACATATAGGATACTTTTTACCGCGGGAAAATATCTCATTTCTGAGAAAAAAAACCAAAACTGCAATGTAAGAGTATACATACTAATATGTAAAACCTAAGAATTTGGTTTTTGGTCATCTGAACGCGGGCGGAGCCGCGGGCAATGCTAGTTAGTAATTATATATCTATATTATAGTTTAAAAAAAAATGTTGTAATTTTTATTACCTCTAACTTTCCATCATCCATATGTTGTGCTCCAACATCCTCTTCGCTACCCATGCCTATAATAAATAAAAACCAATAAATTCCATACTCTTAAAACTCTGTTTACAGAAGATACATATAATTTTTGTCTACCATCACGATGTAAAATCTTTCGGCACTGTAACGTTTTTGAACCTAAGCTATTTCTACTAAACCCTAAACTATTTCAAGATCAAGATCTTCAGCCTTAACTGCTAGCCGCTAGACCAAAGAAAGAAATAAGTAATAAGTACTTGAAATAAACAAGGATGAAGACACTCACTCCACAGATCAACACCGGCTCCCCAAGAAGGTATGTTCAGCAATACGAGAGCCTGTAAGGGCGGCAATGGTAGGGCTTCGCCCCCCGCCGCGCCCGCACCAAGCTGCACGCGCAGGCGCTTCTCTAGGCCTCCGCAGCCGCCGTCGTCGAGCGCTCGCCCCACTCCTAACAGAGCGTACGCTATCTATAGATAAATAAAAGTTAAAAAAAACCGTTGTTATTATAAATACGAGTTTTGAGAGTGTGTGTTTGTACCTTTTTAAGCTGTACTCGTATATTGATCACTCAACTGAATTCGGAGTGGAAGATAGCTTATATATTCTGGATGAAGGTACTTTTTTATCGACGTCGACTAGTTCAAGAACTAGTTACAGTATAACGTAATCGTCATACATAAGAGAGTAGGATTTAAATAAGAGTGGTTCATATATACAAAGTCTTATTAGTGTTAATTTATTTAAAACTTAAATATACCGAGCGAAGTTTTAAATATAAATTTAAAACTTCGCTCGGTATCTATGTGGAAGAAGAGCAAATTAACAAATGGTTTTGTGCATTTGTTCTATTCATAATTCAATCTATTTTTTTTATTTAATTTTGATATTTCAGGAATAAACACATTGTTTGTCAAAAACTCTACCTCAAAAAAATTAACTGATAAAGAGGAGCAACAGTCAATATTTTGTTTTATTCCTCAATTAATCTCAATTACGAGCTTGCGATTTTAAAGTGTGGTGAGCGATAACAGTCATTAAAATAATGTGATCTATATATGTATCAAATATAGTCGGGTTTTAAATATTTCGAGAACTGCTCGACCGACTTTTATGATCTTTGTTTTGTTGGATTTGTTTTCACCACGAATAGCAGAATAACTATTGAACATCGGAATCATTAACAAAAAAAAAATTGAAAAATAAATCCATTTCATAATAAGCGTCAAAACGTGCCACGTACAATTTAGTTCTAAATTCCAAACAATTCCAAATTCAAAATATTTAAAATGAAAATACATCGATGATCTATATCGTTCCAAATTCAAATATTGTTTATAATCCAAAGCACACTGACATAGTTGAGGTACCGGCTGGCGCCCCGGCGCAGCAGCTGCGCGCGCGCGCGCGCGAAGTCCAGCGCCACGCGCGCGTCCACGCCCACGCTGGCGTAGTTGTGCGCGTACAGCACGCGCTCGCCGCGCAGCCGCCCCAGCCGCCCGCCCAATGCCCGTATCCTTATCTTCCACCTTCGTATGCGAACAGCCAATCATGTTCTTTTAACTAAAGAAGTAACACTGCCTACAAAATTTAAAAACGCTCGGATCGAGTATTTTTTGTCGTTCGAATATTTTAAATAAAAATATTATTCCAATTCCTAGCTGTTATTAAGCATTTCTTGACAGAAAAATTGAATTGCTATGCTTGGCCCGACCCGGAACTCGAACGCATAGCCATAGGTTCCGCATCTGCAGCATCAAGTTAAGCAACACTAATAACTTCACATATCGAACAATACTTATTAGTGTTAACAGTAAATAGCTCATACCTATCTAGCATGTGTACTTCTGCATCCTTTATGGATTGAATAATGGAATGTGCATCTAAAGCAGACGAGCCAGCGCCCCAGCCGAGCGCGCGCGACAGGTCGTTGCCCGTGCCCGTGGGCAATATACCAACGGACGCCTGTAAGCAAATGTAATATTACATATATAAATAGGCAGTGGTAGCCCAGTGACAACACGCTCGCCCGAAAAACCGAGTGAAGCAGGTTCAAATTCGGGTCTAGCACCTCTGATATTTTCATGTGTGAATAATTTCCAATATGATTACCACTTGTCCTAAGGTGAAAGAAAACACTATGAGAAAACTTGCATGTCTGAGATAACTTAGCAAGTTTTCGAAAGACATGTGAAGTCTGCTAACCCACACTTCGCCAGTGTGGTGGATTATAACCTAATTCTCCTCGCATCGAAGGGAGGCCCGTGCCCAGCAGTGAGACGTTAAAAAAAAGAGCTGAATACTATACATATAAAATTATAAAGTAAATTGTTTGAATTAAAAAAGAAACATTGATTGCCTAGTAAGTATGAGTCCACTTTTGAGAACATCAAGCTAACCTTTTTCAAAGCTTGTTGCACGTTAAGGAATATTATTTGCTCATCGTTACATAAATACATAATATGTACATACATATTATATTCCCTTATTTAAAAAATTAGAATATTATGAAATGCTTAATTATTTGTCATGAATTTTTCTATACAATCCAATCCAGTAATCCAAACATTCCAAAAACCTGGCACCCTCTAGTTTTAATAGTGTTGGACTGTCGGATTAGTGGAACTCTACTGTAAATGTGACGTTTAGGTAAACATAAAGACAAAAATATCTGTACATAATAGTTAGCCCAAACGAAAGGCGAAAGTATACAGTTGCACATACCGTGACATGTGGGACGGTGTGCAAAGCATTGAGAACCCAAGCGACCGTGCCATCGCCGCCCGCCACCAGCACTCGGCACCGATCTGGCAACCATTTCACCACACGTTCCGGACCATTCGCACTGATATCTATCACCTACATATGAAATAATTAATCATTATTATTATTATCTGTACATATAAGTAATATAGCTATTTATATAAGTTTTTCAGTTAAAGCACAGTTTCCACTTTTCAGACTTAAACAAATATATTTTAGTTTCTTTTTTGTCATTTGTTTAACACTTAGTATAAGATTACAGGTCTTTTTAATGGTTATCAGTCAGACTAGATAATATTATAAATGCAAAACCAACGCACATACCCCGGCTTCTCTTGGGTAGTTATCTACACAATTATACAAAAAATACAACTATTTAAACAATTATTTTCATTAGTTTATTAAAAAGAAATGTTTTTGATGAAGATGTAGTAGTAGCACAAACCTGTAAAGGATTCAGAAGTCCCCTAAAGATGGAAATAACTTCATCACTCCTATTGCTTCCAGATTTTCGATTAACTGAAAAATATTAAATAGGTAAATAGAAACGAAGAAAAAGACCTTAAATTTTATTTAAAATGTTTTTTGCTCTTAAATAAAATCCTGTAAATAATGTTTCCCGTGAATAGCAATTATTTTTACTTATAAATGTGTTTTTGAAGATTTATCCTGTAACAGATTTTATGTATATTATGATATTCTTTTTTCAGTCTGTGTTATTTAAATATGCAATACCATACCAAATACATTATATAAATAATAATTAATCAAATGTCTTACTGAGTAAAAATATCTTACCGAATATAAATAATGGTTCCCAATTATTTATACATGGTGGCTTTATACTTATAATTTTACTTTTTTCCACTCGAACAGCATTTGGAGGAATTATAATTTCCTTGTATTTATTAAAGTCACATTCCTAAAATGAAACAAAAAAAGTAACTTAACAATTTTGTATGTATTATGTTGAAATTTAATATTTAATTACATACTTCCGTATCATTTATTAAATTTTCATGGCTTAACTTTATTCTCTGACACCAGGAACAAAAATATTTCTTTAAATTTTCTCCATCTTCATTATGATCAACATTATCTCGAGTAGCAACACCCACTGCAAAATACCATTATGCATACTAAATAATTATATTCATTGCATCATCATCATCAAGTGTATATCTGTACAATACAACATTCATTTATGCATTGTAAAAAATAATTACCATTGACCCATAGATGACAAAAAGGCTTTTCTGCAGGCCATGTAATTTGTTTGCATCGCAACTTTTTGTTTAATATGCGATGACATTTTTTACAAGCACTCACTCCACAGCACTCGCAAAATAAGCCAACAACTGGAAGCATAAGCTTGCCACATATTGTGCACTGTAATTTTTGTATTCATATGATTAAAAAGTCCTTTGCTGCATAAAAAAGCAAGCACCAGACTATTGTTATTTTTGTATGGAAATATATAGATATATGACGATAGATAAGACTTTATTGAGGGGGGTGTCTTATGCCATGGAAAATAATCTTATTCCCACAAAAAACCTGTTGCACAAAACAGACAAACAACCAAACATTAATGATACAGACTTTCGATGCGGAGGTAATTGGGAAGCTCGAAACTAGAGAAGTATATTTTACAACTAAAAAATTATATCATTATTTTGATAATACATTACATATTAATTCAATTATGGGAGCATAGTACTATAAATTTAATCTAGCGCACTCGAGCGAAGTGACCGAAAAGCTAATATATATAATAATAATGATAGTTCAACTTACATAAATATTGTATGGTATGGATTTATTACATTCTATACTTCTCCATGTATGGCCACGTACTTTATATTTAGTATGTATAAAATTGTTATCATCAAAAAAAGATTGTAAAATACGATAAATTAAATAACTAATAAATAAGCCACCAATCCAAAAATAGCAATTAAAATTTATGAAATGCACGTTCCAGATAGCTTCCATTGACATTATTGATTATAATTGCTAAAACTACAATTGATATATTTTGTGTTTGTACAACAGGTGTAGCAGGTTTATTAGTTAGAAAACGTCATACTTATTACTAAAAAATATTTAACAACAATTCAAAATTCAATTTAAAAGCAGCTTCACAAAATTATCAGTCAAAAGTCAAAACAAATAATAAATATAGGTATATAAAACATTATCCAATATCCATAGATAATACAGCATGCTTGTATCTGGTCTGTGGTCTGTGATGTAGTGTGTTTTCCAATGGGGAAGTTTATCCAGAAGAGGGCACCACACGTATTACCTATTTACATTCAGTTTGAGGTTAAGCAATTTAATGTGATACATCTTCTATCACATTAAATTGCTCTTTCACCTCGCGGTTAAATTCTAAAAAAATAATTGTTAACTGAGCCACCTGTCATCTGTGGCTCGACAGTCATTTAAGCTATACAGCTTTTAAATATACAAAGCGCTATAGTGATTACGCCATCTAGCGGGAGAAAAAGCAAAATTCTTCTCCAATAAAGAGCATAATACCGCACTTTGGCGTACAAACATGAACAACGCGAAAAAAAATCTTATACATATTTTCTGCTAATGAGTTGGTTGGTCACGCCAAAGCAGTACTTTTCAAAGTGCTCGATTGTTGCTGCGGAATGTTGCTGTAGTTGAAAAATTTGAAGTTGAGTATTATACCGCATAATGCGCTTAGATTTGATTCATCTGATTAATATCGCTTAGAGTATGGTTATGAATTATCATTAACTAGACCAGTACATTACAAGTTACTAGTATCGATTTACCTATTTATATTTGCCTACCCAAGAATTGTGACGGGAAAAAATAGTCAACGTAACGTTTGCATATTCTATAGGCTTCATACTTTCGATTGGTATGAAATTTGTATATTAACTAAACCAATAAAACGTTTAAAAGAAATAATTTTTAAATTGTTAATTAATCATTTTCTGGACTGAAATTTTTTTGTTCAACCCATTTGCAATATATTTATTGACATATTTAATTTGATATAAAATACCTTTCACCTATTAACTAGCTCAGTGGTTCAGTAATTAGGCTCAGTTTGGCATTGTGTTGAATTTGACAATTGTGCGCCAAAGTTGAAAGTACGATAATATACCCTGTTTTCCAATTACAACACTAAAGCGCATTATGCGGCATAATACTAACTTCGAATGTTTCAAGTACAGCAATGCTTTGGCATGATGCGTGCTATGATACCAAGAAAATAGCAGAAAATATGAAAAATGTTTTTTTCTTCAAGGTGCCATTGATCAAAATTTTATTTACAATTTACCTTATTATCGTTAGTAATATTGTTTATTATTGAACTAATCTCTAAAGCTTTCCACAAAGTCTGATAAAATATAAAAAAGTTAATTTATACTGTGTTCAAAAATAAATATATTCCGTTCGGGTAAAAGGAATGCCACAAATCTCTGTTCGTAGCTATGTCTAGCCAACTTCCACCCGCTATCGCTACAATTTCGTCTGCCCATTTTTCCCTTGGTCGACTTCTTGTTCTCGTGCCTCTTGGCCCTGACCACTTTACTGACCTTAGGGTCCATCTATCGTCCTTGTATCGAGCTAAGTGACCCGCCCCTTAGAGTATACATTGCTTATGTATACTCTGAGGACCCGCCCACTTCCATTTTCCTTTCAGCGAAAAAGTTAAGGCATCGCACACTTTTGTCTTTTTTTTCAATTTCAATGATATATATTATTATATATTATATAAATAGTAGTTATTTATATTTTTTCTTTCAACACTGAACCTAATGCCCTCTGCTGGTGCACTTGAAAACTAATTCACGTTCCAATTAAGCACTAGTACACTTTGGCGTTGTGCGCCAAAGTACGGTATTAAGCTCTGTAATAAGAAAACAGGGAATGTCACCCGCATCTTATGTCATAGCCCATAGGACTTATCCATTATTTTTCATCCATGTGGTCATAACCATGAAAATTGAAATGAGCTTGAGTTTAGTCATAGAGTATATTGCTACATATATAAATGTTTAGTGTATGTCTGTTGGAATGTGAAATGGATTGACAAAATAATTGGGTTTTGGAGTTTGGACTTGGACGTTAATGTGTAGTTTTATTCCATGGTTTTATTGTCAATACTCAAGTGTCAGTTGTCATTAGCATCCTGTTTATATATACTCGGAATTTTAATTCGATTCCAGATTTGACAATTTCAGTGTTGCAACGTTATGACAAGTACTAAATAGTGACGTTGCGAAATTATTCGATACAGAAATGGAATATTTTCGGATCGATTCCTCTCGTTTATAGTAGTATATCTAAACAACTACTACTTTTATAGAAACTAAGTATATCAGGAAATTAAATATTTCTGAACGGATAATTTAGTTATGACGATTAATTTTATTAAGGATCTGAGAGTTTTCTTTAATAATTGTGTGTGAAATAAATAAATAAATGTGATCATGAAGGAATATGAGAAATAAAACAAATAGATGTATTATGGTAATATTTTATTTTATAAATCGTCGCCATCATCGCTATCGCTATCGCTTTCTGTAACGTTTATTATAAACGTGCCTGTGATATTGTCAATTAACATATCTAGCCTACTTATTTTTTCCTCTTCTTTGATAACATGGGATACGCATTTAGACCATTCGGTAGCCGTAATTTTTTGAATGCCTTCCTCAAATAAATTTCTCACGTCTGTCAATTTGAAGGTTTTATTATGTTACTAGCGGACCCGACAGACGTTGTCCTGTCTACACGTCTTTAATTTGAAAATTTCAAACTTTTTTTAATATTTTTTTTGATGAAAATTATTATTCAAATTGTGAATCTAAACCATTCCCAGATCCCCTTGAACACTCACAAAAATTTTCATCAAAATCGGTCCAGTCGTTTGAGAGAAGTTCAGTGACATACACACTCACAGAAGAATTATATATATAAAGATTATACTTGTAGGCGTTGCGGATCATAACTTTTTCAGTAACAGTGAAAGCTTTTCGTGGACGTTTTTTTCTTGGGGACAAGAAAACATCCACGTCTTTTTGTGATGTACTTGGCTGAGGATCCATTTTGATGGAAAACCAAAACAAATAGATTCACTCAAAGTTCACAAAAAACTAAAAACATAACAACAAACACAACATAGCAAAAACCCAACAAAATAACAAAATATCGATTTGCAATGAAACAAGATATTCGTGCAGTCAGACTGGGAGAATGAAGCCGACTGCCGAATGACAAGATAAACAAAATGGCGATAGCTGCACGAGCGCGCACGGGTTGCCAATACAGAAAACTATCTATCTAGACTCTTTTATTATAAGTTTTGTTTTTAATATAAAAAACAAAAATATTTACTTTTTATAAAATAAAGCAGTGGTTACTAATTAATAAATAATTATTATGAATAATTATGTATTTATTTAAATAAAAATCAATAATTTAGTCTTTAATTGGCACACCAATATTATGATTACATAAACATAAATCGCGATTGTTTATCGATTTTTGTGTTCATCACTACACTATTATATGTGGTATCATTATTTTACAAAATGACAGTAGCTAATGTCAAATGTGGAATCGAATTATAATTCCGAGTATAGTTTCAAGTTTTATTTGTCATCCATGGTTTCAAGTTTCAACTTTTAAGTTTGTGTTTGTCATCCATTGCGTAGCATCTCTCTATAGTTTGTGACTTGTGTCATCCTTATTAGACCTTAATATATAGATTGTGTTTTTATTTGTCATCCATGTTAATTAGTTTGTGTTGACATCCGACAAATTATAAACACAAATAGCAAGAATAACATTTTAACCAAGAAGCTTTTCTATAATTACTTATATACAGTATACTATCAAGATTACATTTTAAAATTATATCAAAATGTCTATTGGTACAGTCTATGATAAAGCATATAAAGGAGATTTTAATCAAGTTAAAGTGGATATAGATTCTGACGAGACTTTGCTAACAACAGTAGATTCAGTAAGTATTGTTACATTTAATTTTTCTCGAGGTCATTTATATTATTCCTCCAATTTAAATTATTACATTCCTTGTTTTAGAATAATCGACTTCTCATACATTGGGCGGCACTGGGTGGTAATGACTATCTTGTAGATTTTCTAATCGAAAAAGGCAGCCCTATTGATCCTGTAGATGATACATTTTGCACCCCATTAATCTTAGCATCATCAGCTGGAAGACTGGAAGTTGTTAGATTGCTAATTGGTAAAGGAGCTAATGTTAATCATAAAAATAATCGTGGTCAGGCATCCTTACATTATGCTTGTTCTAAGGGACATAAAGAAGTAAGATTATAATTGCTAAATACTTATAAATTACTTTTTAGTTTAATCCTAAGTATATATTTCTAAACAGTCACAATTACTAAATAGAACCAATGTTCATATATATTAGAACAAATATTATATAATTATTTGGGTAGATATAAATCAAATTGATATGAAATTTAAGCTATGTTTTCAATGTTATGTTTGATGTTCACTCTTACCGAGCCTTGCTATTAAAAATTCAAATATGTAAATATGCTTCATGAATTTTTAATACCATATCTACACTTGTTTTTTTATAATGGAAATAAGATAAACCAAACACAATAGACAAAACAAGCTCAACATCAGTCACACTTGCTTCTCCATGACACACAAGAGCACTGATGTTAGTCTCTTCAAATTTTGCAAAGTGTTTGTAGAGGTTTGAAGTTTGTGGCTAATCGCAAGTTTGTGGATCAGGTATAATTGTTACTTGAAATACCTGTCCTGTGCTTTTCATGTGCAACTAAACAGAAAGGCAAAATTTTACAATCTTATGATTTGACTTAAATTACACCCCCATAATAAAAAATAATAATGACATGTCTTCTTTGCAATATGCAAGGAAAAAGTAAATGAGGCCACCAAACAATTCACTTTTCAGATATCAAAATTACTGATTGAATCTGATGCAGATGTTTCAAATGTAGATGTTCTGGGTGCTACTCCACTGCATAGAGCGGCATCACTAGGAAGAACAGATATTGTAGAAATATTGTTGAAATCACCTAACCTGAAGTTAGATCTTTGTGATTCTATGGGTTGTACAGCTTTGTAAGTTGTTAGATCTATATGTTTTTTTACATTATAGCAGACATGATTAGTCAGCCAATTGATGATTCATTGGTAAATGTGTTTTTGCTGCCTACTGAAGCCTTATTCATTATAAAAAGGCTTGAAAAAGACTTGTCACTCACTAATAGCAATACAGGTAGCTTATGACTGCAAAGAGTTTTTTTATGTATTACTAAGAATGTTGTACATATCAGATACAGATAATTCAATTTTTAAATGATACTATTTGTATACACAAATAGTATCATTTAAAAATAATTTGCTAATTTGTATTACATTTTCCAGATATCTATCATGTGAGGAAGACAGAGAAGCTGTAGCTTCCATGCTAGTAAAGGCTGGAGCTAGTGTGCATGTAAAAAACAAAGAAGGAAAAACGCCTTTAGATGTTTGCTCTACTAAATTAAAAAACATTTTAATAAACTTGCTAAGTTCAAACTAATATTATGCTGGTTATCATTACCTGAAAGAACCTAGTGGAATAAGCATATGAAAACTGCACCAGCATCTAATGAAGATTTCTTACCTTATATTTATTGTTCTTTATCTAAAACTTCCCAGTTAATAAAAATTTGGTCAATAAAGTACAATCCTAATTATTTTTAAAAAATAAAATAAGTCGAGTTTTAGCTGTTACAAGGGTGCGCCGGCGTTTGACAGAAGCGCCCCCATTTTATTATGCTTAACCATATAGACCAGGGCTGAAGCTTTTGAAATTGGTAAAAAGTGAAAAAAAATTATAGTAGAATGAAACCCATTGGAAAAGGAAGAGTGTAACAAAAATGAAAGGAAACATAATTTTGGGAGATCTGAGGTCGGGAAGTGGGAGGGGGTGAGTTTTTAAGGGTAAAAAACGGCTTATCTCGATTTCCGGCAAAACCACAAGTCCTATGGAAAAAAACTAAATGGAAAGTTGCCGACCTCAGATCGCTCGTAAATTATTTTTCCTTTCATTTTTGTTATATTCTCTTCCTTTTCCAATAGGTTTCAACTTACTATTATTATTTTTTTGTGTCAAAAATTATCGACCCTGGTCTAATATAGATGTCTCAATTTACATTGGCAGCGTCTTTTCTGAAATTATCAATTTTTGAGTTGGTTGTGTTCATATAAACTTTCAATCATCATCGTTTTACAAACTACATAAATAATATAATTAACCTAAGTTTCAGCCAAAACAACTGAACAGTATTTTATAGCATTTTTGAAGTTATACTTCTTTTGGCGCGTTATGAAAAATGGATGATGAGAGTGATTTTTTTAGTGGTTATTGACTACAGTGTGAAGTTAGTCGTTATTGGCTACAATGTGAAGTTTTTTTATGGTTTATTTTATGTCTATATACACAACACAAGTTTTACATCGACAAATATAAAAAATATTACAAGATTTTAATTAGTTTCACCTGTCTGTCTCGGTGTCTGTGTGTAATCAAATTTTATAAGTTAAATTTGACCCACTTCCAATTGTCCGATTGAGCTGAAATTTGGCACATACGTTTGACTCTCATGACTGTACGATTTCTAAATGCCACCATTTTTAATCCAATACGACGGACAGACGTTACAATATGGCGATTTATTATTTCCATAATGACCCATATGATATGGGCATCAAATGAAAGGGCTTGATGAGCGCAACACAATAAGCAAAGTGACGTCATTATAAAATTTAATATGGCAGACTATTTATTTTGCACCCCCTTGATATGGATATTAAATTAAAGGGTTTGCGGAGAAGAATAGGAAAAAAAGTAAGAATCATTAAAAAACAGTTAAAACATTTAAAAAACAAGCTTTTATTTAAATGCTCTTAAAAAACAAAGAAGTATAACTTCTTACATGCGTACATAAGTATACAGAACTTTTTTTAAAATAAATGTTTCTGTTTTTTTTTATTAAATTGACATAACTTTTTTATATTTATGAACCGATTGAAATAAAACCAATACTAAATGTCAAGTGAAGCCTACCATAAAATACATATTAAACGTAAAATACATATTATACGTGAAAACCGCATCCAAATCGGTTAAGCCGTTCCTAAGATTAGCGCGCACAAACGCACAGACAAACAGGCAAAAATTCTAAAAATTATTTTTTTGGGTTCTATCGCGTTACTAAAACCTCTAATTATAGTTTTTCTCGAATATCTCCCATGTACAGATAGCGATCAGTTACAATTTATTTTATGTATGTATAGATACGGACATTGATTATTTTTTGTCACCTACATTTGGCTCTTTCAAAACAATAACATGTCAAATACGAGCTCGCAGGCCAGTACACAAGCGCTAGACTAGATTCAATAATCTTCGGAAGTCGTTGGCGCGGTAGCGAGTGCCAGACGAACGTGGAGCTCACGCTCGCTCGCTGCTCTAGCTTGTTGTATGAATACGAGTTGACCGGGCGGCGGCGCGCAGCGCAATTTTTTTATAAGTCAACACATAATGTATTGTAAAGTAGTTCCGTAACACTCATAACTTGACTCAAACATAACTTTGTCGACAACAGTAGTTACGTAGACATACACGATCCAGGGGGGGGGCAGCTGCCCCCCCCTACCCCTACCTGGGTACGCCCATGCCGATGTTAATAAACGGATGCACCTTAGCGACACTATGCTATGTAAGATGTGATGATCAGATCTCCAACAAAAATTATATCTTACAATTTGAGAAAACCATGAAATCTTATAATTATTTTTACATATCGACTCTAACATCGTGGAACAAAAGCACAAGACAGAAAAGTACTTAAATACTGAATATATCAAGCTTTCCTTGAAGGAAACGGAGAACCCGCGCACTATAAGCAGCCAGGCTGCGGCCTATATATATTTAAACGAGCAATGCTTGTATATTTATATAATTATACCGGCGATCTCAAACGGCTCTAACGATTTCGCAGAAATTTTGTGTGTGGGAGTTTTCGGGGGCGAAAAATCGATCTAGATTAAGTCTTGTTTGGAAACAGGAAAAAGGCGTGTTTTTGAGTTTTCATGCGGTTTTCTTTCGCATTATTCCACGCAAAATATGGTCGCAAATTTTCCACGCTCGGGCATGAGCATCGCCAAACACCACTTTCTGTGTATTTCACATTAAGAATGACAGAGTTTCATACAATCTTTAATTCCCTATTTTACCCACTTAAAGGATGAAATTTGAAAAATCCTGTCTTATTGGACTCCTACATCATAAAAGGAATACGTACTCCAAATTTCACGTTTCTCAGTTTATGCTGTGTGTTGATCCATCAGTCAGTCACACATACTATAATATAGAGATGGTCGGTCAGGATTTCATAAACAACCGGTTTAAAACGTTTTAAAGAAAATGTTGCCGTTTTAAACGGTTGTAAACTCGCCTACAAAAATAAAAGAACTGTGTTATATACTTCAATGTGGGTAAGTTTTGGTCACCTGACGTCATGAGACATGAAATCAATAGAAAGTACCTACCTACATTACCTACTACAAAAACGAAAACTTAAGTATGTAGGTAAACTTATACTTACCTATACTTATTTATTATATTATATTTTTATGTATGTGCATGTGTGTGTAGGGTAGGCCAGCTAGCACCGTTGTGTAGTCGCGAGTGACGACGTCAACGACAGTGCGAGAGTGTGAGTTTGGTTTTAAGCCAAATCAAATTGATTATTTATATCGTTTGAAAATCATGAAAAAAATGTTTATATGCCAACACCATGAACGAATTAACCACTGGACCAGACATATAAGCGGACGTACCTTTATCGGTCTTCTCAGTAACCAGGAGATTTTAGGCTTGGTCGTTTGTTTTTTGCGTCAGTCTCAAGCACTTATTTGTCAACAAAACATCTCCCAAAAATGACTAAATGTTCTGTTAAATGGTGTAAAAACTATAACGGCGGAAGCAGCACTATTTCTTTTCACTTGTAAATACACTATTTTATTACATTTATTGTTATTTATCACAAAATTTAATTAAATGTAAAATAAAATGTCATATTATCCAACTATGTTAAATATAGTCGATATTTCTATGTATTGTTGACATCTGACAACCATCATAAACGGGCTGAATTATACCATTCAGAACAAATGACAAAACTGTCGAGTGAGTCCATTTGACATCGACTAGTGCTTGACAATGTCGAAAAATATATCGATATTTGACGAAATAATTGAACGAATTGTGTTATTTGTACAGTACAATAACATAAAATACTTTTATCACAGTATCCTACAATCTGATGACAATAAATTTATAAAAATATTTTCTAAATCAAATAAAAATATAAATGCAAAAATTATAATTAGTATGTGTACTTAATTTTTTTTTTATTTTATACCACATTTACATATTTTGGAATATTATTCCATTGTAATATTGTAAAATAATAATAATAATAAAGATCATTTTATTTCAACACATAAATTACACAAAATCAAACAATAATGTTTTAGCACTAAACTTCTGGGTTGGCGATTTGTAATAAAACACTTTACCACTTGCACTAATTATTTTACTTTAACGATCCAACACTCACTTTTTCACAATTTGCAATCACTTTTTCTTTTTCCTAATTTCACAAATGTTTATTAAGAACTGAGCAATATTAGGACAGTGTCACATTTTTATAACTACCCGAGATAATCAATTGCCAATTAAAATAGTTCAATAACAGAATCAACAAAATCACTTTATTTAATTAAATTAGCTTAATATTTTTTTAATCTTTACAAAATAATATTTATTATATATTAATGGAATATACACCCGATATACATTTGTTTATTAACATTATTATAGGCCAACAGAATGTTGCCATCAATGCCATCGTATTTATATATATATATCAAATTAAAAAATAATTATTATTTGATACATTATTATTGCCTCTTTAATTCATTTATTTTAATTTATTATAATAAATACAGATATTTTAAATTAAAAGATGTAAACCTATATGTACTATGCTAACCAATGTCTAAAATGTCATTCATTGGTTCATCGATATATGTATTTTATCGATTACGTTCAAACACTAGAAATATTGTATTGTGTATCAGTGTTTATAATAATGTAATAAAATCTTTGTGTGCGTTATGCGTCACTTGGTTGAACTAGTTTTCATACATTTGTATTTTATGTCAGGTCCAGTCTCTAATTCGTCCATGGCCAACACAGTTTTTAACTTATCAATAGAATTTTTATAACTTAGGTAGGTAATACCTACGCTTGGTCGGACGGACCAACTAGAGCTCAGTGGCTTAGAGTATACATATGCTATAGAGCGCACGTATCGCTCATTGTCATTTATGCGAAACATAAGCAGATGTTCTTTACACACCTATTGATACATACTAATTGTTAATCGACTTCGAAAAAGGAGGAGGTTATCAATTCGTCGGAATCTTTTTTTTTTCTTTTTTTTATGTATGTTCATCGATTACTCGAAGACGCCTGAACCGATTTGGATTTTTTTTTGTGTTTCAAAGAGTATACTTCCCAGGTAGTCCCATATAAATTTTATCGAAATCGGTCGAGCGGTTTTAAAAAAATCAACAATAAATATATTTTTTAAATAATTTTTTTAATCAAATATGTTATTAAAAATCTTTCTTCTTACAAATTACCTGGTTATTATGCCTCGGTGGTGTAGTGGCTAGCATGTACGGCTGCACACCCGGAGGTCCTGGGTTCGAGTCCCGGGTCGGGCCAAGTTTAGTTATTGAGTCTTCCTGTATAGTAAGTCTTAGTAACAGCCCGGAGTTGGGAAGTTGGCAGTGTTTCACCCCCGTGCCTCGGAAAGCACGTAAAGCCGTCGGTCCTGCGCCTTAACTCTCACCGGTCGTGTCGAGTGGTCGTCCCACCGGAGTATGAGAGTGATAGGAATAGAGAGTGCACTTGTGTCTGCGCGTACACTTGAGCACTATATTATCTCCTGCGCAGTTGGCTAATCTCAATGAGATTGGCCGCCGTGGGCGGAATCGGCTAGGAGAACATCATCATCATCATCATGTCTACACTAAAATCGGAAAAATAAAAACTTAAAAAAAACCGACTTCCAAGAACTAACATGAAAAAAATAACTAAACGGGGGTTTTCATTTAGAATAGATATCATACAGATATTTTCGAAGTCGGTGCCTGCTACACATTTCACCATGATTACATAAATCTAAATAAATATGGAGGAGAGAAACAATCAGCGCCCATGTCTTTTCATGACTAATAGCGTCGCCCTTGACATTTCGAGACTGTTCATACCCATGCTTACAGTTCATACTTGCTTACGCGCGCTCTATAACTTATGTATACTCTAAGCAGTGTAGAACTAAACCCGCTAAGTATAACAATATCAGTATAACACACATATAAAAGATCTTGACACAGTTTATAGATACTCTGTTATAACCCTACTTCGGTAAAATCAAGAAAATATAGTGATAATTAAGAAAAACATAGTCATCAACACCAACCGTTTTATAAATAGAAAAAAATGGTTTATTTCGGTTTTAAACGGTTTTTTTCGTTTTAACCGGCCTTTCATCTATAGTCAGGAGTCAGGACCACTGCAGGATGCACCTCTCGTTCTCAATTCCTTCTTCAGCTGGTCTAACTTCCACGTACAATACATTGCATAGGTAGGTAAGATGCTAACACAATAGAAGCTAAAAACCAGGTATAAAAGAGATACCAATACTCTTAGAGCATACATAAGCTATGTATAGTGTATAGTGTATACTCTAAGCGAATACTCGTATCAATAAATTGCTTAACCTCAGATTGAATCATAGAGTATATTGCTACATAATATATAAAGACTGAAATCTGAATGTAAATAAAAAAATACAGATTACATAATATTTAAATTTTTTACATGATGTGTATCATGTGTATTTTTATCATGGATGACAAATAAAATGTTTATTTTTAGTTATTAATAATTTATTGATGTATTTGTTTTATAAAATATCTCGAAAATTGATAAATATTTACTACTTTCGTACTCGTGAAAAATAAAATTGACGCATGCGGTACATATGTACCTACATATTTGAATAATAATTGAGCTAAATAAACAATGTTATTTAAACAAAAAATAGTCACTTTGACGATAGAACAAATGTATTTCTTATAAGAACAAAAATTAATGAATATTTAAAGATACCTAGTAAAAAGAAAAATTATAAATTTCGATTGAGGGTATTTTTTTGTTTAAACAATTACTTATGGTGAACAATCAAGAATAAATGACGAACAAACGATAGTTTTTAAATTTTTATTTTCACATAGGTATTATGTGAAAATAAAAATCCAAAAATTAGAAAAATATCTGAGGGCCAAGTTTGGGGAGCCGTTACATATGCCGTTACATATAAATGGAATAAGGAAAATGTAGTAATGTACATGTCAGTTTCACATTGACAAATGACAAGTGACATTTTGTATGTAAATAAATTGTCAGTTGTCAGTTCAGGAAGCTTATGTAGCTGTCTTTCTAATAGATTTAGATTGGAAATTGAACCAGTTTAATAAATAAAACGTCTGATATTGTGTACGTTGTATTGTACTCAATTGCCGCAACAGTTAATGGTTGTTGCAAAGTTTATATTCAATAAACTGTTACAACACGTGTTGAATAATCAAGGAGTATCTTTGAGGTCGTGAAGAAGTTTTTAGCGACAAATTTTATATAGACCTAAATAAATAATAATACTTATATAAAAGTGCATATTTTGAAAGTGACGTTTGTTTTAAAAATATATTTCGTTTAAAATTTATGTGATTCACAATGTCGTCAACTTATCATGATTATTATGATGGAAGCAAAATATTTTTATTTTTATCTAATGCAATTGGTCTTCCTATCGATCTGGTGAGTTCAATTGATGTTTTTCTGTCTTTACAGTAAAGTAAAAAAAAAATATATGAAGAAAAATATATATGGGTTTGTATAATTTTGTTTTATTTATGAATAATCAAAATTATTCATAAATAAAACAAAATTATACAAACCCACTTTTTCTCTTTAATAATAGGAAATAATTACTTCTGTATTATGAAAAAGACGTTTAGCTTGTTTAATGAAAGTTAAATATTTGTCTGCTTTATTTAAATATTTTTGTTACCACCTGCATACTGCTTTTATGTTAGTTACATTTTATATTCGTAGAAGTTTCATTTCTTTCAACCTCTTCATTATACATTTATTCATTTTTTGTATAATAGCACATATTCATTTGTTTTTTTTTTATGTATTAGGTTAATTTTTTGATTGCACAACTAGCAGCATTGTGTGTGGCCAGACTCTTTAGAAAACCATTAAAATTAGCTTCACCAGAATTTCGGCATTCATTGTGCCTTATTATAGGATTGCTGATGGGCTATTTCTGCTTTGGAAAGTAAGTTTATTCTTATATGTTTTTCACGTCAACTTATAAAGCTATATTAGTTGTATTTTATACTGTAAAACCACATAAAATAAGTACCTTACAGTTTACAGTAAGATTGATGATTATTGATTTTTAAATTATGAGGAAGAGGAGCATTCATAAAAGCTTTTAACAAAAATGTCTGTCATTTTATAAATAAATTCCTTTATTAGATAATTATTTCCATACATATGTTATTACCACTTCAGAGAGAGTTTTAAATCTATTTTTTGTTGTTGTAAGTACTTTGGTAGTAGGATAAACATAGATATAAAATAAAAGCATAATCATAAATAATACAGTGATATATTTTGCAATAGAAATATGAAAATTGTAGTAAATACAAATTTAAGTATTTAAGATGGTTCAATATAATAATTTATATATTGCACACCTAGATCTAAACAGCGATTAACTCAAAAAAACACGTTTTTTCAGAAAACGTGAAAAACTGATTACCGAATCCTTGTGCACTCCAGAAGTTTTCTGTATTGATCAATGTTTTTTTAAATTAAAATAGATGAAAGATGTTATAGGAATCTTGTGTTTCAATTCTATATTAGGCCTAAAAATTGGATTTATATAGTTGTTTCTGTATTGCTTAACAAATTATAAGTTTATTTTTTGTTGTTTGTAGTTGAAGCTGTGTTGGTGAATTTAGTGTTTAGTTGTCTCTTTTTTGAAGAGTTATTATAAATTTAAAAGGGACAGCATTTTGAATGTATTTATAATAACCTGACTAATAGAGTGTCTGAGACCAAAAGTAGGGGCAGATTGGCTGATTATTAGGAATTAGCAAGAAAACTCTGAATTAACTCCTCAATCAGACAATATTTTTTATTAATAATTAAAAATATAACTTGTGTCGTAGGTACTACGAATTCTTTCTGCTTTTCAAGATTTCTGAATTCCCTAAAAGGCCTCAGAAAGCCATTGCCTTGATAGTTCATCCACCTAATTTACTTTACTTTTCTCTGACAATTATTTTTAGACATTTCTGGTTTATGTACTCTTTTTTTGCCCTTTTTTTGTTCTATCACGGGCTGTTAGGATTTTTTTCAGCAACCATTACATTAATACTTTCTTAGATTAACGCGAATATTTGACATTTTAAATAAAACTATCTTCTAATCTAAAGCTAAGAGATCGAGTCTTTCCCGTGACCATGATTGCTATAAAGCATTCAAAACGTCGGGAACCAAAAATAAAAATAAATTCGCGAAAAAATCCGAAAAGATAGTTTTATTTAAACACATTGCATTCTGAGAGTCAAGTTGTACATGCGCACTATCATCTTCGGTATCCGACGAACTACCAGAACTTGATGTGCTACTAGAGCTGCTACTATTGGTGCTGGACGAAGACAACGATGAACTAGTAAGAACAACTTTAGATTATGTCTTTTTTTATGAACAAATCCGAAATTGGAATCTTCATCTGAGTTGTCAATTTCGCTTTCGTCACTTCGGATTGGTTGTCACTTCAGTTGTTTAGATGTGCTCGGATTAGATTTATCAGCCACGGATATGCTTGATGATATCTTTATGTAGTCTTCTTGCTGTTGCTTATTTTCTAGTACCTAGTATAATATTATATGATCTGTGCTAATACCGTCTATTATTGGTTCAAGCTCTTGTTATAAAGGTTTAGTATCTCGTTGCATATTTTCATATTGAGTCAGTAAGCTAGGGCCGATATTTTCTGTGTCCCTTGCTCAATCATATTTACTAAAAATGGTCCACGATTCATTCTTTTTCCAAAAAAAAAAGTAAAATTAAACAAATAAATCTGATCCATTACACCACATCGATTTGATGAACCCAATTACGTCTGCGAACTGATGATCTTCAATATAGTGAAATTTGATATAGCGTAGCCCATGTAAAAAGCTCTAACTTGAAAAATGTTAATTAAAACACAACAAGCTTTGTAATGAATAGGATAAAAATAAAATAATATTAAGATGAAAAGACTCCAATCACCACTAGCAAAAATTTAATTTTAAATTGGGTTTTACAGAAATATAAGAGTTTAAAAAATGACTTAACAAAAAAGAGTCAACTAAAAATTTAAAAGTGTTTCAACAACAACAACAATTCTAAATAAAAACGAAACCTTTACTCACTTTCCTATGAACACTGGTTCAAGTCAAAATGTTGCTTTAATTTACTTAGCACTAACCATCAAAATGGCGACAAGTTTAATAATGTTTTTACAATTTTCTGGTTTACCTCAACAATACAGAATTAACTCAAAATAACTCTAGTTTGTTTACGACAAGCACATGCATTTCGCGTGTAATACTGACTGTAACTAGCTATGTTCCTATTTTAGTGGAGGAGAATCGGGCTCTTTATACAACAAAAAAGGGTCTCAGTGTCACCTAGCATTGAGAAATGAAATTATTTTTGTATCTGTTTTATTGGTCGCTAGCTAGTAAGTTAAGGAATTCGATGGTATGTGTAACTAAAAAGATGAGATTTTTGAATTACCTCTGTTTAGATCTAGGTGTGCGATATTATGTATAGAAAAAAGTATAGAAATTACTCTAACAGGACTTAGATCATTTATAGTGAATACTTCACTATCACATGCCTCAGACAAGGCATATTCATATGTTAATATTGCATTGCAGTCTAAACACCCCTATGTAATTAGCATGAATGAACAATATTATCATGCTTACTATAACCGAAGGTAGGATTCACATTCAAGGCTGCTAATTATTAATATTTTTTTAGACAAGCAGTGCACATATCGGTTCTACCAATGCTGAGTTATTTTTTGCTAAAGATGGTACCAAAGCATTTAGCTGGCAAGTGAGTATTTTACAATTATATTTTGTTTGGCGACTTACCCTTGTTTTGCTCGGGCGCGGCCCAAGGTATGTTAAATAAAAATAGTTATTGCAAGTTAGGGAATGGAAATAGGTTTCTGTAGGCCTTTTTATCATCTTTAATTTTCTAGTACATTGTTATGTAAATTTTGAAGAATGAGTAGTGCCCGGCAGTCTAGCCGGGCGCAAAGCTAAGGAACGCACAGGGAAGTGGCCCACTTAGGTGGGCGGTGGGAGGTAGCCCACTTCGGTGGGCGGTGTACCGTGCGGGTTGCTCCTGGTACTTCTCTGATAGCAGAGTGGACTGTGGAGCAACCCCATGGTTATTGTGGTCTACTTCGGCAGACCTGCCGTCGGGGCGTCGTAGTTGAGTGCGTAAGCGATACTACAACACCCCATTAAGACTGGGGAAGGTTTTGTTGGGTTTTAGTGGGTAGTACTGGCTTTTCGAGCCGGTGAGTCCCACATAACCTCCTGTATGTCTACAGTTGGTATGCGTAAAAGCAATCCCCAACATTAAAAAAAAAGTGCGTTCCTAAGTACGTTTTAACTGTTAGTATGGAATAGATAAACTATAAATTATATTATGATATATTTATTGCCTATAGCCTTTTTCAATAAACTGGTTGTCTAATGCTAAAATAATTTTTTTTAATCTGATTGATGATTTCTTGAGATTATCGCATTCAAACAAACAAACTCAGACTCTTTATAATATTAGCTTAGAGTATACATAAGCTAGCATATGTATACTCTAGGAATATTAGTATAGATTTATAAAAAATATTTTTTTTCCTTGTTAAATGATGTTTAACAAGATAATTGGATCAAATACATTAAAAGGATATGTACCTATATAAGAATGAATTTTTCGATTAAAATGAAAATGTTTGTCTAATAATATCTTTTTGTGTCATTTTTTCAGCATTATTTTAGCAGCTTCCATGATATATTTATCATGTTTGCATTTACATCGACAAATATATCACACGGCAGATTATACGTTAGATATCACAGGTAGGTAATGAAAAGGTTCTTCATAAAATATACTATATTATTCTACTCGCTTTGCTCGGGTTCGTCCCTAGCTTGCTAATGCTTCCTCATACAAACTTTCATCCCCATTTTCATCCCCATAAGGGATGATTTTACTGGATGAAAAGTATCTTACCAAATTTCATCTAAATCGGTAGATTCATAAATTACCCCCTACAAGATCACAAACTCACAATTCACAAACTCATAAACTTTACCTCTTTATAATATTAGTATAGATAGATTGATTGATAGATTTGTATTGTATATGAAAAAAAAACATCATATAGAAATATCACTCAATAGATTACGACACGGTCGCGGTTCCATACCTAGGAGTATGTCGTATTATCTCTTTAACCATAATATTATGTCCAAATTATAAGCAGTAAAAGGGAAAACTCTTTAGTTTTAAACATTTTAGACGATAAATTTACTTGTTTTGATAAGAATTCATAATTGTTGATAGTATGATCAATAAATATGACCTACCGATTTAAAATATTTTTAATATAAAAATTAAAAAACTACTTTTTGTGCCTTAAATATAAAAGAATAAAAAATATAAAAGAAATTAGATATTTTCCCGCGGTAAAAGTATCCTATACGTTGATCCGGATAACCAGCTATCACTATAAAAATTTCATCAAAATCCCTCCAGTGGTTTTTCTGTGATGCAGACAGACACTTCAGATAGATAGATAGACAGACAAAAATTCTAAAAGTATAGATTCGGCCTCTGTATCGATAATAATGTTAATTTCAATAAGGTTTTAAAAAAAATATCTAATGTACAGATTCGGCTTAGTTACAATTTTATTATATGTATAGATGACACTCAGAAATAACGTGACTTTCTATTGGTAAAAGAATTTTCAAAATCGTTTCAGTAGATCCAGACTACCCCCTACAACGTCACAAACTAACAAATTCACAAACTTTACCTCTTTATAATATTAGTATAGACTAGCAATACTGCTCTGCTTGGCTTATCGCTTTAGCCCTCGAATCATAGAAACTGTATTTTTTTCGGTTATCCCACAGTTTACTCTGCTTTCTTTACTGGCTAAAATTGCTTAAATATCTGTTTAATAGTAGGTAGAAAGGACCAATATTGTAAAAATGACATCGGGAACATATGTATAATACATGTATGTACATACATAAATTGTACATATTTACGAATGTCACAAATACATAATAATAATTCAATTTAGTAATGATCGACTACATTATTGATCGATTAAAATTATCTATTCAATAGCTTTTAATACAAATAATTAATTGTTCTATTCTATTGTAATTTACAATTAGTAATTGAACTAAAGACCAGATAATTTATTGATGAAGTGATGATTTGTCATGGGGTACACAGTAGCTATTATACCTACCGATGATCATGGGATCGTTTCTAACCTAGAAAATCTTTGTAGATAGTTATTAAATATGTTTACGTTAGATATAGGGCGAGCCTTGCCAATTTACATTGTTTTATTTATAATCGTACTAGCGTTTCTCGTGATTGATGAAATTGATCCGCTCTCATCCATCGTTATGATTTTTTTTAGATTATTCATAATAAAATAGAATAAGCAAAAGCTAGCCTATTGCTAAAGATGAGAACCCTTGACCTTGCGCGGTGCGCATTATCTCAACAATAGACGACAAAGATATAATAACTATGTTGTAAGCTATTGAGGGAAATAGATAATAAACGTGAATTTAATTGCAGGCCCATTAATGGTGATAACTCAAAGAGTAACATCTTTAGCGTATACAATACAGGATAATTTGACAAAGAGGGAAATAAACGCCAACTCTCAAGATAAGGAGTTGTCGAAGTTTGACAAAATACCTTCACCGCTCGAATATTTCGCGTATACATTAGCATTCCAAACATTGATGTGTGGGCCAGTTGTGTTTTACTCGGATTACATTAGTTTCATTGAAGGCGATCGTGTAAACAAAGTAAGTGGGTTGTAATTTGTATATTACTTCAATTTCTATCTACATTTACATATTCTTTAAAATTGTTATTTATTAAGTTCATAAAACCTCTAGGTTAATTTCTAAGAAATCTATTGTTAACTGTAACGCCGGCGTGTCCGCGGTCGTTGAGGAAATAATAAGTTTTTCACGCTATTATACTGAAAATAAATTTTGTTTAAATGTTGCCTGTTTGTTGTCGAAAACAATTTACAAGGCAGAAGAAGCTATTTTGACAAGGCACCAACATATTATTCCAGTGAATGAAAGTATTATGAGAAAGATATTGTCAATATGCGAAAATTACGATATTGATTATATACATACGAGTATAAGCTGGAGTAAGGCTTACATAAGTATATGAAAATTCATGCAAAAACTAGTTAATTAATGAATTTATTCTTACTCATAAAACCCGTAAAATAAGTTAACTTTTTTAATTATTAATTAAAAATATTAACTGATTCAGATTTAAATTTTAATTAAAATTAATTGTAAAAAAAACAAATGAGCATGTTAATCTGAATTATTAAAAAGTCATTAATGTAGTAAAATGCACTATGGCATGTAGGCATTTACCTTACAGTACTTAAATTTTTCCAAAAAAAAACATATAACCAGTGAGCAGTGAGTGAGCTGTAGAAATTGATGATGATAGATGTTTAAAAAATGAGTGTAGGTGTTCTTTATTTGAAATCATTGAATTCAGTTTAGAGGTTCTAAAAACATAAAAGGGGGGTTCTTTTTTTGTTAATTTTTAATAGTTAACGTGTAATTACTGTACATGGTCCAAACTCAAGACAACTAGCTTACAGCTATCTTGAAATATCTCAAACTCACATTTGATTGAGGTTGGTGTGAGAGCTTACAAACGCGCCAAAGATGTATGTATGTACCTATGAAATTTAATAAAGGTTTTTCGGTCGCGCATGCACTTTTGTGTATGCCTTCTTTCTTTACTGTTGAACTACGAATAGTTTAACGTTAAAGAGGTAATATCCTAGAAACAGAAGTTTTTATATATTTAATAAGGAATAAGGATATTGTAGTATAATTATTATTTCAGGAAGAATATTATAAATCAGGTGATAAGGAGCCGTCCCCTCGTCTGGCAGTTTTATACAAAGTGGCTGGTTCTGTGACGGCGGCTGTTCTTTACTTATCCCTCGCGGAACGCTACCCATTGACTGTACTAGAAGGTAATTATTATACGTTTCAGTAAGGATTCATTTTCGCTCCGCTCGGGTTCGCCCCTAGTTACGTAAAAATGGGGGGCGGGGGTGGGAAGATGAAAAATACTTTACGACCTATTCTCATACCTACCAAATATACAAAATAAAAAACTTTTTAACAAAAAAATAAAAACCGACTTCAAACAAAAGCACTAAAAAGTAAAAAATAACTGATTGGTAGTTTTCATTTACTATACATACCTAATCAAATATTTTCGAAGTCGGTGTGCTTTGCTCTGTATGGGCTGGCACCGATTTCGAAAGTATTTGATAAGGTATGTATTTAATAGGTAGGCTTTAATTACTTAGCCAAAGCACACCGACTTCGAAAATATTTGATTAGGTATGTATAGTAAATGAAAACTACCAATCAGTTATTTTTTACTTTTTAGTGCTTTTGTTTGAAGTCGGTTTTTATTTTTCCCTTTTTAGTGTAGACAGTAGTAGCATAGTAAGGATTCTAACGTGTTAGGCTTGTCAAATCAAACAAAATAAGCCCAAACTCAAAGTATCTACTATTAGCCGTTGAAGAGTTCCACCTATCCACCTTCTGGCCTTGCCATCAGATCAGGTCAACAACACCGAACCACTGTACTATCAACGAAAATAGAAATACTTGCAAAGTTTCAAGTCAATATGACAATTAGAAGTAGGTTAAATTCATCATTAGTAGTTTTTCCACCCTTAGGGGTGGTATTTTTTTTTGAAATTTAAATGGGACCAATCTGGAAGTATACCCTTTCAAACAAAACAAAAATTGTCCAAATCGGTTAATAAATGACGGAGTTCTGAGGTAACAAACATAAAAAAAAAAACATACAGTCGAATTGAGAACCTCCTCCTTTTTGAAGTCGGTTGAAAATTAATTGAAATCGGTCGAGCCGTTTCGGCGGAGTGCGACTACAAACACCACGGTATGTAAATATTACACGAGATATTTATATATTAGACTAGCGACTCACCTTCGATCCGCTCGGGTTCGTCTTTAGTGAAAATTTAGGTTTGTATGTATTTTTTAATGTCGAATCATAAAAAAATTAAAATTAAAAAAATTGTCCAACTTCTTTTTTTTGTCCAACAGTCTTAAAACTTCGGGGTATGAAAAATAGTTTACGTCCTATTCTCAGACCTACTGAATATACACACAAAATTTCACAAGAATCGGTCAAGCAGTTCCCGAGGAGTTTTGTTACAAACACTGTGACATGAGAATTTTATATACCTACATATTAGATGAATCTTTAACTTTAGTTTTGCACTAGTAACTTTACATATAGTTTGTTTATCAGTGAAATTTAATAGTGGTTTTCCTTACTTTATAAAACGAACTTGAATTCATGTTCGCATATTACTACGATGTTTTTAAAGGACTTTATCATAATATGTTGGGAGAAGCAATATAGAGTAAGGATTTTATCATATTATGATGATGATGTTCTACTGACCGATTCCGGCCACGGCGGCCAAGTGCACAAGTGTACGCGCAGGCACAGGTACACTCTCTGTTCCTGTCACCGCGGTAATATTACATACAGTATTCCATCTTCATACAAACGGTCGGAAATCGAGTTATACCTACGCGCGTCGCGTTCGGTATACACTCGGTAGACAACCGTGCGGGGTTGCCACATCGAATAATTGGATACGAAAATTGTATAAGGTGGTTATGTTATGTAACTTTTATAATTTGATACAAAAATCAAAATTTTTTTCCTCCCGTAACTTCGCTAATGTCAAACAATAAAGTATTGAGACATCGTATGTTTTAATAATAAAAATTAATTAATTAAATAAAAATGTAAGTGTTTTTAATTTGACTTTTTATCCGAACGCGGATTCTTTATACTATTAAATTTAACAATAAAGCTTTTCGTACGTCTCAATCGAGGCGCAATTATTTTTAAATCTCAAATTTATAAGGGTCACATTCCACTCTTATAAATTTGGGGTTATTTAATTAAATCTACTAATAAGTTTTTAAATAAAAAATAAAATATTTGAAATCACAAAATTAGAAAAAAAAACTCAAAGAAGTAGATGAAATTAAAATACTGTCCGGCGGGCACTCGGGCAGCCCTGTCGCGTGGTCACGTGCCGCGCGGCTGTAGGTAATTATTTCAAGGACAGGCCCGAGTTGGAATACTGTATGCATTACATTACCGTGCTGTCACTCTCATACTCCGGCGGGACGACACGAGACACGACCAGTGAGAGTGTCTGCGCAGGACCGACGCGACACGTGCTCTCTCATATTGCCATATTATACATAGCACTCGAGTTCATCTTATTTACACATATTATAGCTATGTATGTACCTACTATGTAATCTTAACATTTTGTTATCACTGATATTGAACATTGATTACACTAAGCAATTCAACATATTATGTGACTCATGATGAATACCCTATTGGAAAGTAATTGCACCGATTCCTTATGCGTTCTCATCTCTAATCTAAAGAAACGATTTATGTGATTTATACAAACATTCGCATAGGATTTGTTATTGAAGTTGTAATATATCGCAAATTGTAAAAATTATTTTGAAGTTATAGGTATACAATGTATGTTGAACCGGAATAAAAATATTTAACCCGAATAATTATATGAATATTTATTATACGTGTAGTCATTGTATACAGTTAAAAATTACAATTTTTAATATTTAAGTATAGATTCTGTTTAGCCTTTCAAATATTATGTATTTTTATTTGACAACTAGCATTGCCCGCGGCTCCGCCCGCGTTCACTTGACCAAAAAGCAAATTCTTAGGTTTTACATATTAGTATATTCTTACAATGCAGTTTTTTTCTCTCAAAAATGAGAAATTTTCCCGCGGTTAAAAGTACCCTATATGTTGACCCGGATAACCAGCTATCACCATACCAAATTTTATCAAAATCCCTCCAATGGTTTTTCTGTGATGCGGTCACAGACAGACAGACAAAAATTCTAAAAACTAAAGATTCGGCTTATGTATCGATATATAATAAATAATAATGCCTATTCCAATAAGATTTTCCAGAAAATATTTAATGTACAGATTCGGCTTAGTTACAATTTTATTATATGTATAGATTTCATTTTTAGAGATCCTAACTGAAATGAAAAAATGGAACCCTAAACCCTTGTAATTTCGCGAAATCCGCCTGTTCGGCCATAGGCCATTTACTTTTGACTATTTGTACTGCTTAAAAAATTGTGTTACTTAAAAATGTGTTATGTAATAATCGATACATTGTACAAAGAAAATTGCATGTAATTTAATAAAAAAAATATCCTGAGCGCCATTTACTGGCACTAGCGCGTTAGGTACAATGCCATTATAAAACTTACTGATAACAGATTTTATATGTTTTTAATCGCGTATTACTCCAAAACAACTGGACAGTCTTAAAGATTGTTTTTATTATACTGGTAGTTTAAATATTTGTGATAAGACAGTCCGGTAGTACGCGGCTACGCGCTCATATTCTTGTTTGATCAGGCGGGGTCTTATTTGATTGTGTAAAATCTAATAACATTTTCGAAATGTTATTCCTGCTAGCGCCAAAACGCCACACCACGCACCACGAAATACATACGTGGTCTAATACTAGTAAAGTTACTTTTAGTTTGAAATTATAATAAATTTTGTAATTATTTATACTTTGAAACACTTGATTGATTTTAATTAAATAAAGACTAAATGTTATCTTGACATACACACAATCGAAAAGATTTCAAACACACAGGCGAACAGATAGACATAATTTTTAAAAACGATATAAATTTTCTTATTACTTTAATCCCCACCAAACAAAATTTTTTCAAGCGATGTACAAACGCGGAACTTTAATTCTTATTTCTCATTATAATACATATGTCATTTATGTGTAGATTCATAAAAATGAAACAGTTTTACAACAAAGGTCACTTTATATTACCTTCATCTTTCAATGAATAAGTAATATAGTTTTTGTCTTAATTTTTTTAATTAAATTCACATGTAACTTAACTTACGCTTGTCCTTATTTTATAAAAATAAAGAGTAGGTTTAGTGAGATATTATTACTATATTTGTGTTTTATATTGTAGGTATGCCTTTTATAACTGCCTGGGTGGTGTAGTGGCTAGCATGTACGGCTGCACACTCGTAGGTCCTGGGTTCGAGTCCCGGGTCGGGCCAAATTTAGTTATTGAGTCTTTCTGTATAGTAAGCCTCAGTAACAGCCAGGACTTGGGAAGTCGGCGGTGCTTCACCCCCTTGCCTCGGAGAGCACGTAAAGCCGTCGGTCCTGCGCCGACACTCACCGGTCGTGTCGTGCAGTCGTCCCACCGGAGTATGAGAGTGACAGGAATAGAGAGTGCACGTTGTGTCTGCGCGTACACTTGTGCACTATAATATCTCCTGCGCAGTTGGCTAGTCTCAATGAGATTGGCCGCCGCGCCGTAGCCGGAATCGGCTAGGAGAACATTATGCCTTTTTTTAAACGTTGGTAAATGCATTTACGCACGAGGTGTGGGACTCACCGGCAAAGCCAGTACTACCCACTAAAACCCAACAAAACCTTCCCCCGTCTTAATGGGGCGTCGCAGGATCGCTTACGCATTCAACTACGACGCCCCGACGGCAGGTCTGCCGAAGCAGACCACCATAACCATGGGGTTGCTCCAAGGTCCATTCTGCTATCAGAGAAGTACCAGGACCAACCCGCATAGCACACCGTCCACCGAAGTGGACCTCCTACCGCCCACCGAAGTGGGCCACCTCCCTGTGTGTTTCTTGGCTTTGCGCCCGGCTGTATTGCCGGGCACTACTGACCTCCCCCACCACGACAAGGTGAACGCACGTTGGGTGGGATATTGTAGGTATGATTAATCAAATTATTTATAAATAAAATATATAACATATTCACTCATAATGAGTTTTTCGTACTCGCTGACGATGTTTGCTGTATTAAGCATTCGACTCTACGAGAACAACAACTCAAAATAAAACCGCGACATAAGAAATTACAGATTCCTTTAAATGAACTTATTATCAAAGACACAACCATTCACTGCTGGGAACTAACTTTAACCATAACAACTTGTTATTTTAAAATTTTAAGTGTGTATATATAACCTAATTTTACCGTATTTAGTGCTACTACTTTCACTTCATGTTGTTGTACACATTATAAATGATTTTTATATATTACTAGCATTGCCCGCGGCTCCGCCCGCGTTCAGATGACCAGAAACCAAATTCTTAGGTTTTACGTATTAGTATACATGCAATGTAAGAATATTGCAGTTTTTGTATTTTTTCTCAGAAATGAGATATTTTCCCGCGGTGAAAATCCTATATGTTGACCCGGATAACCAGTTATCATCATACAAAATTTTATCAAAATCCATCCAGCGGTTTTTTCGTGATGCGGTAACAGACAGACAGACAGACATACAAAAATTCTAAAAACTATAGATTCGGCCTCTGTATCGATAATAATATCTATTTCAATAAGATTTTCCAAAAAATATTTAATGTACAGATTCGGCTTAGTTACAATTTTATTATATGTATTGTGTATAGCCCTTTTAACGTCATAATGTCTAGACTCGGGATTTGAACCCGCTTCACTCGGTTTCCCAAACGAGCTTATTACCACTGGGCTACCACTACCTTTTTATTTAATACTAGCAGAACCCGCGGCTTCGCTCGCGTTCAATTTAGAAAAAAACTCTGGCTCTGTCTGCTAGATTTGTTGACATTTATAATTACTGCTTCGCTTTCTTGGGTAGTATCATGATATATATTATATAGCCTTCCTCAATAACGGGCTATCTAATGCAAAAAGAATTTTGTAAATCGGATTAGTGGTTCCTGAGGTTAGTGCCTTCACACAAACAAACTCTGCCTCTTTATAATATTAGTTTTTTTTTTTATTATTTAATGCCAGAGCTGCAAGACCCAACGTCTGAAGTATCTCGATCGTGGTCCGCTGTGTACCTTTTGTGGTACGCATATTTGTCGACGCTTGTTGTAAGATGCAAGTATTACCACGCTTGGTTGCTGTCTGAAGCGATATGTAACAATTCCGGAATGGGTTTCAATGGCTACGACAACAATGGGTCACCGAAATGGGATAAAATGTCGAATGTAGATGTTTTTGGATTTGAAGTGAGTCTTATTTTAAACTATTGTCTTAGGATGTACTTATTTGAATTTTAAGTATAATATGTTATATGCCTGTGTATTTTACATTTTTAAATCTACTTTGTGTCTGCAAAAATCAACGATCAAAAGACGTGTATTTTTTCGTTTGAAATAAAATTTTAAAACTAAAAAACTAATTTTCTTCCGAAATAGACTTTAAAAAATTCGATTAAATTGTTAGATGTTACAAGTGATGCTAACAAAATGCACGTGTGTAACTCAGCTCGCGCAGAACTTCCGCGCGGCGGTGTCCAGCTGGAACAAGAACACGAACGCGTGGCTGCGCGCCGTGGCGTACGAGCGCGGCGCGGCGCGGCGCACGGCGCGCGTGTACGCGCTGTCCGCGCTGTGGCACGGCTTCCACCCCGGCTACTACCTCACCTTCTTCGCCGGCGGACTCTTCACGGTGGCCGCCAAGAAGGTCAGTACTCGGTGCACGGACCACTGTTGGGCTATATATGAGGCGATCTCGGAAACGGGCCTAACGATTTCATAAATTAGTCTTGTGTCTGGGAAAACGCGTGTTTTTGAGTTTTCACGCGGTTTTCTTTCGCATTATTCCACTCAAAATATGGTCGCCAATTTCGCAAGCTCGGGTAAAAGCATCGTAGTCAAGCAGCCAAGGCGTAAGATTTACATTCACAGGTATCCGGATTCGAATCCTGGTCGAAACAAAGTTTTTACTTTCGTTTTTTTGTACTTATTCAAGTTTTTAGTGTTTTTTTGTTTTTAAGCCAAATTAAAAAGAAAATTGTACTTTTGGCCAAAAACTTCGAGTGAAACTCGAGCCCAGGTACTACGAATTTGTTCCAACAAAGTTGCATTGAAACCTTTTTGGCAATTCTCGGTTGATGCAAGATTAAGCTCAAGAGGAACTATTTCCTTTGATAGTTTTATATAAGTTCTTAATAAAAATTGGCGATATACGACACTAGAAGTAAAAACATTATCGCATATTTTAAGCTACCTAAAATGTTTAAGTTACTCTGATATTGAATATCTATTTTGCTATGTGTTTGTTCTGATTTTGGTGACATAAAGCAGCTCTGGAAACCAATACATAGATCAATAAACTGTCTTTCGAGCCAAGCGCGGATCCAGGGGGGGGGGGTCATGGGGGTCATGACCCCCCCAAGCCAAATATACTTTTTTGAGAAGTTTAAAGTCTAAGAAAAGAAGGAATAATAAAAAAATTTTAAATGCCTAATTCAAAACAAATTAAGCTTTTATTCGCTAATAAGTTTTTCTTTAATTTAAATACCGCTATACAAATAGTCCGATCGCGATGTGCTACACAAAAAATTAAAAGTGTGTAGCTGTGACATCCTATCGAAAAATATTCTTTACTAAAGTTGTAGGTCTAGTAAAAATCTACGACTTTTATAATAACCTCAAAGTTCATAATTATGATTATATTACAACGCTTCATTCTTCAGATATAATAACAGAGTAGTACCCCTAACCTACAAGGCAGCGTTCGCTATTTTCAGAGATATTCATTTTGAAGGTATTTGTAAAATGAAACTGTGCGGTGACTTATTTTAACATTTGACAGTTTCATTTCCCACCTTTACGTCTTCCTGTCTGCGAATATTCATATTTTAGTTCATTCCTTTTTCTTGCGAGGCAGCGTTAAGACGGCTTATAAGTGTCTATAGTCGTCATAATGCCGAAACGTACGGCTGAAGAAAAGATTGAGAAATACCAGAGAAAAATTAGGAAGTTAAATAAACGTGTTAGAAGAATAGTGACGTCGTCAGAATCGTCGGACGAAAGTAAAGGTAAGAAATAATTTTAAAAATTAACAAAGTGATTGTCACTTTGAGCCTGGGGGTAGGTTTATCCTACACGAAGGCTATATCTTTTAGCACATTAAGTCATACCTGGGGGTTGGCATTGTCTAACACGAAGGTAGAAATGACTAATTTGATTATTAATCCTTGGTAAAAAGTTGAAGCAATATTGCTATTGTTTTTTTTTAACGTTTTATATATATTTTTTTATACCTTATGGTAATATCACATGATATTAAAAGTACGTATTAACACGTATTATGCCTGGGGATTGCCTAAGTCTAATACAAAGGCTCACGATATCTGTGCTAAAAATAAGAATTGACATATTTGTTTATTCTTAACAGATGAACATCCTCCAGTAGTGGAGTCAGTGGTATCGGTTCCGGAAGATTTACCGGAAATAGAGAATGAGGAAGCGATGGAGCTACCTACCAACGACATACAAGTATCAAATTTTCCTGAATTAGAACCAGAATTGCTTCAAGCACTAGGAGAGGACAATATAGAAGAACCCGAATATGGCGAAAGTATTCATGATGATTTGGCAAAGCGTTGGTTGCCTATAATTAAAAAAGGTTTGTCTAAAGATATTAAAGAAAAATTGAACAAGGAATACCTTGTCCCAGAAAATTTTAAGCTTCTCAGGCCACCAACTTTAAATACTGAGATAATTACAGCTTTAGCAGAGACGGTGAAATCCCGGGATAAGAAATTAAAAACCAATCAACAGCAGCTAGCTATGGGCATAACAGCTGCAAATAAAGCTTTACACTTGTTGCTGTCAAACGGTGACAAAGCAGAGGCAGTAAAACACCTCAGTAACTGCTGTCGAATTTTATTAGACCTTCATGCACTTGAAACAAAATGGCGTAGAATACTGGTTACGATGTCACTAGACAAATCGTTTCAACAAATTGTTCAAGACTCGGAAAGAGATGATACATTATTTGGAAATAATCTATCTGAGAAAATCAGAAATTCAAAATGTTCTGAAAAACTAGGTTCACAATTTAAGAAAACTCAACCACCTAAATCTTTTCCTACTCAAACACACACCCGACCAGTAACAACCGGTCAGGGAAACTGCTTCAGACCTCGTCCCTCGACGAGCCGGGGAGGGGGACGAGGTGGCCAGAAGAGAACAGCTCCACCTCCACAGCGGCAACCACCATCGTCAACGGCGAGGTCTTCGTACCAGAGCACGAGCAGGAGTCGTGCCCCAACGCGGCGATAATCCAGGTACATGCAGGCCGAGTCAAAACTTTTTATAATTGTTGGTGTAATATTACAAAAAATCAATTAATCTTGAATTGGATTAGACATGGTTACAAAATACCTTTCGATAAAAAAGTAACACAATTATATGTTCCTAAGCTTTCAGTGCTAAATGATAAAGAATTTTCTTTTATGAATAATTCTATATCGAAATTAATTAATTTAGGAGCAATTTCACAATGCTCATTTAAAACTGGTCAATTTATATCTAAAACTTTTTTAGCTCTAAAACCTAATGGAGATAAAAGATTTATCCTTAACCTTAAACCTCTTAATAAATTTATTTCAAAAAGTCATTTTAAAATGGAAGACCATAGAACGGCGTTAAAATTAATTTTAAAAAACAATTATTTGGCCACGATTGACCTTAAAGAAGCATACCTGTTAATACCTATACATAGCTCACAAAAGAAATATTTACGTTTTCAATTTCGACATGATAATAAAAATATAGTAACATATGAGTTGAACGCCATGCCGTATGGACTGTGCTCAGCCCCTCTTGTTTTCACTATAATAATGAAAACAGTTATTACTCGACTAAGGTCCCAAGGTTTTAAATCGGTGTTATATTTGGATGATATTTTGTGTGTAGGCGAAAGCTATTTAAATTGTCAAAATAATGTCAATGAAACAATAAAATTGTTATCTTGCCTAGGTTTTATCATTAATTATGGTAAAAGTTCACTAAGACCTAAGCAAGTTTGTAAATTCTTAGGTTTCATATATAATACTATTAATATGTCATTATCATTACCTACAGACAAACGCGATAATATTTATAAGTTAGTTAATAGATTTTATAAACTACCTACTTGTACTATACGTGATTTTGCTAAACTAATAGGAGTTTTAATAGCTGCTTGTCCAGCCGTAAAATACGGATGGATGTACACAAAACTTTTAGTAAGACAAAAATATCTTTTTCTTTACAAATATAAAAATTACGATTCAAGAGTTAAATTACCTAAAATAATTCAAAAAGATTTAAAATGGTGGATTGATAATATTTATATTACATACAACAATATTCAGAGTAATCAAAATTATATTTTAGAATTTTTTACCGATGCGTCAAGATCCGGTTGGGGCGCATATTGTAATAATATGCGTGCAAATGGCGGATGGACAAATAAAGAAAAAGAAAAACATATTAATTACCTTGAATTATTAGCAGCATTTTTAGCATTAAAATGTTTTGCAAAATCACTTAATAATTGTAGTATTCTTTTACGTATTGACAATACCACGGCTCTTAGCTATATCAATCGTATGGGGAGTATACAACATCCGCATTTGAATGATTTAGCAAGAAATATTTGGCAATGGTGCGAGGCGCGTAATATATGGTTACATGCGTCTTACATTAATACTCGCGATAATAAAGAAGCTGATTTTGAATCTAGAAAAGCAAATCCCGATACAGAATGGGAATTATCAGATAAAGCCTTTCAGAAAATTATTAAAAATTTAGGGAAACCGGAAATTGATTTATTCGCCTCTCACACCAACGCCAAATGTAACATTTTCATGTCATGGAAACAGGATCCAGACGCCATAGCGGTAGATGCATTCACAGTAAACTGGAAAAAATATTTCTTTTACGCTTTCCCACCGTTTTCAATGATAATGAAATGTTTACAAAAAAATTTAGATGATAAGGCAACTGGTATATTTGTTTTTCCTTACTGGCCATCATAACCATGGTTCCCTCTATTACAAAGCATGATAGTGTCTGAAGTTCTATATTTTAAAAAGGATGATAAACTTTTGATGTCTTGTTATAGCGGGATTCACCCATTACACCAGCAGCTTACCCTGGCTGCAGCGAGGCTCTCAGGCTAACGTTCCTTCGGCAAGGTATTCCTCCAGAATCCTTTGATTTAATGTTATCCTCATTAGCTGACAATACAAAAAAGCAATATAACGTTTGTTATAAACTCTGGTGGGAATTTTGTTATTGTATTAATATATGTCCTTTAGACAATTCCGTTAGTAAAGTTTTATCCTTTTTAACGTGTCAATTTAATAAAGGTGCCTCGTATGGTACAATTAATAGTCACCGATCCGCGCTGTCATTATTATTAGGTAGCAGTATCGGAACAAATGAACACATAAAACGATTTTTAAAAGGAGTATTTAGATAAAAACCTATTAAACCTAAATATTCTGATACATGGGACCCGCAAATAGTATTGCAATGGTTATCAAAGTTAGGCGCGAACACAGAATTATCAATGGAATTACTTAACAAAAAACTTGTTACTCTACTTGCTCTTTGCACGGCACAAAGAGTACAAACATTGTCATTAATAAAATTGAATAACATTAATTTTTATGCAGATGGAATTAAAATAATTATCACCGATCATATTAAAACTTCTGCAATAAATAGACAACAACCACTTCTTTGGTTACCGTATTTTAAAAGCAATCTATCTATTTGCCCAGCTAGTGCTATTAAAGATTATATTTCCCGTACAAAAAGCTTAAGGAAAACTATTAATGCTGATAATTTAATTTTAACTAGTAAAAAACCATATAAACCTGCTTCATCCCAGAGCATTAGTCGTTGGATAAAACAGGCGCTTTCTGAAAGTGGCATTGATATTTCTGTGTTCGGGGCCCATAGTACGCGACATGCGTCCACCTCATCAGCTAAAGCTGCAGGTGTGGGTATAGAGGTGATTAGAAAAACAGCTGGCTGGACCTCTAATTCTATTGTTTTTGCAAAGTTTTATCAATTACCTATAATTAATAATAATTCAAATTTTGCACAATCTGTATGCTTAAAAGATTAGAAATTATGTTTTTTTTTTGTTTCTTTATATATTATGAATATGTACAACATAGAAATAGCATTAAACGATTGTAACCCAAAGAGGACGAAATATTACAATGTATATTTGGAACTTAATTTTGAAATAAATGATTTATTCTTGCAAAACTTTTTTATCTCTAAATAACTACTCTGTTATTATATCTGAAGAATGAAGCGTTGTAATATAATATATGATCAAACGAACTTACCTTAAGTGAAGTTCGATCATTATTATATGAAACGCTTCATTCGAAGATATAATCACCCTCCCTCCCACATACCTACTTTATCTATTAAATAAAAGTTTTGCATAATCTCTGAAATAAATGAATTAAAATATGAATATTCGCAGACAGGAAGACGTAAAGGTGGGAAATGAAACTGTCAAATGTTAAAATAAGTCACCGCACAGTTTCATTTTACAAATACCTTCAAAATGAATATCTCTGAAAATAGCGAACGCTGCCTTGTAGGTTAGGGGTACTACTCTGTTATTATATCTTCGAATGAAGCGTTTCATATAATAATGATCGAACTTCACTTAAGGTAAGTTCGTTTGATCATATATTATACATATGTATATTTCGGCCTATGATCCACCCCAAAATTTAACTCTGGATCCGCGCCTGTTTCGAGCAAAGTTTTGTTTGTCTCACGCCATTTACCATCATATAAATTATGATCAGACGAGTGTGCATTGTCAATTTAGCTGTCGTTGTAACAGAATGATCGTAATCTTTGCGTTACATAAAGCTTAGAATGGAGACGTGTGTACTAATACAATTGTTATTTTTAAATATACATATATCACTAACGACTTGCCCTCACTTGGCTCGACTGCGTCTCTATGTGACTTTTCATCCAAATCCATCCAGCGTGATGGAGCAAAAACATACAAACACAAACTTCCGCATACTATAATAGTGTTTGTGTTGTATAGTATAGGTACTACAATCCAATCATAGCCATAAAATCAGCTATCACTCTCAAAAATCCTGCTCTCTTTAAAAATTAAATCAATCGGCTTCAAACGTCACACTTGTGAGAATTTTATATTATGTGAGTCATTTGCTATTACGGTTAAGGAAAAATATAAAGAAACCCAACACCGACTACTTTTCGAAAAACGTGAGAAGACCGCCACCTCACATTGAACTTGGTATAGACTATGTCCTAATCCATCTGCCATTGAGGGGAGGCCAACGTCAATAGATATTAAAAATTGCTGAATTATAATATTTTCTATAGATACGAGCCTTCGCCCGGCCGATGTTTTTGGACAGTCGGCCTAAGAAGATTTTGTACGACGCGTTGACATTCATCACGACGCGGGTCGCCATGACATACGCCACAGTGCCATTCGTTCTGTTGCATCTCTCACCGAGTCTCGTGTTTTATGGGTATGTAAACTTTTGTAATATAGTAAAATTAAAAAATATATAAAATATAAATTCTACTATTCCCTGAGGATTTTACTGATCACAGGCAAAGTCACTGTTTCGTCTGTGGAAAATGATCAATTCAAGTCACTGTTGCTATACTTGTAATTTAAAGATGAAGTGCATGTTGGATACCTACTCGTTGCAATTAAAATTGATTACATACAATAAATTCTTTGTTTATTTATTCATGATATGAATTTAAATATATATATATATATATATATATATATATATATATATATATATATATATATTAGTACTTAATAGCACTACGAGTATAGTTTGGAAATATAACCATACAATTTTGGACTTGATTAATTATCATTTTATTATAAATATTGCCTGCATTTGTGTCTTTTCAATTAACATAATTCAAGTTAATGTAGTTTTAAATTAATGTGTGAAGGCTGAAGTGGTACTTTTCTTTATTGCTTTCATTTTTTTACGCGTATTTTGTTTAAATGTTGTAAATTGTTTAACATAAGATTTATTATTATGATAACTATTATTAAAACATTCATAATTATTTTCCAGAAAACTATACTACTCCTTTCATTTCATCGCTCTGGGTGCATTATTTTTGCCGGCAAAATCCAAGTCGCATGTGTGTTTACAAAATTCTACAAAAGAAGTTTCTAAACCGAAATGTAATGGGGACGTTAATGGAAAACTTAAAACTACCTAAACTAACTTGTATCTCAACAAGAACAAAGCGTTAGGACTTATGCCCGATTTCGCCAACAACCCATAAGCTACCGTCTACGTATGGGATCCCTAGCTTAAAAGTTCCCCTAAACTAGCCCCTAAATTAAATTTCCTTCCATCCTTAAGCCCATATTTCGAGCACCTAAATTTAGGGGGCCTTTTAATATTTAGGTGACCCCTAACTGTCGGTGAAACAGAAACTGTCCCTCAACAACCCCTTAACCATGCTTAGGGGATCCATTAAACTCAGGTGACGTTGTTGAAGTCGGGCATTAGACTATATGATATCTAATATATTTTTTTAATATTTAACACATTATACACTTTTATATATCACAAGAATTATTCTCTATACAAATATGACTGGCCTCACTTTATGATAATTGGTATTGAAAATGGATATTGTATATACTTAAATATTTATATTGCTATAGAATTAAAAATTTAATAGATATGGGTTAGGTGATGTTGCCACGGTCGGCCCGAGAGATTGTCCATTTATATTTTTACACACACAAGACATGCATTTATTAATAAAACAACTATGAAAGTATTTATTAATGTATTACGTAAAATAGATTACCATTTATTTTTTATGACAAAATAATAATGTTGTGCATTTTAATATATGTGAGAGAGTTATGTTAATTGTTATATTAAAAAGTAACTATTTACTGATGACATTAATATTAAGATGAACTATAGACTCAGACTAAAAGAATAAGTTAGAACTGAGAATACAAAAATTGAAGCCAAAATATTATTGAGTGTGCGAAATCGCACAATACACCAAGTATTTTATTTTAGTTATCTTGTCACTAAAATTTAAATGTTGTACTATTTTTATATTTGCTGATGAGTTATTATATTTTTAGAACGCTATATGATATAAAAACTTTGATTATTTTTAACAATTTGGGATCCAACGGCAAGATGAACGGTAACTTAAACGGCTCATTATAATGCCATTTCAGGCGCGGCGCCACTTTCTTCCTACATCCTGTACGCGCCCGTCTTTTGGTTATCTTATTCTTTTGGTTTGAGACTAGATTTTATTTACTAATTTCTTAGAACCAACTCAAATATATTTTTTTTACTTTAATTTAATTTTATTTATTAATATACATAGCGACCACATTCAACTTGCAGTATAGTATATTCTAATAGGGCTTGCAATTTTAAATAAACAAATGCCGTTATGATCTAGTGACCTTTCTTGTCAAAAAAAAAAATGATGACACACATCCATCACCAATTGCTTTGCTCATAAACAATAATTTATTCAATAGCGGATTTAGGTTCGATATTGCCCTAGGCCCAAGTCGATATGGCGCCATTTTTTTTTGTAACAGTTTATATAAATTAATTATTTTAACAAAGAAATTCTATCCTTGAAATAGGACTATGTTTAGATTTTAAGAGCGCATGAAAATAAACTTTAAAATTTGGTCTTACAGTTTACAGAAAACCCAATCGATTTAATATTAGTCGTCTTAAAGTTTTAGCGCCCCTCAGAATTTGCCGCACTTATAGGCCCGGGGGCCTTACGGGCCTATGCCTAAATCCGCTACTTAATATATTTTGTCATACTTTTATTGCAAGTTATATTGTCATAGAGTATATGTATGTGATGGTATAGTTTATATTAAATTACACTTTTAAATACTTTGTGAAGATTTCTATTAAGGATTGGCATACCTTTGCTGAAGTTGACTGATGTAAGACTGCACTGTGTTAATATTAAAGGTGCTTACAATATTTCGGCTACTAATATGAAGATATTACTTATATGTATATAATTTAATTACAGATTCTTACAATGAATGATTGATCAGTGATCGCAAATGTTTTTTTTTTTTTAATTTATTTAAATTAATTTATTTTTCATAATAGATTGTTATTGCTATGTTCAGCTATGATTATTCGTATTAAATAATCTTTCTTCAATTTTATTATATTATTAGAAATAAATTTGGCAGCTTGTGTATTATTGTAATAATTTTATTGTTTTTATATATTTTTTTCGATACATTCATGTGGACTACATACATAATCTCATTTTTAGATCTTTGAAAGTTTTGTAATGTGCTCTTTGGCAAATTCCAATAAATTGTAAGTAGTTATGTTAATATTACAAAAAGTTTTAAATGTGTAAAAGCTTATTTTTGTAAAATAGGTATCAAGACTTCCTTAAAATAACTTAATATATGAAAAGAACAAAAAAAGTATTGTTTCTTAATAAATTATAATTATATTAATGTCTAAACTAATATTAAAAATGTAATTGACAAATCTAGCTGAATCATGGAAGAATTCTCATCAAGGGGACTGGGATCTGTTTTATCACATTATTAACTCATTACAAGTACAATTATTGCTAATTCTGAAATGTTACCATTAACTATAGCCATAATGAATGACCTATAATCTATATGCTACCCATTGGACCTGATTATTTTTGTGTGATCTGTTATGTTTAAAAAATGTGTATTTACATATTGTATTTCTGTTATATTAGTAAAATTTTTATACATTACATAACATGTTCATAAATTAGTAACAATTATTATTAGTTTTAGTTTCATACTTAATTTTGTTTAAAAAAAGTTTGAATGATAATTTGTCGAGGTTAAAATATCATTGATATTATATCAAAATTCAGTATACAAGACAAAATCTTAAGTTTTAATAATATGATGAACAGTTAAATATACTTTCAATTTGTTAAATAAAATGTACGACTTTATATGAACTCTATCGAGAAATACTAAATAATGTGCTTATACATAAAATAAAACTATTCCAGATAAAAATGTATCTTGAATAAAAATATTGTGTTTCACTGTTATTGTCAGTTATTATCATGGTATATTTAATAAATGTTTATTTAAATTATGTAGTTCATTTGATATCCTTTTATCGTTATTTCTTATTCTCCCTTAATTCTAAAAACGCTTGTCTCACACAGCATAAAGCACCAGGCACATCATTAGTTTGTAGTAATTTCTTTTGAAGTTCTTTTAACAGTTTTAACTTTGGATGAATATTTTGCACTAAAATAAATAAAAATTATTAGCTCAATATTACAATTAAAAAAATACATTTATCAATAATAATACATATTATAAAATTCTATACAAGCAATAACCATGTATGGCGGGTACCAAGGTCGATAATTGGTACGGTTACCAACTTCCTTACAAAGTAGGTAACTTGTAAATTATATATTTTCTTATCTATAAAATATTTTCTGAAACTTTACTTACATTCATATTGGCCAGTGGTTGTATGTCTCAATAATCTAACTGAATAATTTTCATTATCTTTTTTAGACTCTGTAAAAAATTGGACAAATATAACTTGTGTGTCACTGGTTCTTTTTTCAATACAGTAATATACTTTCAAAAACTTTTTGTAATATTTCTTGGCCATTAAAAATGCTTCATGGGTCTCTTTGATCTCTTGTGTTAAGAGTTTATGATCTGTAATAAAATAAAAAGCTGTTATTTGCACAAATTGTAAATGGGGTCTTGAAAGTTTTCTACAAGATATTATTAGTGTAATGTTGCAGAACGAGACCAACGCTTGATGTCAATTACACAATATGTTTTTAATGTAAAAGTCTAATGGAGTGATTGAAGAAAGTGGCTGAATAGAAATATTCCTTACCTTGCTTGTAATTTTCATATTTAGTTTGTCTGTCTGCTAATTCTTTAAGCTTAGATTCAATCTGTTGCTTTAATTCTTTATTGCCTTCAGTAAGAAATTTTAATTCTTCATCAAAAGTTTGGGCCAAATTTACTTGATGATTGATGTTTTCAATTAAAAAATTATCTTCAAGCACTTTAGGAATATTTTCACATAAAATATTGAGTTCTTTTTCAAAATTATCAAATAAGTTTTTTTCAATGTCGTCTATATTAAATTGATATACCCAGTTTTCTTCAACGACACTCATCTTGCATATTTTTATTTAATCTATCAATAGAATTGGTAGGAATTATTTATTTAAAATTTGAAGTGATCAAATGTTATTCAGTGTTTAACGTAAATAAAATTTTAAAAGTTTCCGTTGATTTTATCACAGATGAAAAAGAATTCAATGCTATTATTGCAGATAAATAAGTTACTATAAAAACAGATAGAAAATATATTTCAAAGACCTTAATTGACCATCCCTCTTTTCCAATTAGATCACTAAAGCACATTATGCGGCATAATGCTAACTTCGGTTCTTCCAACTACAGCAACGCTCCGTTCAATCGAGCATTTTGAAAAGTACTGCTTTGACATAATGCGCGCAAGGATACCAACTCTTCTTCTTCTTCTTGCCCATTTCCCAAGTTACTTGAGGACGGTGCAGTGAGTCATTGCTTATTCGTTTTGGCAAAAGTTTTCCGACCGGCGCCTGCCTGACGTCAATCCTCTTTGGGAATGTGTTTGTTCGCCCGCCATGAAGCAAAGGAACCAAAGTCAAGGTATGATGCCCAGCCCGGGGTCCCTAAATCAATCAAGGATACCAACTCAATAACAGAAAATATGAGAAGTGTTTTTTCTTCAAGGTGGCTTGATCAAAATTTTATTTACTTTATCCTTAGTGATACAGATAATGATAGAACCAAATAGAATATTGGCTTTATTCAACAATAAAATAAGACATAGTAAATAATTAGGTATTGACAATTTGATAGTATAACACTGTTGACAATGTCATAATATTATGTAATATTATAAAGAAGGTAATTAAATAACATGTGACCTTCATACTTAACAAGGAGATCACATCATTCGGCCCCCCCCCCCCCGGGCCGGAGGTTTGCGTTCTCGAACAGAGCGACGAACTTGTGTACTCTCCACTTCTGGGCTAGCAGGTGGAGCTTCGTTGGAAGGGACCTCCTCCATTTCTAATTGCTCTTCATCGTCCGACGAGTCGTCGTCAACGACCTGTGGCAGTGGCGCTAAGGATCTATTAGAGACTGTAGTTTCTCGCCCATCTGCTAATCGAACGTAAGAATATTCAGGATTGCTTTGTAACAGCTGTACCTCTTCTACAGCCGGGTCATATTTTGAACTCCTTACGTTCTTCTTTATATAAACAGGTCCAGGTGAATGAAGCCAAGTTGGTAAAGATTGGCCGTTTATCGAGCGACGAGGATGGTTGAACATACGCTCATGAGGCGTTGCATTCGTTCCTGTACATAAAAGGGATCTTATAGAATGTAACGCTGGCAGCAAAGCTTTCTCCCAGTTAGCAACGTCTTCGTTGTTCGATCTGAGATGTAATTGAATTGTTCGCCACAGCGTACCATTAAGCTTCTCTACCAAACCGTTTCCTTGGGGATTGTAAGGGGTGGTGCGACTGCAAGATGTTCCGAGTGAGGTTAAGAAATGTCTTATTTCATCTGATAAAAATGAACTTCCTCTATCGGAATGGATATAAGCCGGAGTACCAAATGTGGAGAATAAATCTTTAAGGCAACTTATGACTGTTCCTGAGGTCATATTTTTACAGGCATACGCAAACGGAAAACGGCTATATTCATCGATTATTGTTAAAATGTATCGGTTTTGAGTGTTAGATGGAATCGGCCCTTTAAAATCTAAGTTTAGTCTTTCGAAAGGTGCAGTTGCCTTTATGAGATGCCCTTGGTGTTTTATATAACGAGGTTTGATTTCAGCACAGATAGGACATGCTGCCGTCATTCGTTTCACTTCTTCGATGGAGTATGGTAAGTTCTTCGATCTGACCCAATGAACCATACGTGCAATTCCAGGATGGCAAAGAGATCGGTGTAGTTCAACAAGTTTGGAGTTATTAGACAAACTATCTATGTGCATGCAGACTCGAGAGAGCGCATCGGCAGCAAAGTTCTGTTTTCCGGGTCGATAAACAATGTCGTATTTAAAACAAGACAATTCAAGGCGCCATCTCTCGATCTTTTCGTTCTTGATCTTACTAGAGTGTGTTTGGTTGAACATAAATGCAACAGACCGTTGATCAGTTACGAGTAGAAAATGTCTTCCAATCAAGAAGTGTCTCCATTTGCGTAAAGCTTCAACTATAGCGCAAGCCTCCTTCTCAATGGAAGGTTGTCTTTTCTCAGAATCGTTAAGTGATCGTGAGAAGAACGCTACGGGACGTCCTTTTTGTGACAGCGTTGCTGCGATTGCGAAGTCAGAGGCGTCAGTTTCAACAGAAAATATCTCTTTGTCGTCTATTCCAGCTAAGGCCGATTTAGAAATGTCAATCTTTAGATTGTTAAAAGAGTTAATAGCCTCTTCAGATAAAGGAAATGTAGCTTCGATCAGAGGTCTGATTTTGGCAGAAAAGTTGTCGACCCACTTTGAATAATGAGCAAATAGTCCAAGGGCTCTTTTCAAAGTAGCTGTATCAGATGGGATAGGAAGATTTGTTAGTGGTTCCAATCGAGACTTGTCAGGTTTGATTACGTTATGACTGATGGTATAGCCGAGAAGATTTATGGATTCTGATTCAAAAGTGCATTTACTCATATTTAGAGTGAGTTTATATTTCTCAGTAGCTTTCATGAATTTGCGAAGGTTATCATCATGATCCTGCTTATCTTTTCCGCATACAGTCACATCGTCTAAGTAAGCATATGTACCTTTCAGTTTTTCCGAATCAATGATATACTGTAAAGTTCGCTGGAAAGCCGCCACACCATTTGTAACTCCAAATGGTATTCGTGTGAATTGGTAGAGGTTCCCGCACGCTTCGAAGGCTGTGTATACCTTCTCCTTTGGAAGAATGGGAACTTGGTGATAAGCACTTTTGAGGTCGATTTGGCTATAAATATTGTATTTAGCGACTTGAGTTATAATAGAATCGATGGTAGGTAAAGGATATGCATCTAGTTCCGTGAATCTATTTATAGTTTGAGAATAGTCAATGACAAGACGTTTCCGATGATAGTCATCGCCAGTAACGAGTACTTGTGCCCTCCAAGGCGAGATACTGGGTTCGATAACCTTGTCTTTAAGTAAGTTGCTTATTTCGTTAGATATAAATTCTTGGTCTTCCTGAGAATGCCGTCTGGAGCGAATAGCTATAGGTTTTATATTTGGTGAAAGATTAGTAAAAATTGAAGCTGGTGGGACAGATGCCTCCAGTACATTGCAAACTTTCAAAGGCCCTTTGTCTCCCCCGAACTGAAGTTCAAATGATGAGTGTTTTCCTAATATATCATGCCCAATGATAACGTCAGCACACAGATCGCCAACAATGAGCAGAGGTTGATGCTGGTATATATGTTTACCAATCTGAATTGTAGCGTAGCATAGTCCCTCAACATATGATATATTGTTAAGAGATGCTAAAGTTATCGCTTGTCGACAGGGCTTTCGTTTAAGGTTCATGGTTAGAGCAGTATTCTTATCGATAAAGCTGATTGAACTTCCGGTGTCAAGTAGCGCATCTGCTTGATAGTTGTTCAAGGTAATTGGAATGGTAGCTTTACGTAGGCTTGATGGCGCAGCAGCGGATATCATTGACAAATGAGAATCAGTAACTTGAGGTTGAGTAACGTCGTCATCGTCCATGGTAATAACATTTACGGTACGTTGACCTGGTCTTGAACTACGGCAAACAGTTGCAAAATGTCCTTTTTTGGAGCAAAGTTGACATTGGGCATTATTAGCGGGGCACTTGATTCTTTTATGAACATTGCCACCGCAGAAAAAGCATCGGGGGTCACTTTGCGTAGGGCGACTGTGATGAAAATTTTGAGGTTTTGATGCTGCCAAGTTGAGCTGTGGTTGCGATGCTTGAGTTTCAGAGATCGTGTTAACAGGAACAGCAGACGTTGATGGAGATGATACTGTTAGTAGTCGTGAAGTATTTTCAGCAGTTTCTAAAGATGTAGCCAGATTCAATGTTTCTTCCAGAGACATAGTAGATTTTTCTAGCAACCTTTCTCTTATTTTCTGAGACAATATTCCGGCAATGAACGTACTACGTACGGTTTCGTTTTGGTGTTCATTAGCAGTAACAGCTTTGAAGTGACATTCACGAGCAAGTATGGCAAGAGATCTCGAATACTCTGCTAACGTTTCGCCAGGCTGTTGCTTTCTAGTAGCGAGGCGATGCCGAGCCAAGATAATATTTTTTTGTTTTTCATAGGTGGTACTGAGAGTGGTCATGGCATCGACGTACGTGGTGCAAGCTTGAATGAAGTTAAATATTGATGGCGAGATATGGTTTACAAGGAGTTTGTACTTAAGGGCATCGTCAGCCGAAGCGGCTTCCTGTGCGATAAAATTTTCAAATGAGTACTTCCAATGAATCCATTTCAAGTCTGAGCCGGCCATTGCGGGTTCCACGTCAAAACGTTCAGGACGCAGATACCGAGATATTGAGAAAGACTTTTCCTTTTCGTCAGGCATAGTTGGTATCAGCGATACACAAAATTATTGTTGAATAAATTGATACAGATAATGATAGAACCAAATAGAATATTGGCTTTATTCAACAATAAAATAAGACATAGTAAATAATTAGGTATTGACAATTTGATAGTATAACACTGTTGACAATGTCATAATATTATGTAATATTATAAAGAAGGTAATTAAATAACATGTGACCTTCATACTTAACAAGGAGATCACATCACTTAGTAATATTTGTTAATAGATTTTTTTATATTTTATTTATATAATTATATATTAATTAGTTATATATTATTGTATACCTATGCTAATATTATAAAGAGGTAAAGTTTGTGAGTTTGTGACGTTGTAGGTGGTAATCTCTGGATCTACTCAACTGATTTAGATGAAATTTGGTAAAAAGATAATTTGAGACACTGGGAAGGACATAGGATAGTTTTTATCCCGGAAATCATTCCTTAATGGGGTGAAAATGGGGATAAATGTTTGTATTGGGAAGCAAGCTAGGGACGAACCCGCGTCGTGAGTCGACGGTGAGTCGTTAGTTTATTTTATAATTTATAATATCGGCGATATGTATTAATATATATTATATACATATTAGTTATATTTATTCTTTCAACACTGAACCTAGTGTCCTCTGCTAGTGCACTTGAAAACTAATTCAGGCATTAGCACACTTCGGCGTTGTACGCCAAAGTACGGCATTATGCTCTGTAATTGGAAAACAGGGCATAATTGCTGTACAGCATACGAAACATCGGGAATCAAAAATCAAAATAAATCCAGGAAAAAATCGGGAAAGATGGTATTATTTAAATTATCGTATGTTTTCTAGCCCTAAATTATGCGAAAAACATTATCCTTAAACATAAATGGAAATTCCTTAATTAAACATTGCGGTTGTGTGACAAGAAAGAGATAAACACCCTAGAAGGGTAGAACATAAATTAGAATACCAATTCTATTTTGACAGTAAGCATTTGAAAGTACATTCTCTATTTTTTAACACGCTTTTATATTTTATATTATAAGTAAAAAATGTTAAATAAATTATAGTTCATAACACACGCTTCGGTGATGAACCGTACTAAAAGGTAAAAAATATTTTTTTGTCTAACAATACCTAGTGATTAACGAGAAAATTTGTTATATTGAAAAAAAGCGTGGGGTGCTCAATATTAGTTGCTCTATAATATATTATATTGGTACGATTTTAAAAGTAGAGTGAGTGTAAACATATTGTACAGAGCACCCCATGCATTTTCACAATAATATAAATTTTCTCGTACTTCACTTGATTCCTGTATTATTATTTTTTATTTTTTAGTTCTGTTCATCTTTATTCACTAGAGTTTTTGTCTTCCACACGACCATAGACAAGAGGAAGAAATGAGAAGAGACCGATTGTAAGAAATCTCTAATGTTGTGCGACTGTCAAATTTATCATTCGTAATCTGTTTTGGTTTATAATTTGATTTTGATTCTATTATATATCTAACTAAAGTGAATATAAAATTATATGTTCTAAATAAGGAAACAATATGGAATTAATAATATTTTATAAGTTTTAAAAGGTGTTACATAAATTGAGTTCATATGTGAATCTACTATGATTAGGAAGCAATCTTCTGTGCTAAATTTTATAATTTTCACTTGACTCGTAATTTTGTACGAAAGAAGAGGATGGTAAGTTTAGATTAGTTACATGTTTCATTTTCAGAATGGCAAATATAATGAAGTAGTACCTAACTCCTAGTACAATTATACGATATTTTTATTTTCAGGTTTTTATGAAAAGATTAGAATTCAACAAGAAACTTATTGTTGATCATTATGTGGCATAGTAGAATTATTGAAATACTGACTAAAGCTGCTGGTGTACCATACAAACATTTTATGGTTTGGAAATTTCACTATCAGATTCTATCAAATGGGCCATTGTCTTAGCTGCTTCAAAAACCAAACAAATGCTGATGTAGTAACATCAACTCCAAGGCAGAAAGATGGTGAGTTATAGATTTTTTTAATTTTATACTGTGAAAATTTAAAAACAATACATAAAATTTATAGCGACCATTAGTTAAAAGAGGTTTCTGATATGATTCTGTTATGTTTTTCAGAGATAATGGAAATTGTCTCAAATAATCAAGTGCCTACTGTCATGATATCTGATTATCCTCAAGAAGAACCACTTTTACACAACAATGAGAATAGCATAAATTGTTATAGAAATAATAGCCATATAAGTAATGCAAATGCTTTGAATTCTGTAAATGACAATTGCTCAGGAGATATTGTACAAAAAATGAACACCAGTAATTCTAAATTACCAAAACCTTTCTACCAGAAGTTGCCCTCAATTCCACGAAGCATGTCTTCCCTAGGATCTAATGAGTCTCGTATTTCAGAATCAAAGATTAATCAGTTATTTGAACTCTACAAAGATAATTCAGACGATTCTATTCTTGCAGACGGAATTGAAAACCTTTGTAATGATCTGCAGTTAAATCCAGATGATTTTAAAGTATTGTTACTTGCATGGAAATTAAATGCTAGTCAAATGTGTAGATTCACTAAAAGTGAATTTGTCCAAGGTTTAAAAAGTATGAAAACAGATTCCATCAAGGGTATTCAACAAAAACTAAATGACATCAGTCATGAAATAATAAGGGATACAGAGCAATTTAAAGACTTATACAGATTTACATTTAAGTTTGGTTTGGATGTAAGTACAGGCCAGAGAATACTACCTGCAGATATTGCTGTACTGCTTTGGCGCTTAGTCTTCACAAACAATGAACCACCAATATTAGATAGATGGTTGGCTTATCTGGAGAAAAATCCTCACATAAGAGGGATTCCTAAGGATACTTGGTATATGTTTCTTAACTTCTGTGAATTTGTAGGAGAAGATCTGAGTAGTTATGATGATACTGAAGCTTGGCCTAGTTTATTTGATGATTTTGTGGAATATGAGAATGATCAAATGAATCAAAATATATCTAAAACAGAAATCAAAATTCAGGATTAAAATCCTTAATTTGCCAAATGTTAGCTACTATAGGTACTTAAAATTTGAGACTGATATTCTGGTAAATGATTGCTTAGTGAGGATCATATTTTAAGTAGTTATTCAATGTCTAATTAATTGCTGTGGGTGTACTAGATATTTTGCTAAAGAGATTTGAGATCAACCAAATGTAAATATTATGTTAGTACATTTTATATTTAAACACTATAAAAGTAATTAAGTCTTAGTCTTATATACTATTAACATTCCAGAAATGGAATTAGCCAAAATTTGTAAATAATTAGCTTGCAATCTCATTCGCTTGGTTTGCTATTTTTTTAGCATTTCCACAAAATTATATAAGAATTTACTTTTAATATAATAGGCTTAATTTATTAGCACTTTAGTCATGCCTCATGCATAATATCATGATTGAATTGACTTCATAATAAATAATTTACTCTTCCAAATTGTACATTTAATTTGAACTGTATATATAAAATATAGCTAACAAATTGAAAGTCGCTTCTGTGTGTACTTGTTATTGAGGTATCCATGTTATACAGACTAAGATGAACTATATCAACGGTGTAACTAGACATCATATTTTGTGCAGTTATATAGACTTGTAAAGTATTGTACGTACCGCATTTGATCCACGATGGCATTGACAGTATGTGTCAAACTGATATATAATTTGTGTCACCACTATATATTTTGTTATGTGCACAAGAAGCAAATTTAAAAATTCTACTATAGTCTTTTAGCCGTTGTAACCATTTTGTTAGGAGTAGGTTCCACAGTAATTTGAGTAAAGGTATATATTTATATATACCTATTTAAATCAAAATCGTTATTCCACTAGTACCTACTTGTGACATAACAAGCTATGATTAAGATGATATGGTTAAAAGTTATATGAGTACAATGCTTGGACAGCAACCAAAGATCTATTATCTACTGTAATAATTATATATACTAAAAAGATATACAGACTTCAAAATCACTAAAAGTAATTAATTATCCTCTTGCACAATAAAATATGTTATCGCGTAAAACACAAAATAAAGACAATCTATCACTTCCTACTCTTTTGAAGTCGGCCAAAAAATGTCAAGTGAATAAAGTGTGGTTTGTCACTGATTTCTGAGAAAGTTATGCCTGGCGTCCACTAGGGCGCCGAGTCGAGGCGGATCGAACCGCAGAAATTCGCCTCGTATATATTTACTATGAAACTGCGTCCATTAGCGACGAGTCGCGGCGCGCCGAATCGAATCTCCCGCGCGCATTTATCGTCACGCGGATTTCTTCGGCGACGCGTTTCGACTCGGTTCTGCGCACCGGCGAGTTTTTATATTTTATTTAAAGAGTACCTATGTTTCGTGAAAAGTAACTATTATGTTATAGTATAACTATACTATTATACTGTATACTAAAGATTTACCCTCACTTCGCTCGGGTTCGTTATACTAAGTACGTTTTAATTTTTTTAGCGGAACCCTAATTCTTTTTCTAAAGTAAAAGTACGTAGCCCAAGTTACTCCTTATCTTATAACATCAGCCAGTAAAAGTCAGACAGACAAAAAAAAAGGTTTTTCTTATAAGTAGCCTATATAGTTTCATGTTCATTTAGTAAAAAACTGTTATCTAACTGTTAACTTGAGATTACAAACAGACACTTCAATTTTATCTATCTGTATAGGTTTATACTAAACTTTAGAGTTTAGAAGATCGAAGCGCATTCACGACCTAGTTTGCTGACGAGTTGCGATAAATGAGCAATACGATTCGGCTGAAATAGACGCACAAGGAATAAATGCGACTCGATTCGACGCGTTTCTGCTGTAGTCGACGCCAGGCTTTATAGTCATTCGATAATTTACATTATGTTCTATATCTTGTCCGAAAGTATGTGATGTTAACTTATTTTTTATAATTTCTATCAAATTAATAAAATAATTATCAATTAGTTATAAAATATTATTATAATAATTATTTTTATTAAAAAATAACTCGATGTCTAGTGTCGCCAATTGGACTATCTATTTATAATCTACTAGCGGCTCACCCTCGCTTCGCTCGGGTTCGTCGCTAGGTACGTTTTAAATAGATATAAAAAGAAAAAATCTTTCTTTCTCACATTTTAATTATATGTTTTAATACTTACCTATTCCGGACTAAGAGAAATCCAAAAATTAAAATATCATAAAAATTGGAACGCGGTCGAACGGGATAAAAAGTATCCTATGTCCTTCTCCTGGCTCTAAACTACCTCCCTGCCAATTTTCAGCTAAATCGGTTCAGCCGTTCTTGAGTTATAAGCGAAGTAACTAACACGACTTTCTTTTATATATATAGATTACAAAAATAAGTCAAGACAGTGCTAATTTATTATAAACGATAGTAGTTTGTGATATCAAGTCTGAAGCAATTGCAGTCAAAATTTTCATTGTATGTTTTATTATTAACTGAAAAATATGTCCTAATGCAGAAAAAAAAATATAAAATCTTTTTCCTTACCACGTTATATTTTACTAATTGTTATTAATCCTATATTTGCATTAGTTTTCCGCTTTTAAGTAGAAATATGTTTAACAACAAGGATTTTAGGAACGGGATAAAGGATATTTGGTATATTACATCCAAAGTCGATAAAAATTTAAAAACCAATTTATAAGCATGTAAATATACAATGTAATATAAAATATCCATCTGACCACATTTGAATTTCCTAGAACGTATTTATTTTAACTGTCTGTCCCTAAGTTTCTTATCTACATTCTAATAATCACAAATATTTTCTAGTTTTTCAAGTAGAACTTGTAAAACCAGATGTTTTAGTCGCGCTATGAGTTAATTATAATGGTATTTGAGATACTAGTAAAAGAGCAAAACGCGAGTTTATAATAAAATTTTATTTTATTTTAAACAAAATAATATAGTTGCAGACAACCGAGAAGCTGTCTTAGTGTGTTGGCATAGAGGCTCGCGCGACGGACGCGGCCCCCTCGCGGCGACAGGAAGGCACTACGGCGCGAGTACTCGCTACTCACCGCACTACAAGCGTCGTCGACAACCGACAATGTATAGCGCAGGTGAACCGACATAGGGGACCGCGTCCGTCTCACGTTTTGTTCACTGATATACACAAAATAATGATAATAACATATATTATACTTCCGCCTCAAATGTAAAAAACTGATTATATTAAGAAGCAGATATTTTATACTCCACCTTACACAAAGATGAGTCGATATTTATCCACATAATAAAATATATGGCTTTACGTAAGTACGTTATGTTTCCGAATAGACACGTCAGACATTAAATAAGTATAAATAGGGCTGTCTATGTTCGATACCCGCCATCTTGAAACGTACATTATGATTTTCGTGATTAAAATTAAACACTTAATAATTACATATTAAAACACAAATAGGACTTTCTCGCAATAAAAGTGCTTCTGTAGAGCTTCGCCAGTGTACTTTGTATTGAGTGTAATTATTTAAGTATATTCTAAAAAATATTGCGAGTAATATAATCAGTGTTATAAACGTACATAACCATCATGAGTTTAATGTGTCGATAAAGTCCTTTCTTTAAAACGCCGAAACGTACATATCAATTTTAATAAAATATAGCAAAAAAACTTTAAGATAAAAATAATTTTGCCTTGAAACTGGAGCCAGTAATATAATTTCTTACAATTTATAATATTTGAAAATATAAATATCACTAGATATTATCGGGACGATCATTACAATGTTTCGTTGAAGTGCCACAGTTGCCGGCGGGCTCGTGGGTGGGTGGTTGCTGACCGACAACTTGCGTTATGATCATCCTACCAAGTATATGAGAGCATCATCCACCACACAACACAGTCAGGGTTTCAGTAAATCTCTTGGTGCTCCTTCTATTTTATCTACAAAATTAATTTGTTTTAAATGATTTAAGGGATATTTTGAAAGCGTTTTACAAGCCAAATTTAACAATCAAAACTTTATGAGAAGGCAGCTCATTAAGATTGGTTATATTTTTTATAATTCTCATGATTATAATTTAACATATTATGTGTATGTAAATGTAAAGATATGAATGGTATGATCTAGACATTTAACTAGAAAATACTAAGCCGTTATTTATATTCATGTGCATATTACTCATTGTTTTCATTTGGGAGAGTTGACAATAAATTTAATTGGTCATATTTTCACCATATTAGAAAATTAGGACATGGCTCGGATTTGTTAAAACCACCCGACATGTTCTTCTTAATTGCCATCATTTAATCTGGTGTCACATTAGATATTAGTCTCTCATTGGTGACATTAATGAAAAGCACAAAGAACTTAAACCGCTGACAATTGGTGTCAAAAATAAGAAGTTCTAAGCAATGAATAAAATTCTAAATTTATTGAAAACATTTGTGTAAAATTCTACTCACTATATTCCGACTTAACGATAGCAACGCTCAATTCATTCTGTTAGGACATCGCTTTAGTTGAGCGTCTCTTGTTCAATAATTACATTTTATATGAATTTAAAATATTATATTTATAATAAAACTAAACACATAATTTTAAATCGTGTCTCATATTGGAAACAACTATTATTATAGTTTATATGAAATCGAATATATCCAATGACGAAACATATCTATCAATATGTTATATTTTCAGTAAGCCGAACTATACAATAAAAGAGAATTAGAGCTCCAAACTAAAAATTTCTTTTACACTTTACCTATCCGATGTTTATACACTAAATTAAAAATAATATCGCAAAGAACAGGATTCAACGTTGCTAGCGAAAGTACACGCATTTCGAATTAAAAGAAAAAGCGTTATCATTCGTAGCAATCGTGTCGTGTTGTACAAATGTGTTGCTCGATGGCAGTGGCCGCAAACAGTACTTATGTTCCGCAAGGACTAGCTCTTCTATAATTCGAAAACATCGACGATGAAGCAATACACTCGAGCTCTCACATAAGATCCCAGAATTCAGAATAACATATTACATGCATTCTCCGATGATACAGGTTTTGGAAAGGCCTATCCTAACTAAATTACGAATTGTAGTGCCGTCTTTACTCAATCACTTTCAGGACTTTGCCGATTGCAATAGTTTTATCTGAAACAATAAAAAGTTAATAAGTATTATATACATTGTTTTGTATTGATGGTAGTAGATTTAGAATGTACGAGATGAATATACAAAAGAAGAAATCAACAATAGATGACGCACAGGAGGCGGCCTTAGCGCTATAAGTGTTCTCTTCCAGACAACCTTAGGGCGAAGGAGTAATAATGAATACTTAATAAATAATACTGAAATTTATAGCTTGGAATGTCAACACATTTGCTTCTCATTGTAATAAAAATGCATCCGTGATGAAATTTGTACAACTCACTTTCATCTCTTAATGTGAATCTGCCCATCTGGGCAAACTTCTTAAATGGCTCTAAACAGATGACTCCTGCACACTCTATCCTCATTATGGCCACCTGGTCCTGTTTCACAAACCGCGGTCGCGTTTTAGATTTCTCTCCAGTTTTCTTGTCTACCAGACAGATGAGCGCCTGTACATATAAATAATTTTAAAATTAATACCTCAAAAGGAATTGACGATAATGTATATTAATGATATTTCTAATCTCACATCAAGTCACTTCCAGTGAGATTAGACCTTACGTTTTTTTAAGTATATGATGTAATGTAATTTTAATAAACTTATATAACAGTTCCCACAAACTAACTTTTTGTTTTCTTAATATATAAAAATTTCACTATTCTACAGAAACTTTACCAAGCTTTGTTCAAATCTAGCTAACTTGTTAGGATGAATACTCGGCAGATAGATAAAAGACTTTTGAATGGTTAATTGCAGGGATTGAAATAATTATTTTTTTTACAAAAGAGTTCAACTTTAACTGTTTATAAATAATTTTTATTAATAAGTGGTTAATCATAAGTTTTTTTAAATATTAAATAAAAGTTCTAGCATAAAAACGTCTTTAACTTTTTTAATATATATATATATAATTATTACAAAAAAATGTTTGTTAAACTGTTACTTATTTATTATTTTTATAAAAAAAAGTAAAAAAAATAAATTAAATGAGATGGAAAGCCATAATTGTTATATCTAATGAGTTATTGAAAGTAAGCTTTAATTTTCTTTTTTTTAGATATCATAATATTTCCTTGTCTCAAAGCTCAATAAGTTGTTATTCTCTCTGTACTAATAGGTTTTCGAGTAAATCGTTTATAATAACAGTTAATAGAAAAAGAGTTTTTATGATTTAAGTTAGAAAATAAAGTTTTAGAAATAACTGTTTTTGTATTACTTCTACAGATAAAAGTAGTAAGTAAAAAAAGACACTTGACATCTACATATAAATATAAAATTAAATATTTACTTTTAATTATAAAAGTTAACAGTTTAATTCAGTCCTTGGTTATTTGTTTTCTTATTTTTATTTAATAAGCCTATGAGCTTTATGTTAGGTTTTTTTTTAATATCACAACATAAAAAATAGATTACCTTGACAGTAACTTCTTCAGCAGCACAGTGTATATGCATCACGGCAGAATATCCCGCACAAATTATAGATTTGTGCTCCAAAATAACCACTTGAGCATCAAATACCTTAAAAATAAAAAAACTGACCATTAATATAGCTCAGACAGGATTTCTAAATTATTAACAGATACATTGGTCCAGTTTATTTTAAACCATAACATAATACTAGTACATGTATCTGTTCATAAATTAATCTTTATACAATTTTTTAAATTTTTGTCTGCCCATCCATGATTGTTCTAGCAAAGCTCCGAAACGGCTGGACTGATTTTGACGAGATTTTCACTCGCAGATGGCTTATGTTATAAGGAGTAACTGACTACTTTTAATTTAGAAAAAATTTAGGGTTCCACTCATAAAAATTAAAAGGTACCCAGGGACGAACCCGAGTGAATCGAGTGAAATATTAAATATTGTTAATTTAGTTTTTAAAAACGTTTTTTTTAGTTTTAGTTATTTTATTGAAGAAAATACTGTTTTGTCCACACTGTATATTTTGTATATATTTCGCAACGTGTATTTTTTATTTATTTCTGGGCATATAAGCAACTTCAAATGATTTTAACTTATTCTAAACAGATGTTAATAAATGTTTTCAAAGAATAAAACATCACTTACTCTTCCAGTGGTGATAGGTTCGGCTGTGTCGCACAGAACAAATCCAGGAGACACATCTTCCTCTTCAATTCCTTTAAGCTTCACTTTGACATTCTCACCAGGGCCGATTGAAGTGACCTCTATGTCATCAGACCATAACTGATCCACATTAACTTGAACCTGAAAATTAAAATATATATCCAACACTACCCAAATAAATTAAGTAAATTTTGTAAGCAAAGTATGACATATAAATCTTTCACTAACTTTCGATTCCTATGTATACACAAAAAATATTCTTTATTGCACATATAAAAGCATAAATAGTATTACTTGAGAAGGGATGTTAAAATGTATTCATTACTTAATTTTTAAAATAATGACAGTCAATTGGCTTGTTTCATTTTATTTTGTTTAATTAAGGTAAAACTGAAACTTTAATTACCTTGATTGATACTCAATATAGTTTTGCAGGAAATAATAACATTAATGTACTTCTACTGTTCATTCATTAGACAAATTATGTTATAAATAATTATAATTATTTGTAAATATAAATTCATACCCTATTAGGCATAAGGAAAAGAGTAGCACCCTTGCGGGTGGTTCCAGCTTCGACTTTCCCCATGAGCACAGTACCCATGTCCTTGTACTTATCAACAACAGGCATGATGAAAGGCCCGTCCATCTTGCGGTTGAGAGACGGCAGCTCGTCGATCAATTGGATAAATGATGGTCCACGGTACCAGGGGCATATTTCCTCAGTTACCTTGAATATAGAACATACAAATATATAACTAATGTTATGAAAAAAATATAGAGAAGTATTTGTTTTCTACTAAATTTAATTAACACTTATTAAATAAATTCGCAAAAAATCCGAAAAGATAGTTTTATTTAAAATGTCAAGTATTCGCGTAAATCTAAGAAAGTATTATAACACTTATTAATTGAAATGAATGCAACTTACTCTCTCCAGTAAGCCTTGACCAGTTTGTCCAGAAACAGGTAAGAAAGACAAGTCTTTAGCCGTGTTGAAGCCCAGCTTTTTGAGATATGGCATGATTTTGTCGCGACATTCATTGTATCTGTAAAATAAAAAGTTTTTTTTTTTTACCGTAAATATTTAAAAGATTGAAATACTTTCCAACATTCACCTTATGAGATAATCAAAATTGATTCTAGTTTAATAAACTGTACCCCCGTAGTTCTACGACGAAGGTGTAATATGGTGTATTTATAAGTAATAACTATAAAGCATGTCTTTGAAAAAATAATTAGCAGCAATATACATTTAATTTACTATGTGTATGACGATACATATATTGTTTTTATAAGATATTCTTTAAAAGTAGGAAATCAACAGAATTGGAGTACCTTTTTTCATCCCAGTTTACTGTGGGGTCATCCATTTTATTAACAAGGGCTACTAAATGTTTAACACCGGCAGTTTTAGCTAACATAGCGTGTTCCCGGGTTTGCCCCCCTCTGTCAAATCCAGTTTCAAATTCTCCTTTCCTTGCAGATATCACCTGTAAATTTACAATGGCACTTGTATTACAAAACATTTGCCTCCATATTTTATTTTTAATTAATAAATCACTTGAAATTGTAATCAAATAGATTGATGAACTATAGTATTATTCAGATTGTCAATATGTTTATATAAGATGTAAAGTCCTTGTATAATTTGAAACTTGTTTACAGAAATATTATCTATATATACTAAGTGACACACCTAGATATCTAAGCCGTCATTGATTAATTTTGCATATTATGATAAGTTCATTTTAGAAAGGAATATCAATAACGAGATTTTAATTCGACTTTTAACATTCTAAATTCATCATAAACCAAGATCTTAATTGTAACTAACTATATGTTAATTTTAATAATCATGACAAATAAAATGAATCATAATGTATAAATATCAATCATTTACTCCAATTGATTTTCTCATATTGGTTGGTATTGGAGAATTAAAACTAGTATTTACCTAGTGTTCAAAATTCGCCTATAATCATTATTGAAAATTTGAGGAAAACATATTATATAAATAGAATTTACTATCTATATAAAAAATACTTTAAAAAATCTATTAAAATAGTCAATATCTACTAAGCAAAAAAAAAAATGGTTGACAAACAGAGGAGAAGAAGGTATTGAACTGTTTTGTCTTTGTCTATTTATAAATAGATAATGATTGCAATATTTTACTAACGCAGGAAGCATTAATGGCAGCTACTATCTTTGTTTATATGTATGTCACATATTAATTGAGGCAGGGTTGAATAAAACAGATGTGGTATTAGTATATTTCCAATATGGATTAGTTAGGAAATGATAACTTAACATAACTAATATATCCATATCTAAAATGACAGTAGAGGTTGAGCCAGCAACTAGGATATAAATTTGCTAAACGATTTGTATGGAACATCTTAAGGTAAAAGTTTATTTATTATATAACAACGATTATCACTTCTATAAAGCTTGTGGCTATAAGCAGAGAAAAGTAGAAGTCACTATAGTACAAGGGATAATTGTGAGAGGTGTCAACCTTGTGACAAATGAATTTGTTGGCATGCATTTGATCTTGTTGCATGATAGCCAAAAGTTATGAAGTTGCAGTTAGGAGCTATACAATGCAGTAAGGTTCCCCAATTCTAATATAATCATACCTACTGATTTACTTACTTAAGAAACAAGTTTACATTTAAAAAACAACGTCCTTTTCAACCGACTTCAAAAAGGAGGAGGTTCTCAATTCGACTGTTTTTTTTTTATGTTTGTTACCTCAGAACTCCGTCATTTATTAACCAATTTGGACAATTTTTGTTTTGTTTGAAAGGGTATACTTCCAGATTGGTCCTATTGAAATTTTTAGGAATAGTTTTTTTTTTTTTTAACAAAACAACTTCAGTATGTACTTACAAGTACAGCAAGATCAGCTTGTGCGGCCCCACCAATCATGTTAGGCACAAAACTTTTATGTCCTGGTGCGTCGAGTATTGTGAAATGCTTTTTATCAGTCTCAAAGTATGCTCTGCCAACTTCTACTGTCTTACCCTTGTCTCTTTCTGCAATATTAAAAAAACAAAAAATTGTTGATGTGATACATTTATATAAGCATTATCTAAATCTAACAATGTTATTTTACCTTACAACTCCAAAATAAAACAGTTGCTACGATAATAAAAAAAATTACCCTCTTGGTTAGTATCAAGAGCCCAGGATAGATACCAGGATTCTCTGGATTTCTCTCTTGCTTCTCGTTCATATTTCTCTAATGTTCGTTTATCCACCATTCCTGTTAATGACATTATTTGACCTCCAATCGTAGATTTTCCAGCATCTTAAAACACATAGAAAGAAGAATAAATATAAAATTTAAACTTAATTGTCATTTTTATTCAAACACTGCTTATACTGACCTACATGCCCAATAAACACAACATTGACATGCTCCTTCTTGCTACGAGTGTCTTCTACTCTAGGTGGTTTCTTTTTAGGAATTTTTTTTGCAGCTTCGCCATCGTCCTGAGTAAATTGGAGCATTAGTATAACAACTGTGTATAGGTAAAATAAAAATAAAAAATTGCATTGAGATGGTTCAGATACTGTAAAGCACTTTTTTTAAATAATTTACAAATATAGTCCATGTTAAGAGAAGGATAATTTTATTTCACTTTATTATTCTCTTATAAAAAATCACTTTTATCTATGTGGTACATGCCTAGTGCTATATGCTGATAATAATTTAATCTTAAAATATTAAGATTTGTTTTTCAACTTCATATTTCATCTAGTGTAAGCTACTAATTTTTGTTTTAAGAAAAATGTTTTTTTTTATCAGCTAAAGTCAATGATAGTAGTCAAATTAATCAGATATTAATGATAATCATACACACAATGCTAAATAGAAGCCAACAACAACAAAAATCTAATTTGCATTACTAAAAGATATAAACTGAAGCATCTTATTAAATTACATACAAAACACAAAGTCCACTGTAAGTTAAATAGTTGCATATTAAGTAACTAATATTATAAAGAGACAGAGTTTGTTTGAATGCACTAATCTCAGGAACTATTAATCCGATTTGGAAAATTCTTTTTGCATTAGATAGCATGTTGATTGAGGAAGGCTAAATGTCAACAAATCATGCAGACTTCCATACATTATTGTAAAATTCATGCTTATATCGGAAGTTTGAATGTGTACAAAGCCTTGGTTACTGCTAGTTAAGGTAATAAAATAACAGTTCACATTCATAAAAAAATAATCATGCAAATTACAGTTGATGGCACCTGTTGTTCTAATTCCTCTTCCTCTGGTTCGTTGTTATCTTCAGGAGTGAGTAGAGCATCATCTGCTTCTGCTTCCCAGCTGTCAGCAGTAGGGCTTACATCTGGAGGCACTGGTAATGGAGCAGTAGCCGCGGCCGGAGGTACAGGCGGTGGCTCTTCTACACGGGGAGATGCAGAAGCCGCTCTACCATCTCCGCTTTCGCCACCATCCCCGCAACCTTTTGTTAAATAAGATATGTTACATCGTCAACAAAATAATTTTGTATATTTTTAATAAATATGTAATATGTATATTAAAGCGGATAGCTATATGTATATCTATATCGTAACACAGAATGTAGGCGGAGTTACGTTGTTACGAGTGAAAGTAACTAACGAATATATTACAATTCTTATTTATTTATTTATTAATTAGCGAGCAAATATTTACTGTTCATTTGTTCATCAAGTTATTTTTAAGTATTTCAAGAGAAAGTTAGCTAAGAATAAGTAGTCACGCCGCGTGTCTCGACGTAACCCGTTAGAACTGGATTTAGAAAAAAAATAACTTATTGCGAGATAGAACAATTAAGTTGAAATGTTACGTATATATATATAGATTATTATTTTAGAAGTATAATTCATTCCTAAAACAAAAGGTTTTTCTTAAGAAAAACGAATATTATATTGAATACTAAGTAAAAGTGACAAGATGTGACTTACCGTTCAGGACAGGACTTTCAGCAGAATTTGTAGAACCACTTTCAGATTTCTGTGGTGAAGTAGGTGAATCGGTATTATCATCATCTTGGGAAGACTTACAAAAAGAAGGCACGAATTCCACGGCATTTACATTCAACGTGGAAAATTTTGTAGACACATCATTAGAATCTTTTGCACCTTGTTCACCAATAACATCAGCTTCACTTTCCCAAGAGTCCGGAGCACCGTTATTGGACATTTTAAAAACGAGGCAATGTAAAATTAATAAATAAGTCTTTTTCAATTATTTTTATAATTATTCGCGTTCTTTTCTCGATAGATCCGCGTGTGTCTTTATCTTACACCGGAAGTTCATGGCAATTTGCCAAATATGTAATGATGTATAATTATTTTGGAGTAGTAAAACAAAGCCAACGTTCTCAAGTATTCCAATGCGTATGTTATTATTAAATATTTAAAATGTTTAATGTTTATGAGTTTTATTGTATAGATATGTATTAATATTTTTAAAGATAAATGTAATGATTATGACTATTCACTTCCTGATGTTCAATATTGCCATTTTCAAATTCGTTTGTAAATTGTTTTTAAAATAGAGGATAATTTTATTCATAATTTATTAAGATCAATAAAATTAAACATTTAAATGTTTTTTTTTTAATATATAAAAATCAATGTAAACATAAATTTAAAAGTATTTTCGTAAAACTTCGTTTGTTCTTATTGTGGCCAAATTCATCTTAAGTACAATGTCGATCTAAGAGCGGGTACACATTGAGTACTTTCAAACGCGCGCTTTATTAATGCACGTTTTGAAAGTTCAAGAGTTCTATCTAGAGTAAAAATGTTCTTTGAGTTCTATTGAGGTGTACACATGCAAGTGCGTGCCAAACGCTTGCTCTCAGATTGAGATTTGGGTTCGAACGCGCATTGTGCGAGTGTCAGCCGCGCACTTTAAGATGTAACATGGGCCGCTATTTTGTCGTACACGGTACATTTAATCGCGCTTTTGTGTAGAGTGTTCACGTAACTGTGCATCCGCGCTTGCTCTACATCTTATTAGATGTATATCGACTATTTTTAAACTTTTTATTCAAATTACTAATATATTTTTGTTATTTGTATAATCTATTAATATTTAGTAACTTAATTATTGTTATGTTTAGCTATTGTTAGTTAAAAATATATATATTTATTTTTATTTAATACTAGAGGCTCACTTGCCTCTAGACAAACAAATACAAATCTATCCTGCGGGAACCGTACATTTTTCCGTGATAAAAAGTTGTCTATTTGTTACTCTGACGTATATATCTGACGTTAATATAGTACATATTATTGTAAAGTTTCATTAAAATCCAAACAGTAGTTTTTATGTACTAAGCTGTATAAGTTACTATAGTTTTTTAACTATCCCACGGGAACTGTTCAATTTTCTAAGATAAAAAAAGTATCTTAAATAATGACCGGGGATATAAGGTACCACGATGCAAAATTTCATTTAAATTGGTTCAACACTTTCGAAGATTACCCAGTACAAACAGACAAACAGACAGAGAAACAAGAAATTTGAAAAAATCTGGATTTGTTCTGTTTTTCTTCTTACATCCCCCTGACTCGCTTTTGAGCATTTTTTTTCTATGTACAGACATTCGACCTCTACAGTTTTATTGTACGTATAAATTTATTATGTGTAATTCAATGTTATTCTGAAAAAAAAACTGTGATTATTTTTTATCTGTAACGTGAATAACTGCTTCTTATTTTATCTATATTCTATAGGTTTTTTAAATGGCGGTGTCTGTGTAAGCGTTGTCGAATTAGATAAAATATTGATTAATATTCTCCGTAAATAAAATTCATTATAAGTAAATAAATGTTACAAATTGATCAAAAGTGTAATAGTTATATTATAATATGCTTAAAACATATTTTATAACATAAATAGTATTAGTGATTTTACCAGGCTAAAATTCAATATCGAACTCTTTTATCAAAGTTGTATTTAAACACGTGAACATTATATTGTCATGTTACATAAAATATCTATTTATTGCTGTTTACGGAAATGTCTGTGCACTATAAATTCAAAAGTGCACTGGATTATGACACAGTTACATTTGATGGACTACACATTTCAGTAGGTGACTTGAAGGCTGCTATTTCACAGCAAAAGAGGATAGGAAAAACTTCAGACTTTGATCTTCAAATAACGAATGCTCAGACAAAAGAAGGTTTGTTAATATAACAACAAGACAAACTATTAAACAGCACAATACATTCAAACTTAAATTAATTTGTAATTCATTGACACCATAATTATTCTTTGTAATAAATTATATTATAATTAAAATATAATAACAATGGAATTTATTAAAAGGGTTTTAGGGTCAATTTATACATAAATATGCAAATAATGACAGTTTAAATATTATATTTTAGTATATGTGGATGACAACACATTAATTCCTAAGAACACATCACTTCTTGTTGCCCGAGTGCCACTCTCACAGCAACCAAAAAAACAGTGGGAAGGATCAAATAATAGTCAATCTTCACTCCATAAAGATGTATCTGTCAACAAAGGTTTGGCTGATCTATCTCGCATGGAGGGTAGCGAGCAGGATAAAATTAATGCAATGATATCGCAGTCTACATTTGACTATGATCCTAGCAAGTAAGATTAAGCTTATTAAAATAATATTTATTGTAAAGTAATAAATGATATATTTAATCTCAGTAGGAACATTGAATTATCATCCTACTAGCATTGCCCGCGGCTCCGCCCGCGTTCAGATGACCAAAAACTAAATTCTTAGGTGTTACATATTAGTATACTCTTACATTGCAGTTTTTGTATTTTTCCTCAGAAATAAGATATTTTCCCGCGGTAAAAAGTATCCTAGGATCGCGCGCTACATCGCCCGGTTTATATAGCTTGAGCAGGCGGTCGAGCGATGCGGGGCAGAGGGGATGGACTCGCCGTAGGCATCTCAATGCTCGCCAAGCATTAAAAATGTTTCGCTACTAATTACTTCTAACAACGATATCTCAAAAACTATTCATCTGATTGATTTAGTGTAAAGAGCAATTTTAATCTGCATTAAATGACTAAGCTAACTAAAATATTCATTTGGATAAGGATTAATACCGAACTAAAGAAAATAACTTTGAAAATAACGTAATGTTTTTAATTAAAAATGTTAACATAAAAGTGGTTATTGTAAGTCAACCGTAAGAGATAGAGATATGCTATCGCGGACTTTTTTGTAGCATTTTTATAGATTTTGAATTCTCTAGTACATTACTTAACTGTATCTTTGCTAGTTTACGCGGCGTTCGCGTGGAAAGTTCCCATTTGGCGAGATTTTTTGCGACCTCTTCAACATTTGTCGCCGTATTTCAGCTAATTTACATAAAAGCATAATAAATTATATACCTAAACCTTCCTCAAGAATTACTCTTTCTATTGTTGAAAACCGTATAAAAATCCGTTCAGTAGTTTTCGAGTTTATCGCGTACAGACAGACAGGAGGACAGACAGGAGGACAGAAAGACGCGGCCGGGGGACTTATTTTTATAATAAGTATAGATATTGTGTAAGCTGGCATGGAAGTTTTACAAAATCTGTTTTTTGTGTTTTAGTTACCAAAAAATTAGAGGACAGAATCAAAGAGGAGCTGTTCCATCTAATTATATTTGCTACAAGTGCCAGAAGAAAGGTCATTGGATAAAAGACTGTCCAGCTGCAACTTCTGTGAGTATATTATAATAGTTTATTATTTAAGTTAGTTTCCATTAAAACAAAAGCAACATATAGCTTATAAACAGACTCTTGAGTTAACACAAATGAAACATAATGAAGGAATAAAAAACGATTTATGTACAATGTTTATTTATTTAGCAATTTACCATGTTGTAGTATGTTTTTTTGAGTTCAAATCCTTCATAACCACTAATAATTATTTTTGTCTCAAGGGTGATCCTATAGAAATAAGAAGAAGTACGGGAATACCTCGAAGTTTTATGGTTCCAGTTGATGGTCCAAAAGCACCTGGAGCCATGATGACCCCAAGTGGAACTTTCGCTGTTCCCGCAGTTGACCAGTAAATATTTTTAAGTACAATAATAAAATCATAATCATTTACTTATTTCTATTTTAATGTGGCATGCCTGCATAACATACTTAGTAATATATAATATAAAGAAATATATTTTTAAGCATAATAATTTAATTATGTTTTGAAAAGTTTATTCAATGATAGAGAAAATAGCATCAACATTATTCAATTAAAGTACTTATGTTCTACTTAATACTTTCTTAGATTTATGCGAATATTTGACATCTTATAATATAAAGATGAATCGCTGAATGTGTTGGTAAGTGCAAATCTCGAGAGTAGCTGAACCGATTTCGCTAATTCTTTTTTTAGAATATTCCTTGAAGTATGAGGATGGTTCTTATGAAGAGAAAAATTTAAAAAATTGCCTGAAAAAGTCTAAAAATAACACTTTTCTATATTCCCATACAAAAGATTCATAATTTTTTAATGGGACTAAGGGGTAAACGGGCAGGAGGCTCACCTGATGGAAAGTGGTTTGGTTCCTTGGTTTTTGGTTCCCGACATTTTGATTGCTTTACAGCAATCATGGTCGTGGGAGAGACTAAGGTTATAGACGTCTCAAAGGCGTTATATATTTGTTACAGAAAGTGCCTACACACTATTTTACAAAAAAAAAATTACTGTCTGTAACAATTAAAAAAGAAAGACTTTTGATCCTGATTGATTCCTTGCATCACATATGGCTGCGAAACCTGGGCTTTGACAAAAAATCAAAGACACAAACTTGCGAAATGTCAGAGAGCCATAGAAAGGAGCATACTGGGGCTAAAGTTAAAAGACAGAGTCAGGAACAAAAATCATCACAAAAAGGGTGAACATCAGGCACAAAACAAAACTAACAGACATCCTAATACAGATTGACCAACTAAAATGGAGATGGACAGGGTATATGCTCCGTTGCAAGCACGAAAAATGGTGCAAGCGGGTAACAATCTGGTATCCAAGAGATGGGTCTTTAAGCCGAGGTCGCAAAGTGGGAAGATAGGAGGATGACCTTAGGTCCTCTTTGGCTAAGTGATAATAAGTGGCAATGGATAGAAAACAGTGGAAGGCGTTGAAGGAGGCCTATGCCGTAAGGCACACCGAGCTTGGAGACATACTATGATTAGTGAATTAGTATTAAGGAGAAAACTGTAAAAAAAAGATTCGGAATTAAATGCTTTATTATTATTATAACAAGTATATATATATACGCCTTTGAGACGCTATAACCTTAGTTCTCTCCCGTGACCATGATTGCTGTAAATCATTCGAAAAGTCGAAAACCGAAAATTAAAATAATTCCGCGATATAATCTAAAAAGATAGTTTTATTTAAAATATATTCTACTTTTGTGGAACTAAGAAAACAAATTAATGGAAACATAAATAGTCACTTTGTTATGTATACTACTTAGAGATATCTCAGTCATAAAATTGATTAAAGAGGCTTAACGGAGAGTGGTTGTATTTTAACTTATTACTGTTCACTGATATATCCTTAACAGTGTTAATGAATAATTATGTATGCACATTAACATGTAAATATACGTACTATGTATAGTTCATTCGTGTAAGAAAATAGTGAGTCATCGTTGTCCACCGGCCTGGCCACAGCTCCCGACCAATTAGGTTGAATAAATTATAAAGTTCAAGTTCACAATGACTAGTTGAAGGCAGACTTTCGTAAGAACAAAATTCTTTTATAATAAATATGAACGAAGATTCTACTCATACTGTTTAAATATATTATTAACTAGCGACTCACCCTCGCTTCGCTCAGGTTCGTCTAGGTATGTTTTGACGCTTAGTATGGAATAGACTTTTTTTTTTTATTTATTTTTTTATTTTATCGATGTTATAATAGTTATTCTGCTATTCGGCCTGAATCCAAATCCAACAAAACAAAGATTATAAAAATCGGTCCTGCAGTTCTTGAGTTATAGGTGTTGTAACAAACCAATTTTGTTTTATATATATGCAAATAGATGACTTTATTTTGATTTGAGATAACTAAGTTCATTAATTATCTCAAATAAAAATAAATTAATTATCATCTCAAATCAAGATTTGAGATATTCATTAAACTTAATCTTTTGAAATATATTTGAATTGAATTTTTAATCCACTTGAAAACACCTTTACCTGCCGTTGCACTTGATGACTCACTATTTTCTTAACGCGAATAGACTATAGAATATAAACAAATGATATTGTTTATGAAAAATGTTTTAACCAATTTTCTATAATTCACGTCAAATATAATAAACTAATTTTGTTTCTAGTGAGGCATACCTTGCCTCTGAGAGTGCAGGAGGAGCCGACACTCCCAGCAATGCACCAGTTGCCCCTGAGCCTACAATCCCTGATGAATTGATATGCAGTCTTTGCAGGGATTTACTTACTGATGCTGTAATGATACCCTGCTGTGGCAACTCCTTTTGTGATGAATGTTTGTATTTTTTTTCTAAAAATTTTCTATTGCAATTTTAAATAAAAAGCAAACAATTATGCACTGTAATAATAAGTAATAATATTGTACTGAGTAGTATGATTATTCAGATATTCTTTTACCCTTGGATATTATTAGATTTTATCATAGATTGTACATTTTTCTTATAAGTTGTAAATTTTTATTACTACCAGGTATTAGGGGAGCTTTATTGGAGTCTGAAGACCATGAGTGTCCTGACTGCAGAGAAAAAGAAATAGCGCCTACAACTTTAATTCCTAACAGGTAGGCAAACTAAAAATATTAAATTGTTCTTGTGTATAAATGTTGTTCATTATTGTGCCATTGATATGGGAGCAGATTTACCCGAGTATAAAAATCCATGTATTATTGTAGAAATGTATAAAAGTTAAATATATTGTTCATCATCTTCATTATCATGTTTGTTTTATCCAGTCATTAGATTGCAATATATTGTACATAATATTATGTTAAAGAGATGGGAATAAAATAAAATAACGCAGCAACCAAATAATTTCCTAAAAATATTAAGAATAACATTCGATCTATTAACTGTAACTTTCTAAGTGTGCAAACTTTTACACCGTATTACCTTCGATTCGAACAACCACTCAAGCAGATCACTACAACCACTGGGTAACTCCAACGGTCTTCTCTGCTATCAGAAATGTACCTTTTTTTACGCTAGGAAATGGATTTAGGCATACCACCTCCATAAGTACAGGTGGTTAAGTGGGTACTCACCAGTAACACCAGTACTACACACTAAACCCCAACGGAACCTCCCCCGTTTTAATGGGGCGTCGCAGTATCTATTAAGAACTCGACCACGACACCTTGAAGGCAGGTCTTCCGAAGTAAACCATAACAACCACGGGGCAGCTCCACAGTCCACTTTGCTATCAGAGAAGAACCAGGAGCACCCCGCATGGAGCACCGCCCACCGACGTGGGCCGCCTCCGTGCGTTTCTTGGCTTCGCGACCGGCTAAATTGCCGGACGCTAATGAGCCAAAATGTTTATTACCGCGCTTTTTAATTAAATAGGACACTAATATTACGATTTTGCAACACTATACTATATTTAAAACTGCAATATAAATCAAAGTGATGGTGTCGTTGTATACTTAATATTTAAATGGAATTTTACAAATCTATTTATAGTAAACTTACTATGTTATGTCTCTATTTATGAACAAAGTTTAGTATGTGCTCAATTGCGACAGTGATCTGACTAGAGTGTGTAGTATATAAAAATAAATAATTATTGAACTAATTTTATTTTTAGTTGCTTGATTCACCATATAAACTTTCATCCCCATTTTCCCCCCCTTAAGGGATGATTTCCGGGATAAAAAGTATCCTATGTCCTTCCCAGGGTCTCAAACTATCTTCTTACCAAATTTCATCTAAATCGATTCAGTAGATCCAGAGATTACCCCTTACAACGTCACAAACTCACAATCACACAATCTCACAAACTTTACCTCTTTATAATATTAGTATAGATATATAATCAATGATTAATTATGCTCATATATTTATCTTTAAATCTCTACAGGTTTTTAAGAAACTCGGTGTCTGCTTTTCGTAATCAGACTGGGTACAGTCGGCGAACACCGCACCGACCGTCGGCAGCACCTCCTGTCATGGGTAAACAATTATTATTAGTAATTTATTTTGAGGGTTCGAAATCCTAAAAGCTAAACCCGAACCTGTATAATTTCGTCATGGTTCTCAGTCCGTATTTACAGATAATTTACTTGGAGACTTGGCTTTATGGCTTAAATTTAGTAAATAGGTGTCTTATGTGATTTGGCAGACAATTTTGCAGTCAAACTAGGAAAAATAAGTTGAGGGTTGACACTATATATGGAACTGAAAGATTTACAAAGTTTTGAGTGTACATAATATATGTTCATCTAAATAAGTGTTAGTAATTGAAATAGATAGTTCTAAGCCGTTTTTTTAGGCTAATAGTTTCCGAGTAATATGATTTTAAAGTCGTAAGTATTGTGTCCGAGAGGTTTTGGCTTGTTTATATAACACTGTCTTTTAATATTGTAATCCGCCGTTATCGCTTTTAGTATTAAAATAGGGTATGCGCTTTGATTACGACAGTAATTTTATTTTCCAGAACCTCCGCCGGTAGTACAACCACCACCTATAAATGGACCGATGCAGCCAGCCCCACCTAATAATGGTTAGTATTTGAGTAAACGTCATACATCTATTAACTAAAGGATTAATCAAATAAAGATTTTACTATAATCTTTTTCGCATAGGAAAAACAACCCTCTACCTAATGTGAAGCCATTATTAGGTAGAGGGTTGTCGATTTATTGAAAATAATCGAATTTGCATTTAGATATGCTATATTTCCGGTGTGAGATGAGATACACATATTTATATAAATATGTCTACATCTATGTGTCACTAGCTGACCTGAACAAATGGTAAATGCGTAAAATCGATATCAACCTTAAATACTAGAAATAGTGTTGCCCAGTGTTTAGTGCCGATTAATTTAGTTCTTTTAAAACCATTTTGCGGGAAATTCCAAATTAATAAATAATATGCTATAAATACCACTTGTAATAATATTTGAAAAAGATTATATTACATTTTTTTACATATGTATACTATATCACACTGAAATAAAACTAGGCATATTTAAATATGCTTACTTTGGTCGCAGTGCTTGTGTAAAGTTTTCTATTACGTGGCTGAAAGTGCGAAGTATGAATGAAGTGTAATGTACGCCCCGCAGTAGACACGGGCGCGTCGGGGAGCGGCCGCAACGAACGCGACCTTCGAGACGCTCGTGACGCTCGAGACGTGCGCGGCGAGCGCGGCCCCCGAGACGCCCGTGACTCTCGAGACACTCGTGACTCACGAGACCGTCTCGACCGTCGGCGCGGGCGCGGGCGCGCGCGCTCGGGCCGGCGCGGCGAGGAGTCGGACGGCTCGGCCGACGACGACGTGACGGTGACGGTGCCGCCCGCGCACGCGCACCGCCCGCCCGCGCCGCCCGCGCCGCGCTACGGTACGCGCCGCCGATACGTAGCCCAGTAACCTTAAAAAAGGGCAAACATTGCAAAAATTTTAATAGTATTTTTTCTTTGGAATTCTTTGGGCTCCCCCCCAAAACAAACATTCACTCCCTCTTTTCGATTATAAATCGAAAAATATCGATACTAGAAAAAAATTGATGCGAACCAAAATTATAGGAAATTATATTCCAACAATTTTGTAATAACTATTTTTCGTGTAAAATTGAAAATAAACGATTTATTCAATAAACAAAAATCAACCCTTAAATTCAAGATGGCGGATGACGCAACGAGTCTGGTACCCCGAGAATCTAAATTTAGACTTTGAGTTACCCGAAAGTTAGAAAGAAGATTAGTGAAAAGAATTTCGAAAGAAAATTGCCATTAAAAAATTTGCAATGTCAAATCCTAATTCGACTGGGCTAACGCCGCTTTGACGCTTTGCATGCCACAGTACATGTGTCCCACGAGACAAACTGAGACAAGGTCGCATCTCGCTTTGTCTCAGTAGATCGTTATGTGTAATTCTTAGTCGCTAATTCGATTCCACATCGATGTATTTCCATTGCAATTGCTTCAACGTATAAAAGTTATTAAAATAATATGTTTTATATAGACTGAAATATATCCCTCACAATATCACTGTTCATGTGCATAGCCATTGTACATTAATTATTAAACAGTCCTATTATGATTTTGATAATCGCTAAGTATATAAAGAATGCAATACAATAGCTAGGTGATGGGCACAATGTAAGAAAGATTGAATGTAGTTGCTACTAAGATTAGCATGCACTGCGATGTAGTGTCAAAAAGTAAATGTCAAAATTTTTGTTCAATTTTTTTTTCTTTGTTAAAGGTCCCCCTCCCGGAATAAAACCTCCTGGCATGGAGGGCCCACACGTAAATGTAAGTTTTTCATTATATATGCGTGTCGATTATTAAGAGAGTATTAATACCAAACATTCTGTCGTTATGATCTTATGATGTCCATAATATCTCTATATCATAGTCTACCATCTTGATAATCGTTACTGACCTGTCACCTGTGTAAGCTAAAAAGTGCTTTGTCTTATGCATGTTACACTTCTAACCTACCACTTATATCTATACATATAATAAAATTGTAACTTAGCCGAATCTGTACATTAAATATTTTTTTGAAAATCTTATTGAAATAAACATTATAATCGATACAGAGGCCGAATCTATAGTTTTTAGAATTTTTGTCTGTCTGTCTGTTACCGCATCACGGAAAAACCACTGGAGAGAGTTTGATGAAATTTGGTATGATGATAGCTGATTATCCGAGTCAACGTATAGGATACTTTTTACTGCGGGTAAATTTCTCATTTCTGAGGAAAAATACAAAAACTGCATTGTAAGTAAGAGTATACATACTAATACCTATGTAAAACCTAAGAATTTGGTTTTTGGTCATCTGAACGCGGGCGGAGCCGCGGGCAATGCTAGTTATTCATAAAGTAACATCATATAATGATAGCGTAATATATTTTCTTACCCGACTGAGCGAAGCCTAAAGGAGGGTTATGTTTTTCATTCATAATGCATTGTTCCCTCGTCAACTTTTTTTTATTTTTGTAATTACATATCATCATCACAGATGCCGAGAATTGACGAGCAGCGCGCCAGCACTCCTACAATCGATGAACGCAGGGACCCTATGTCTTCACAAGTAAGATTATTATAGCATTTTCAATTCTTAATATTCTTTCATACATAGCTGTTTTATGTATAAACATCCTAAGTTTTTTATAATATAGAAAAGATTTTTTTATTGTTCTTTGTCATCTCCTTTTATGTATATGGACAATTTGTATTAGAGATTGGAACAAAATTATCACAGTGCACATACAATCTAATAGAAACAAAAGTACTTTAACGTATAACATAATGTTGTTCCTTAGGTTCTGTACAACCGCGGACCGCCGCCATATATGCCAAGTGTGCCACCGCCTTCACATTTCAAGTAAGTTTGTTTAATAATAACTACAGCAACAAAAAATTGTGAAATTCTTCTAACCAAATACTCTTATATATTTAAATTGAATTGCAAGCGAAAGTCGTGGTGTAAGTGATACACTACATACATACATTTATTTTTTGCGCTGCATACATGTGATGTAACTAAAGGTATAAAAATATCTTGAGTACATGATATTATGAATGTACAATTTTCGAATGTGTACAAATTATGAGAAGTGAGAGAGACAGCATAATATATTTCATGTAGTGTAATACACGTGTCTCTCTCTCGACTCTCTGGACTGGTAGTTTAGTATAGTATGATATATACATATATTATATAAACAAACAGTGTTAAATAAATTGCTGGACTTGTGACTAAAATGTCACTCCATATTTTTATCGATATTAGTTACTGGCCCGGCTTTGCCTGGGCACATTGCATACCCCTTTTAAAGTTACAAAATTTCACATACACCTAGTCGGTGATTCAGACTGTGAGTTGTCTGTTAAATTTCGTTGATATAATCAGTTTTGCTTTCATTTCCCATTAAAAAGTTGTATTTTATTTAAATCGTAAAGTGTTCACGTTTTCTAAATATGTACAAACTAACGTTTGTTGGTTGATCTACGTATCACTGTCTGGGCATGGGTAAAATCATAAGATATTAGATAATAATTTATAGGATGCCAGTATTGATTTTTTATAACATTCGCCCCCTTTACTTTCTTTATCGTTTTTTACGATTCAATGTAATTCCTTCGCGTGTACAGCGCGGGCTTCGGGCGCGCGGCCGCGTACGAGCGCTTCCCGCCCGAGCCGTTCCAGCCGCCGCCGCCTGGCATCAAGGACTCCCCCGGCGGGTAATTGATTCTCGTATTTCCTGAATGACGTTTTGTATGTAATCTTTACATATTATCGAAATTAAATTCTGCAGACACCTCTAACTCTCATTATTCAATTTGTTATACAATAATTATTTAAATCATTCGCTAATTAATTTAATAAAAATAGGTTGAACTTTGTATAATAATTAAATCAACTGATAATTAATTATTTGATTATATAAGTTGTCATTCTAGTATAAAATACTTATTAGTGATTTCCAACATTATCATCTTGAGTCGAATATGTTCAGGAAAGGCATTGTTCTGTTTAATAATTAATTTAATGAAATTCGTGATACATTTTTGTTATGTTGTTTGAGGCGTTACACTATAACAACTGTTGTTCATAGAATTTTACTTGTTCTACCTGACATTCTTCTGAAATACTCACGTAACAATTTGACTTGGATATTTATGATGCCAATGTTGTCGTAGACACGAGGATCCCCTGGAAGCGTTCAACAGGATGATCCGTGAAAAGGAGATGCGAGCGAAGCGGCGCGAGGAGCGTCGCAGAGCGCACTCGGGGTCGCGCAGCCCGTCGCGCTCGCGCACGCCGCGCTCGCCGCGCTCGCCCCGCTCGCCTCGCTCACCCCGCTCGCCGCGCTCGCAGCGCTCGCCGCGCTCGCAGCGCTCACCGCGCTCGCCGCGCTCGCCGAGGGCACGCCCGCGCAGTCGGGCCTCGAGCAGGATCAGATATTCTAGGTTCTATCCGTGTTCCTATTATGCTTGGATCTTTAAGCTGTTTCGTGTTTATCATTTCCATTTGTTCCGCTTTCTTCAAATTATATTAACTTCAAAATATTTATACAAATTATAATTGCATTAGTAAAAATTTGTTGCTTGATAAGTTTAACAATTTTCTCATGATTATATACATCTTTTATAATAAGTTTCATCTCGTTAATTTTTTAATTGTTTTATAATGTAAGTCTATATTTGTATTACAGATCGCGATCTATATCGCGAGGACGCTTGCGACGCTCGCCGTGGTCCCCTCGACGACGACGCACTCGTGATAGAACTTTGTCTTTGACACGGTATGTTTATTAACGAGACTCTGGACTAAATCAATGGCATATAAAGAACTAAACGATTTAAATACCTATTGTAGACCTAATTGACCGATTTTGGCCAGCGCATCCGAAATCTCTAAAAGTACCTTGGTACTGCCGTAGGCTTTACGTACTTTTCGAGGGACGGCCCACGGGGATAAAACACTTCCCAACTGGGTTGCTCCTGTGAACTTCTTAATATAATAACTTAAACACTATACCACCGAGGCAGTAAATATTATACACGAATAATCACTTATCAATAATTGAAACAGAAATTTTGTATGTATTATATGTATATATATATATATATATATATAAAATAGAACTTTACATGCTTTGAAATCAATAAATAGTCAATTGAGTTAACGAATAAGTGATGTCAGAGGTTGCAACTGGTGCAAATTACCCACTTGAGTACATATATAATCCGGATACAGATCGCCGTCCCCGCGCCGGCGCCACCGCTCGCCGCTGCGCTACCGCTCGCCGCTGCGCTCGCCGCGCTCGCCGCGCTCGCCGCGCTCGCCGCCGCGCCCGCTCATGTCGCTGGCGCCGCTCGCGCCGCCGTCGCCGGCGCGCTCGCCGCGCCGCGCCGACCTGCGCTCCTCGCCGAGACCCATATCGCCGCACAGGTGAGTCTTTATTTTTTATGTGATAGCACCGCAATGCATTTACGCATACCACCTGTAGACATACAGGCACCCATCCTGTAGCAGCATTCTTTTTTAAGTCGGCGGCGCACTATGAAATTGATATAAATAAATGAAAGATAATTAAACTTAAACAAATAGAAAATAATACCATTATGGTGCCTCAAGTGTTACATACGTATTTGAAGGTGAAGACCGCGTTATAAAAACTATGCCAGTAATTAAAAATGACCCGAAGAAATTATTATGTATATACAGTACACGCTTAATAGTTTCATACAATAATTCCTCTAGTTCTAATAAAAGCAATCTTTACTTCAAAATAACTCAGAAAAACGTGATACAGTAACGCGCCAAAATGATGATATTCTTTTTTGTTTAAGTGTGCTCTGTCCATACTTACTTGACAAAAGAAATATTTAGTTCACATTATCTATCTATACATATAATAAAACTGTAGAGGTCGAAAGTCTGTACAAAGAAAAAAAATGATGAAAACCGAGCCAGGGGGATGTAAGAAGAGAAATAGAACAAATTCAGTTTGTGTGTTTGTTTATCCGTTTGTACGGGCTAATCTCCGAAACTGTTGGACCGATTTAAACGAAATTTTCCATGTTGGTACCTTATATCCCCGGTCAACATTGTAGATACTTTTCATCCCGGAAAGTTAGAGTTCTCGTGGGATAGTTAAAAATCTGTAGTAACTTATACAGCTTAGTACATAACAACTTATGCACCTAATTTAGTAAAATTTGGCATGCTGCTACCTTATATTGCCGGTCAAACAATAGGTTACTTTTAAACCGAATAAATGAACGGTTCCCGTGGGATAGATCTGCTCGTGCTTTTCTATAGTTATAAATAAATAAGTATAATATAATAATTTAACCGATTTTTTTCCCCACGATAGATACCCGGGAGTGTACGACGAACTGTTGTCGCCGCCGCGCCGAAGCGTAGAGCCGCCGTTCGGAGCCAGGTACGATAGTAACAGTTTAACTAGCGCCTCGCGATCTACTGCTAGGGAACACGTGGTTCGTTGCCGCGTTGCCGAGCGTGTCGACACGCCCTCCGTCACTCTTTTTTTAATTTCCATATACGGTTTTTCTTTAACCATATATTGGTATAAAATATTGCTCGTCTTGTCGATCGTGTCGAGTAAATTATTGAGCGGTAAAGTAGGTATGTATGAAGTCGACGATAGATGCCGTGTTCGGAAACGTCGTGGTCCAGTATATGCATCGGGGCTGTGCCGTGTTCCTGCTTAACGGTTAATTTTAGCTGCTATTTTACATATTGTTTATATTAACTTAAAGTTTATTTATGTTAAATGAAGTCTGAAAAAGTTTCTAAGTTGTGATAAAGTGTAACAATTTTGATATATTTTTAAAATGAAAAGTTAGTACTAAGTTAAGCTTAAGTTCACCCGCCTGTAAAATAAAATATGTCTGTTTTATTGGTTATCTCTATTCTTTAATAATAAAAATAGATTAAGTATTCATAGTTGTTTGTCATAGTAATCTTTAATCTGTATAGTTTCTCTAGTTGCAAATCTATGAAAGTCCGCCTTGTGTACTATTATGTAAATGTTTAAGTATATTTATTTTTAAGCTGTGGAATATGTAAATCACATATTTTTTTTGTTCAAAATTATTAATTTTAAGTTATTATTTATTATGTATCACTTTTTTATTGTGTGTGCATCGATCAAAAAGAACTATAGTTCATTCGCGTTAAGATAATAGCGATTCATCGTTGTCCACCGGCCTGGCCGCGCCCCCGACAATTTAGGTTGCATAAAATTATAAAGTCAAGTTTACAATGACCAGCTGAAGGCAGACTTTTGTACGAAACAGTTTGTCATTTGTGCGTTAACTAAAATACATTTTAAAAATGGATACCTCACCTATTCGCAAGAATAAAATTGGATTGATAATTCATAGCGGAGAAAACCGAGTATTTACAATGTTTTTAAGTACTTTAAATTGTGCTATTTAAATTATTTTAATTTTTTTATAATAAATCCAAACGAAGATTCTAGTGATACTGGTTAAATATATTATTAAGGACTATTTTAATTTGAGTTAATTAAGTTCATTTTTATCCATTAAACTTAATCTTTTGAAATAAATTTGAATTGAATTTTTACTTAATTATGTATACCTACACCTTTATGCTGTAGTTGCATTTATGACTCACTATTTTCTTAACGCGAATGGACTATAGGTACACAATTCCATGCAAAAGTTTTATTAAAACTGTCACCAGTTATGTATAGGTAATTCTAGTTAAAACCTCAAATGCAATGCTTAAAGTTGTTTTCACAAAGCTATGTATAAAAAGCAAAAAAATTTTACGACCGAATCTCGCTCATCAATATATATGTACATCAAAACAAATTCAACCTTACACGAATAATAATAAAACCACGAATATAATACATATAATTCTAAAATTCATACATGTTATAGTTAAGGATAATAGCTAAGTACCCGGAGAGGCCAAAACACGATTGGCAATAGTTCACTCGATAGAAAAAAAAATCAAAGATAGGTCTAAAAATACCTTAAAATCTCTGATACACACAAAATACATTATTATATGATATGAAAGTTATACTCATAGATTTAGCTTGTCATTATTTAGGTATTCGGAGAAACAGATTTTCATTTATTAACTTATATTTATGGCAATAGGCGAAAAACAGATAAAATGAAACGGGTCGTCGCGCGCTGGCGCCTAGGGAGCGGCGATTCTGGAAAAGAGCGCCTTAAAGTCAGAAACAGAAACTCCTACTGTTTTAAGACTTAATTTAAAAACAGTTTTCACGTTGATTCCTTGACTTGAGTTTTTAAAATTTTTGAGTACTTACAATGTAGTAATAACAATTATTATAATGATAATATTGATACTTACCGAAAATATGAAATTCCATCCATTTTAAGCGTCCTACATATGATCTTTGCAATATTTAAACAAGCATTCAGGCATGTTTACCGTCGGAGTGTTCGAATGCTACTAAATTAAAAGTACACCCAAACGGTCAAGTGGGCGCTCATTCGGCGAGGATACTTTTTGTCACTGATTGTGTATCTTTTTAGTGATCGATGTGTGTGTTACGATAGATCTGTAACATTCCTGTAATACGCTATAGACTATGCCCTAGGGAGTCAGTTATTATAATAGAATTGGTTATTATAATTTGTTGAATTGTGGTCTATATGAAAATTCTAAAAAAATAATATCTTTCTGATATGTATTTGGGGGGTACCGAGGAGCTTCAGGCATTATTGGGCGAGGTGCGCGCATATTATAGTAATGATAAAAAAAAAAGATATAATCAGTAGAACTGTATTGTAATCTTTAGTCATTTAGGACTGCAGTGCATGGTTTCTTATCATATCTGTGAAATCAGTATTTAAACGAAAATAAAATATCAAGATAGAATGGTTATCAACACTGTCAACGGCACATGCACGCGACGAAGTTGACGACTTTTTAACGTACAGCCGGTCGGCGCTTGTGTAATGCAACAAAAACACAATGTTAACGCGTAGTGAATAAATACAGCTTTCATTTTATAGTGCGTTTTTACTCGTTATATACTATATATCTTTGTAATGCGCTTGTCATGTTTAGATGTATTCACTAGCCCCATTTAACATCCCAATGCTGGTCACGAGCCTCTTTTCTATACGAGGGGGATCACCACGTTGGCCAAGTCAGTACGCGGATTTCACTTCTTTCTTGTAAATTGTTTTCGACAACAGACAGACAGCAGAGGCGTAGCTAGCTAACCAAAGGCACCAGGGCCTAAAAAATTTGGGCCCTAATTAAACTATTTAAGTTTTATCAAGTCAAAATATGTATTGTATTCAGTCCTTTTTTTAACGTCCCACAGCTGGGCTTGGGCCTCCCTTCTTAGCGACCCGCTGGCCACGCGTGGGTTGGCGTACTTCACATATCTTTCGAAAACTTGCTAGGGTCTCTCAGATATGCAGGTTTCCTCACGATGTTAAATAGTAAGACAAGTGGTAATCATGTTCGAAAGGATTCGCACATGAAAATATCTAAAGGCGTGAGACACGGGATTTGAACCCGCTGGGCTAACATTGCTTTAGTTGTTAGTATAGATATGATAACGGAAGTTAATATATATGCTTTAGTTGTTAGTATAAATACGATAAGGAATTGTTAGTAACGCATATAACGTGCATTTATAAGCCATCCTAAGTTAAACTTTCCCATGCGGATTTTGCGTGTGACCTAACAGTATTACAGTATTTAATCTAATATATAAAATTCTCGTGTCACACACAGCGTTTGTAACAAATCTCCTCCGGAACGGCTGGACCGATTCTTATGAAATTTTGTGTGTATATTCAGTAGGTCTGAGAATAGGACGTAAACTATTTTTCATACCGCGATAGGGGTGGTCCACATTAAAAAAATATTTTTTTGGACCATTTTTTTATTTTTCTAGGAAATAATTAATTAGCTCAGTTAAATATTTAATCTTGGAATGTAATTAGCTATAAACTTGTATAAAACTTTGTCTTGGCCTTCATGTTCTTCTTGGCCTTCATATGTTGTTTCAAAAATTGACTAATTTAAAGGTGCATGCAGGTGCAAATACTGGTACGATCCCTAGTAGAAATTCTACTTATTTTTGACAAACTTCAAAAAGGAGAGGTACGCAATTCGCCTATCGACAAAATTGCATTATTTTTTTATATCTATGTTATTTTTTTATATCGCCATATCTTCGTCAATTGAACTGATATTTATAATTGATCTTAATATTATATCTTTAAACGAGCAATTCTTGTATACACCAGTATATAATCTGAATCTCGGAAACGGCTCCAACGATTTTCATGAAATTTAGTATACAGGTGGTTTCGTGGGCGATAAATCGATCTAGATTAGTCTTATGTCTGAGAAAACGTGTGTTTTCGAGTTTTCATGCAGTATTCTTTTGCATTATTCCACGCAAAATATGGTCGGTAATTTGCACGCTCGGGCATAAGCATTGTGGTCAAGCGGCCAAGGTACAAGATCAAAAATTAGGTACAGGTTCTAAGCTCGGTCGCATACAAAGTTTCTACTTTTGTTTTTTTTTTAATTTTGATTAGTTTATACCTTAAGGATGGTTAAATAAACAGAAACCACCAACAGGGTCCACCTAAATACTTTTGAGTGATTTGTAAGCCGGTGGTGTGTTTTTTTGTAATTTTTTATTTTATTTTATATATACCTATATAATTTTATATAATATTTAGTAGGTTATGGGTGGTTACGCGATATCTTCTCCAACTGTGAATCGATTTTCAAAATTCTTTTTTGTTAATTACCTAGTTTTATTTTAGGAAGGTATGGATCTACCTATGTATTTGAAAAAAAAAACATTTCTAAAGAACGAAACTCTAAAAGACGCTCAAACTCTGCTTTGAAACGCTTTGAAACGAAGTTCACTTTGATAACGGTTGACACCTACATACATAGTGCTACACGGCTCCATGTCCACTTTGATTGACAGCCGATGTTAAAGTGCGTTATGATTGCTCGTTTACACCATCAAAGTAGTCATCGAATTGTCGAATTGCTTTGACAAAGTATTGACTTTGTCAAAGCAGGCTTTAAGAAAAGTAGTACACGGTCTAAGTCCACTTTGATTACTCGTTTACATGATCAAAGTTGCGTCAAAGTAGTTATCAAAACTACTTTGTCAAAGTAGACTTTGAGCGTGTCAACGCGTGTCAAAGGTAGAATAATTACTTTAAACACCGCGTTGACACAATCAAACTCTGCTTTGACAAAATAGCTTTGATCAAAGTTTACTTGGATACTTTTGACACGCTCAATGTCTGCTTTGACTAAAAGTTTTGAAATTAAGTTTACTATGATAAACACTGTTCTAAGTCCACGTTGATTGAACACCGACGTTAAAGTGCTCTTTGATTGCTCATTTACATGATC